GTTACTGGCGGCTCAAATGGCATTAACGGTGGTAGTTTCTCTATGCCTACTGGATTATCCGGTTCATCCAATGTTGATCTTGGTAATGGAAATACAATCACAAATTACCGTGGACCAGGTTCATATACTTTGTCTTCTGGTAAGGTTGTATCAGTCGGTTCTGATGGTTCATATCAATTTGTTACTGGTGGTTCCAACGGTATTAATGGTGGCAGTTTCTCTATGCCTACCGGTTCATTTGGCTCATCCAACATTGATCTTGGTAATGGAAACACAATCACCAATTATCGTGGACCTGGTTCATACACCTTATCCTCTGGTCGAGTTGTATCTGTAGATTCCAATGGATCTTACCAATTCGTTAATGGTGGTTTCAACAGTATTAATGGCGGTAGCTTCTCCATGCCTTCCGGTTCATTTGGCTCATCCAACATTGATCTTGGTAATGGAAACACAATCACCAATTATCGTGGACCTGGTTCATACACTTTATCCTCTGGTCAAGTTGTGTCTGTAGGCTCTGACGGCTCTTATCAATTTGTTAATGGTGGTTCCAACGGTATTAATAGCGTTTTCAACAGCATTAATGGTGGTTCCAACAACATTAACGGCGGTAGCTTCTCCATGCCTTCTGGATCATTTGGCTCATCCAATATTGATCTCGGTAATGGAAACACAATCACTAATTATCGTGGACCTGGCTCGTACACTTTATCCTCCGGTAAAGTTGTGTCTGTCGATTCCAATGGATCTTACCAATTTGTTAATGGTGGTTTCAACAGTATTAATGGCGGTAGTTTCTCCATGCCTTCGGGTTCATTTGGCTCATCCAATATTGATCTTGGTAATGGAAACACAATCACCAATTATCGTGGACCTGGTTCATACACTTTATCCTCCGGTAAAGTTGTGTCTGTAAGCTCTGATGGCTCTTATCAGTTTGTTAATAGTGATTCCAACAATATTAATGGTGGTAGCTTCTCCCTGCCTTCTGGATCATCTGGCTCATCCAATATTGATCTCGGTAATGGAAACACAATTACCAACTATCATGGACCTGGCTCATACACTTTATCTTCTGGTAAAGTTGTTTCAGTAGGTTTCGACGGATCTTATCAATTTGTTAATGGTGGTTCTAATGGTCTGAATGGCGGTAGCTTCTCTATGATTTCTGGATCTTCTGGATCTTCTGGATCCTCTAATGTTGACCTCGGTAATGGTAACACAATCACTAATTACCGTGGACCTGGCTCATATACTTTATCTTCTGGTCAAGTTGTATCAGTAAGTTCTGACGGCTCCTACCAATTTGTCAACGGAGGTTCTAATGGATCTTCTGGATCTTCCGGCTCAAATATCGACCTTGGAAATGGTAATACAATCACCAACTACAATGGTCCTGGATCATATACTTTGTCTTCCGGTCAAGTCGTTTCAGTTGGCTCAGATGGATCTTATCAATTCGTTAATGGTGGTTCCAATGGCTCATCTGGCTCCAACGGCTCATCTGGTTCTAATGTTGATCTAGGTGATGGAAATACAATTAACAATTACAATGGACCTGGATCATATACTTTGTCTTCTGGTCAAGTTGTGTCAGTAGGATCTGATGGTTCTTACCAATATGTAAGTGGTAGCTCCAACGGTTCTTCCGGATCTTCCGGTTCTAATGTTGATCTTGGCAATGGAAACACCATCACCAATTACAACGGACCTGGAACATACACTTTATCTTCTGGTCAAGTCGTATCAGTCGGTTCTGATGGCTCTTATGAATTCGTAAATGGCGGTTCCAACGGCTCATCTGGTCAAAGCATTGATCTCGGTAACGGTAATATAATCACCAACTACAGTGGTCCTGGATCATACACTTTATCGTCTGGTCAAGTCGTATCAGTCGGTTCTGATGGCTCTTATGAATTCGTAAATGGCGGTTCCAACGGCTCATCTGGTCAAAGCATTGATCTCGGTAACGGTAATATAATCACCAACTACAGTGGTCCTGGCTCATACACTTTATCGTCTGGTCAAGTTGTATCTGTAGGATCTGATGGTTCTTACGAATTTGTAAACGGTGGCTCCAACGGCTCCTCTGGTCAAAACATTGATCTCGGTAATGGCAATGTAATTACCAACTACAGTGGTCCTGGTTCATACACTTTATCATCCGGACAAGTCGTGTCTGTAGGTCCTGACGGCTCATATGAGTTTGTTTTAGGTACAGACGGATCTCAAAATGACTCTTCTAACTCTGAGGATATTGATCTTGGTGACGGTTTTACCATTAAAGGATTCACTGGCCCTGGTTTATACACAGTCGGTCCTGGTAGAGTCGTTTCTGTAGGTGAAGATGGCTCATATGGATATGTTACTGCTTTGGATGCCAATAGTGCTTTCTTACAAACGGTATCAAATGTTGTCTCTCCCGCAGGCGCCGTTTTGCAAAATGTTGATCTCGGTAACGGTAACACAATTACAAGCTACAATGGTCCTGGTGTATACACTTTAGGTCCTGGTAAGGTTGTCTCTGTCGACTCTAATGGATCTTATCAATTTATCAGTGGTGGATCCAGCGGTTCTTCTGGCTCAACTATTGATCTTGGTAACGGTAACACAATTACCAATTATCACGGTGCTGGTACATACACTTTAACATCTGGCAAGGTCGTATCTATGGATTCAAATGGTTCTTATCAATTTGTTAATGGTGGATCTAGTGGCTCATCTGGTTCTGGTTCTGTTGTAGACCTTGGTAATGGTAACACTATTACAAACTACAATGGTGCTGGTACATACACTTTGACATCTGGCAAGGTCGTATCTATTGATTCAAATGGCTCTTATCAATTTGTTAGTGGTGGATCCAGTGGCTCATCTGGTTCTGGTTCTGTTGTAGACCTTGGTAATGGTAACACTATTACCAATTATCATGGTGCTGGTACATACACTTTGACATCTGGCAAGGTCATATCTATGGATTCAAATGGTTCTTATCAATTTGTTAATGGTGGATCTAGTGGCTCATCTGGTTCTGGTTCTGTTGTAGACCTTGGCAATGGTAACACTATTACAAACTACAATGGTGCTGGTACATACACTTTAACTTCTGGTAAAGTTGTATCCGTCGATTCCAACGGTTCTTACCAATTTGTAAATGGTGGATCCGGTTCCGGTTCTGGTTCAACTGTAGATCTTGGTAATGGCCATACTATTACTAACTACCATGGTGCCGGTACTTACACTTTAACTTCTGGTCAAGTTGTATCTATGGATTCAAACGGTTCTTACCAATTTGTCAATGGTGGATCCGGTTCCGGTTCTGGTTCAACTGTAGATCTTGGTAATGGCCATACTATTACTAACTACCATGGTGCCGGTACTTACACTTTGACTTCCGGTCAAGTTGTATCTATGGATTCAAATGGTTCTTATCAATTTGTGAATGGCGGCTCATCCGGTTCTGGTACAAAGGTAGATCTTGGTAATGGCAACACTATTACCAACTACAATGGTGCTGGTACATACACTTTAACTTCTGGTAAAGTTGTATCCGTCGATTCCAACGGTTCTTACCAATTTATCAATGGTGGATCCGGTTCTGGTTCAACTGTAGATCTCGGTAACGGTAATACTATCACTAACTACAATGGTGCTGGTACATATACTTTAACCTCTGGTCAAGTTGTCTCTATCGACTCCAATGGCTCTTATCAATTTGTTAATGGTGGATCCAACGGCTCTTCCGGATCAGGTTCAACTGTAGACCTCGGTAACGGTAATACAATCACTAATTATCATGGTGCTGGTACATATACCTTAACCTCTGGTAAAGTCGTTTCCATGGATTCTCAGGGTACATACCACTTTATTGATTCCGGTGTTATTTCTGTTCGTACAGGTGCATCCGGATCAACCATTGCTAACTTAGGTAATGGTTACACTATCTCTAACTATCATGGTGCTGGCTTGTACACTTTAGGCTCCGGTCAAATTGTCTCAGTTGACTCTAATGGTGGATATCAATTTATCAATGGTGGTTCGTCTACTGTAGATCTCGGTAACGGTAATACTATTACTAATTACCACGGTGCTGGTACATACACTTTGACCTCTGGTAAAGTTGTATCCATGGATTCAAATGGTTCTTATCAATTCATTAATGGTGGTTCATCTGGTTCCGGTACAAATGTAGATCTCGGAAATGGTAATACTATCATGAACTATAACGGTCCTGGTACATACACTTTAACTTCTGGTAAAATTGTATCTGTCGATTCCAATGGTTCTTATCAATTTGTCAACGGTGGATCTAGCGGATCTTCTGGCTCGACTGTAGATCTTGGTAACGGTAACACAATCACCAATTATCATGGTGCTGGTACATACACTTTGACATCTGGCAAGATTGTATCTATGGATTCAAACGGTTCTTATCAATTTGTTAATGGTGGTTCTGGATCCGGTTCAACTGTTGACCTCGGTAACGGTAATACTGTAACCAACTACAATGGTGCTGGTACCTACACTTTAACTTCTGGCAAGGTTGTATCCATCGACTCCAATGGATCTTATCAATTTATCAATGGCGGATCCAGCGGTTCTTCTGCAACTGGTTCAACTGTAGATCTTGGTAACGGTAACACAGTTACTAATTATCATGGCTCTGGTACATATACTTTGACTTCTGGCCGTGTTGTTTCTATTGATTCCAATGGTTCTTACCAATTTGTTAACGGCGGTTCCTCTGGTTCTGGTTTATCAAGCATTACCCTTCCCAAGTTCTCACCATTGCCTAACCTCAACCTTGCTAGTGGAATTACACTCACAAGCTACAAAGGTCCTGGTACTTACACTTTGAGTCCTGGTAATGTTGTGTCTATTAATCCTTCTGGCCAATTCTCCTTCATTTCTGGTAGCGGTGCCAACGGTGTTAAGAATGGTAGCGCAGCTCTTCCCTCTCTTACATTAGGTACTGCCACTCTTCCCAATGGAGGTGTTCTTACCAACTATGCTGGTCCTGGTCAATACACTATTGCTCCTGGTAGTGTTGTATACATTGACTCAAATGGTGGTGTTTCAACTATCAACCTTTCAAGCATGTCTCTTCCCAAGGCTCCTCAATTGCCTGAGCTTAACCTCGGTAGTGGAATTACACTCACAAGCTACAAAGGTCCTGGTACTTACACTTTAAGTCCTGGTAATATTGTTACTGTTAATCCTTTCGGTCGTTTCTCTTTCCTTACTGGAAGTGGTCCCAATGGAGTTACTGGTGGTAATGTAGCCCTTCCCACTGTTCAATTAGGTACAGCAACTCTTCCTAGTGGAAATGTTCTTACCAATTATGCTGGTCCTGGACTATACACTCTTGCTCCTGGAAGTATTATCTCAATTGGTTCCAATGGTGCTATTTCAACTATTCCTGCATCTACCATGTCTTTGCCTAAGTTGTCTTTATTGCCCAACGTCAATCTCGGCAGTGGAATTACTCTTAGTAGCTACAGAGGTCCTGGTACATACACTTTGAGTCCTGGTAATGTCTTGTCTGTTGGTCCTTCTGGTCAATACTCCTTCATTTCAGGTAGTGGTGCTAACGGTGAAAAGGGTGGTAATGTCAATCTTCCTTCTCTTTCATTAGCTACTGCAACTCTTCCCAACGGTGCTGTTCTTACCAACTATGCTGGACCTGGTCAATACACACTTTCTCCTGGAAACGTGATTTCAATTGATGCTAACGGTGTTGTTTCAAGCATTAACTTGTCTAGCATTTCCTTGCCCAAGTTCTCTCCATTGCCTAGCCTTAACCTCGCTAACGGTGTTACACTCACTAGTTACAAAGGTCCTGGTACTTATACTTTGAGTCCTGGTAACGTTGTGTCTGTCAATCCTTTCGGTCAATTCTCCTTCATCTCCGGTAATGCCAACGGTGTTACAAACGGAAACGTAAATCTTCCTGCTGTTACATTAGGTACTGCCACTCTCCCTGAAGGTGATGTTCTTACCAACTATGCTGGTCCTGGTCGTTATACTCTTGGTCCTGGTAAGGTTATCTCCATTGACTCTAATGGTGGTATCTCTACTATCAACCTTTCAAGCATTTCTTTGCCCACATTCTCTCCATTGCCTAGCCTTAACCTCGCTAACGGTGTTACACTCACTAGTTACAAAGGTCCTGGTACTTATACTTTGAGTCCTGGTAATGTTGTGTCTGTCAATCCTTTCGGTCAATTCTCCTTCATCTCTGGTAATGCCAACGGTGTTACAAACGGAAACGTAAATCTTCCTGCTGTTACATTAGGTACTGCCACTCTCCCTGAAGGTGATGTTCTTACCAACTATGCTGGTCCTGGTCGTTATACTCTTGGTCCTGGTAAGGTTATCTCCATTGACTCTAATGGTGGTATCTCTACTATCAACCTTTCAAGCATTTCTTTGCCCACATTCTCTCCATTGCCTAGCCTTAACCTCGCTAACGGTGTTACACTCACTAGTTACAAAGGTCCTGGTACTTATACTTTGAGTCCTGGTAATGTTGTGTCTGTCAATCCTTTCGGTCAATTCTCCTTCATCTCTGGTAATGCCAACGGTGTTACAAACGGAAACGTAAATCTTCCTGCTGTTACATTAGGTACTGCCACTCTCCCTGAAGGTGATGTTCTTACCAACTATGCTGGTCCTGGTCGTTATACTCTTGGTCCTGGTAAGGTTATCTCCATTGACTCTAATGGTGGTATCTCTACTATCAACCTTTCAAGCATCACAATGCCCAAGTTCTCTCCATTGCCTAACCTCAACCTTGCTAATGGTGTTTCACTCACTAGCTACAAAGGTCCTGGTACTTATACTTTGAGTCCTGGTAATGTTGTGTCTGTCAATCCTTTCGGTCAATTCTCCTTCATTTCTGGTAGTGCTAACGGTGTTACAAACGGAAATGTAAATCTTCCTGCTTATTCATTAGGTACTGCCACTCTTCCTGATGGAAATGTGCTTACCGATTTTGCTGGTCCCGGTCAATACACTGTTTCTCCTGGTAATGTTATCTCCATTAATCCCGATGGTGCTATTTCATCTGTCCAAGGTATCTCTAGTAATATTTTCCCTGGTGGATCTTCATTCACTTTTGGTAACGGTGGTTCTTCCTTCCCCAGCAATGGTGGATCCTTCACTTTTGGTAACGGTGGATCATCTTTCCCCAGCAATGGTGGATCTTCATTCACTTTCCCCAGCAATGGTGGATCTTCATTTACTTTTGGTAACGGTGGATCATCCTTTCCCAGCAATGGTGGATCCTTCACTTTTGGTAACGGTGGATCATCCATCAGCTTCCCTAGCATCTCATTACCCCGTGTCGATCTTCCTACTTTAGATTTGGGTGATGGTGTAAGTATTGGTAGTTACAAAGGACCTGGTGTTTACACTTTAAGTCCTGGTAATGTTGTTTCTGTCGGTGCAGGTGGATTATTCTCCTTCTTATCTGGATCTGGTTCCAACGGTGTAGTCGGTGGTCATCTCACTCTCCCCACTTTATCTTTACCTACTGTCAGTCTTGATGGTGGTGTTTCTCTTGAAGCTTTCACTGGTCCTGGTGTTTACACTTACAGTCCTGGTAACACCGTCTCTATTGATAGCAATGGTGGTGTCAACTGGTTACAAGGTGGTCCTTCCAAGCTTCCCAGCGGTGGATTTACTTTCCCTAGTTTGAATTTACCCAGTGTTACTTTACCTTCTTTGAATTTACCTACTCTCAATCTCGGTTCTGGTATTAGTGTTCCCAACTTCAGTGGACCTGGTATTTATACTGTCAGTCCTGGTAATGTTCTCTCTATCGGTCCTGATGGTGATTATTCTTATGTCTTGGGTAGCGGTTCTCTTGGTTCCAAGACAGGTCATATCAGTCTTCCTAGTATCAACTTACCTTCCCTCTCATTATCTGGTGGTATTACTCTCCCCAGTTTCAGTGGAGCCGGTGTTTATACTTTGAATGGTAATGTTCTCTCGATTAATTCTAAAGGTGGTTTCAGTTGGGTCCATGGTGGTCCCTCTACCCTTCCCGGTGGTGGCATCTCCCTTCCTTCTATCAACCTTTCTGGTGCTTTACCCACTCCCTCTGGAACTGTCATCAACGGTGTGAACTTTAAATTCCCCTTCGATGTTCCTGGTTTCACCGGTCCTGGTTTCTATAGTCTCAGCCCTGGTAACGTTGTCCAAGTCCGTCCTGACGGTACCTACAGCTTCGTTTCCGGTGGTCCCCCAAGTGGAACTTCTGGAGGATTCACATTCCCTAGTATCTCTTTACCCAGTGTCTCTTTACCTTCTTTGAGCTTGGGTGGTGGTCTGAACATCGGTACCTATAAGGGTCCTGGAGTTTATACTTTAAGTCCCGGTAACGTTGTCTCTGTTGATGCTGGTGGATCTTTCTCATTCTTGACAGGTAGTGGTCCTAATGGTTCTGCTAGTGGATCTCTTACACTCCCTACTTTATCATTACCTTCTCTCAGTCTTGATGGTGGTATTTCTCTTGGTGGATTCAGCGGTCCTGGTGTCTATACTCATAGCCCTGGTAACGTTGTCTCTATTGATGCCAATGGTGGTGTTAACTGGTTACAAGGTGGCCCCAAGAAGCTTGCTGGTGGTGGATTTACATTCCCTGCTTTCACTTTACCCAGTATCACTTTACCTTCCTTGAACTTACCTACACTTAACCTCGGTGTTGGTATCAACCTCTCTGGTTTCAGTGGACCTGGTATTTATACTCTCAGTCCCGGTAATGTAATTTCTCTTGGTGCCAATGGTGATTACTCTTATGTCTTGGGTAGTGGATTATTCGGTGCAAAGAACGGTCATATCAACCTTCCTACCATTAGTTTGCCTTCCTTCACTTTAGCCGGTGGCATCACTGTCCCTAGCTATAGCGGAGCCGGTGTTTACACTGTCAATGGCAATGTTCTTTCAATCAACCCCAAGGGTGGTTTCAGCTGGATTAACGGTGGTCCTTCTACCCTTCCCGGTGGAGGAATTACTTTACCTTCCATTAACCTCTCTGGTGGTGCAACCCCTACAGGTACTCTTATCAATGGTGTTAACTTCAAGTTCCCCTTCAACATTCCCAACTTCAACGGTCCCGGTTTCTACGTAACCAGTCCTGGTAATGTTGTCCAAGTTCGCCCTGATGGTTCTTATAACTTTGTCTTTGGTGGTCCCGCTGGAAGTTCATCTGCTAATCTCTCTGCTGGTTTCTCGTTCCCTAGTATCACTTTACCCCAAATCAGTTTCCCTACTTTGAATTTAGGTGGTGGAATCAGTATTGGTAACTATAAAGGTCCTGGTGTTTACACTTTAGGTCCTGGTAGAGTTGTATCCATTGCTGCTGGTGGTGGATTCTCTTTCCTCTCTGGTTTTGGCGCTAATGGTGCAATTGCTGGTGCTCTTACATTACCCACTTTGTCTTTACCTACCATCAGTCTTGATGGTGGTATTCATCTTGATGGTTTCACTGGTGCTGGTGTTTACACTTACAGTCCTGGAAATACCGTCTCGATTGATGGTAGTGGAGGTGTTAATTGGTTAAAGGGTGGTCCCATTCGTCTTCCTAGCGGTGGATTCACTTTCCCTGGTTTCAATTTACCCAGTATCACTTTACCTAGTTTGAACTTACCTTCTGTTAACCTTGGTATTGGTATTAATATTCCTACTTTCACTGGTGCTGGTATCTATACTGTCAGTCCCGGTAATGTTCTCTCCATGGCTGCCAACGGTGCATACACTTACCTCGCAGGTGGTGGTTTCCTCGGTGCACAAACTGGTAAGGTCACTCTTCCTTCTCTCAACTTGCCTTCCATCACATTATCTGGTGGTATCCAAGTTCCCAACTTTAGCGGTGCTGGTATTTATACTGTCAACGGTAATGTTCTCTCGATCAATGCTGGTGGTGGATTCAGCTGGATTCGTGGTGGTCCCTCTTCCCTTTCTGGTGGTGGATTCACTCTTCCCTCTATCAACCTCTCTGGTTCTTTACCTACCGGTACTGTCATGAACGGTGTTGAGTTCAAGTTCCCCTTCGACATTCCCAAGTTCAATGGACCTGGCTACTATAGTCTTAGTCCTGGTAATGTAGTTCGTGTTCGTGCTGATGGTACCTATAACTTTGTATCCGGTGGTCCTCCTAGCGGATCTGGTAGTGGATTAAGCTTCAACTTCCCTAGTATTCGTTTGCCCAGCATCAACTTGCCTTCCTTGTCTCTTGGTGGTGGTATCAACATTCCCGGTTATAAGGGTCCTGGTGTCTATACTTTAGACGCTAACAATGTCGTGTCTATTCGTGGTGATGGTTCTTTCTCATTCTTGATCGGTGGTAGTGCTAACGGTGGTGTCAGTGGACATGTCTCTCTTCCTTATGTTTCTTTACCCAGTCTCAGTCTTGCTGGTGGTATTTCGCTTGCTAACTTCGGTGGTCCCGGTACATACACTTACAGTCCTGGTAATGTTGTGTCCGTTGACAGCAATGGTGGTATCAATTGGTTACAAGGTGGTCCTCAATTGGTTTCTGGTGGTGGTTTCGAATTCCCCAACCTCAATCTGCCCACGATCTCTTTACCCAGAGTTCAATTACCTCAGATCAGTGTTGGTAACGGATTGGGTTTCACTGGATATACTGGTAGTGGTATCTATACTTTGAATAATGGTAACATTATCTCTCTTGGTGGTAACGGTGAATACTCCTACATTTCCGGTAGCGGTTCATTTGGTGCCTTGACCGGTAGTCTTAACCTCCCTCAACTTAACCTCCCTACCCTCAGTTTATCCGGCGGTATCTCTGTACCTAAATTCAGCGGTCCTGGTCTTTACACTGTCAGTCCTGGTAATATTCTTTCCATTGGTTCTAGTGGTCAATACGACTGGCTTCAAGGTGGTCCTCAAACCCAAGCTGATGGTCGTATCTCTCTTCCCTCCGGTGGTTTCTCTAACCCTACTAAGTCCATTATCAATGGTGTCAAGTTTGATTTCCCCTTCAATGTTCCTAACTTTAGTGGACCTGGATTCTATCTCCTCAGTCCCGGTAATATCCTTCAAGTTCGTGCTGATGGTTCCTTCAACTTTGTAGCTGGTGGTCCCCCTCATATGGCCTCTGGTTATGGTATCTCTTTCCCTACCATCAGTTTGCCTCGTGTTAACTTGCCCAACTTGAACGTCGCTGGTGTCAGCCTTAGCAGTTATAAGGGTCCTGGTATTTATACCTTAGGCTCTGGTATTGTTTCGATTCGTGGTGATGGTGGTTTCTCTTTCTTGGCTGGTGGTGGAGCCAACGGTGCTGTCAGTGGTAGTCTCAGTCTTCCCACTCTTTCTTTGTCTACTCTTAACCTCTATGGTGGTATTACTCTTAATAACTTTGGTGGTCCCGGTGTTTACACTTACAAGCCTGGTAATGTTGTTTCTATTGATTCCAGAGGTTATATCGACTGGTTGGAAGGTGGTCCAGTCGAAGTCCCCGGTGGTGGATATAGTTTCACTGGTACTGGTTTGCCCAGTATTTCTTTACCTCGTGTTTCTTTACCCTCCATTAACCTTGGTCTTGGTATTGATCTCACAAGCTACAGTGGTCCCGGTATCTATACTCTCGGATCTGGTAACGTCATCTCCCTCAACAGCGATGGTTCCTACAAGTATCTTCAAGGTAGCGGTTTCTTAGGTGCCTCCAGTGGTAACATCAACCTTCCTCGTCTTAACTTACCTACAATCACTTTATCCGGTGGTGTGTCTGTCCCTAGTTACAGTGGACCTGGTATTTACACTGTCAGTCCTGGTAATGTTCTTTCCATTGGCGTCACTGGTGGTTACAGTTGGATTCAAGGTGGTCCTCAAACCTTGGAGAACGGTGCTGTCACTCTTCCTACTGGTAATCTCGAAGCTACTTTCAGATACATTAACGGTGTTCGATTCGAATTCCCCTTCAATGTACCTAACTTTGATGGTCCTGGTTACTACAGTCTCAGCCCCGGTAATGTCATTCGTGTCAATGCTGATGGTTCTTGGAGATTCGTCTTGGGTGGACCCAACAGTCTTCCTTCTCTTGGCGGTGGATTCAGACTTCCTACCTTCAGTATTAACTTGCCTACGCTTTCTTTCGCTAGCTTGTACTTACCTGGTAATGTCCCCATCGATCCTTACACTGGTCCCGGTCTTTACTCTGTTGGTTTCAACTCGCTTGTCTCGATTAGCGCTGATGGTCAATACAGCTACTTGCAAGGAAATGGTATGTTCGGTATCATTGCCGGTTCTGTCAGCTTGCCTACTTTAACTGGTCGTCTTCTTTCACTCCCTGGTGGCTTCAATATCCCCAACTACACTGGTCCTGGCATCTATACTCCTAGTGCTGGTAACATTGTTTCCATTGGTGTCAACGGAGCTGTTTCTTGGTTACAAGGTGGTGCCGGTGCTTCTATCGGTGGATCTGGTAGTGGCTCCATTGGTGGAGCACTTACCTTCCCCAACATTCAATTACCTACGATCTCTTTAGGTAATGCCAATGTTCCCTCCGGTGGTACTATTACATCTTACAGTGGAGCTGGTATCTATACCTTGAACGCCAACACAATTATTGAAGTTGGTTCTGGTGGATCCTACTCTTACATCAAGGGTAGTGGTTTATTCGGTGTTCAACATGGTGTCTTGGTATTCCCACCTGCTGTGAACTTCCCTACCGTGTCTCTTCAGGGTGGTTTCAAGATCATGACTTATAAGGGTCCTGGTGTTTACACAGTTGGTACTGGTAATGTTGTATCGATTAGTCCCAGCGGTGGTGTGAGTTGGTTACAAGGAGGTCCTCGTTTGAAGGCCGCTAATGTGATTGATTCTGATCCTGCTCAATTCTCCAAGGAAAGTACACCTAGTTCTCAAGGATTCGTCTTGCCCTCTTTCTCTTTACCTTCTTTCTCCAAGCTCGCTGAGGCCTCTGTCAGTGTTACTAAGGAACATGTAAAGCGTGATAATCAAAACAACTTCTTTAAGAATGTTCTTTCCCTCTTCTAAAAAAAAAAAAATTTCTTTAATTTTCCCCCTCCCCCCCCCAAAAAATTTCTTGTTTAAAAAAAAAAAATTTCTTCCCCTCTCCCCAAAATCATCAAGATTTTCATAATAATAATTTAATAAAAAGATAAAGCTCTTTTGTATATTAATCTCTCTCTTGTCTTTCGCTTGTTTAATTTTTTTTTTTTTTTTTTTTTTAATTTGGTTCACACAGCTGCATAAAAAAAGCTAAAGAAAAAGTTTATGCCGAAAGACCTTATTTCCTTTTTTGGATTTAAATCATTTGTGCCTTGTCATCTCACACAAAAAAAAAAAAAAAACACAAAGCCCGTAAAAAACACAAAGCTCATATATAAACACAAAACCCCTATAAAAACATAAAGCTCATATACAAACACAGCAAGGTAATTGCACACATACACACACGTAATTTTTTCTCTCCCATCAAACTATTTCTCTTGATCCATAGCTGTTCGTGCCTCATCCAACTCATTCACCACTCATAAAAAAAAACACAAGGTAAATTCCCACAACACTATTTATCTCTCTCTCTCTCTGTACATATAAAAATCATACGCACACAATTTTTTATTTTCCTCAGACACACACACAAAAAAAATTTACTCTTCCTGTTCCATCGCAGCTCTAGCTTCATCCAACTCATCCTGCATAATCTTTTTTCGTACAAGCGCAGCTCTCGCCAAATCCAACCGATTATACTTTTTAAACACAATCGCCAACCGTCGATCCATCTCCATACGTTTCTGAACATTAGCCAAATACGTCTCCATGTCCAATAATCCCGTTTGCACCTGAATCACAAGCATATTCATCTTAATCTCAATCGCTTGTTTACGATCCATCCATTCCTCTTTATTCTTTGCTCCACTCATCGCCGCATTCACCACCCCCAGTTCATGCTCCATCACCATATTCGATACAAGGTTATCCACACTCTCAAATTCCTCTTCCGCTCGCTCCAATTCCTCATCTACTTCCTCCTTCCTTTTCATTTCGGCCTTGACAGACGATGGTTCTTCCGCACGTGGAACAGGAGTTGAAGTCAATGCTGGCGAACTCGTTTGGACCAAAGGGGAACTGCTCGTCACTAAGGGTGAACTACTCGTCACTAAGGGTGAACTGCTCGTCACCATGGGAGAGTGGACGATAGGAGAACTAGAAGAGGCAGCAGGCGAACTTGTCACCGACAGATTTTCCAGTTGTGGGGTCAAGGGTCCACCCACTGTCATGCGGGCCGCAGACAAATGCTGTGACACGGTACTACCAAACGCATCCAACACCAACCATCGTTCCGACCGTTTCACAATATCCTCGCCTGTCAATGGTTCTCTTAAATTCACTGCAATTTCAATCTTTCCTCCCGTCTTTTTTCGACTCGCATCCAAAATCTATCATGACAACAACTTATTTTTAGCACATCTACATACACACACACACACACACACACTTACGTCAAATACACCCGAGATGGACGATTTGGTTAATAAACGATCCATGGGAATCACCACTTTACCAATCGAGACAGGTCTTCGAAACATACCATAGGCGTATTTATTATGAAATACCTCCAGACATAATTTCTTACGACTAACATAACGTGTAAATAACCGGTTCGTACGACTGATCGGTATCTGTAAGCTAAAATCAAATTGTGGGTCTACACCCTGTAAGACAGGTGTCTCTCCTTTATTCATACTCGCTTGAGCTGTATTCTCCGGTGGCCAACCTCCAAAATCCCAGGTCACAAACGGCTCCAGATGCGCTATACCCAACGTGGGTAAACTCGTACATCGTATAATGTTCAATTCCATCATGTTCTCCGGTACAGTGTCCAAGATATTTTTATATGTGTAGTTCACTTGTTCATAATGTAAAGCAGGGATTTCATTTAGGCTTTTAAACGAGACCAAGTCTGTTGCAAAGGCAGATTCAAGTGCGAGGTAGGCGTCACTTTCCTCCACCATCATTTTGCTTTTCTTCTTTTGTGCTGAAAAGCCATTTTGAATGGCCAGGTTGTGGCATACATTCATTTGGTATGTGAGCTGGGATTCGATCTGTTGCATGGAGTTTCTGCTGCTGCTACCGTCGTTGCTTGTAGTGGTGGTCGTATCGAGCTGTCCCACAGCACGTATCTTACCGTCTCCCAAATTCATGTCCGGTGCAGAAGGAAGTTGAGGTATTTGCGTTGTCTGTCCGTTTTTAAGATCAATACCCATACGTAGCAGTTCCTTGGAGGTGCGGATCATTTGTTTAGCTACTGACAAATTACCGATTTTCTTGTAATGTAATGCAGCTTCCTTGTATTGCTTTTGTAAACGGATCACTTGGTTGAGCACGTCTTGTATTTGTTGTAATTCGGCCGTGGATGGTTTTGGTGGTTCAACTACCACAGGTTGTTCCTCTACTGAGCGAGGCTGTGGTGGTGGTGGTGGTGAGGGATCTCGCACTGCCGGTGGAGGTGAAGGATCTCTTACGGCAGGTGGAGGAGACAACTCTCTTTTGGCAGGTGGTGTAGGTGCTCTAGGATCGACGACCATTAATTGGGATAAATCCTGAAATTTTTGATGAAATAGTTTGGATTCACGTAACAAGGCAACTGCCTTTTTTTTATCGCCTTCCTTCTTTGCTACCAGTGCGGACTTTTGATAGGCTTGTGCCTTTTCTTTCCAATACAGAGGATCGATTGATTCCTCCTCCTCTTCCTCTTCTTCGTCATGTGGACGGTCGTCATAATTGATGGGTGTGGGTAACTTTTTTTGTGGTATTTCGTCCTCGAGAGGAGGAGGTGGAAGGGGACTTGAAGGGGAATCAAATAAATAATTAGCAGCTCTTTCAAGATCATCATCGAAACGTTGAAGAGCATCGACAGCTTGTTGTGTGGAAAAGCCCATATTGATTAATTCTGTGACTTTGGTAGATTCATGCGCCCCCGTATCTAACGCCGACAACTCATTCTAAAAAAAAAAAAAAAAAAAAAAAAAAATTGGGGCGTGAGTGATGGCGTTTTTTTTTTTCAGAATAGAAAACCTTACCAGTAGATGAGGGTCGTTAAAATCACTTTCATCCAAATCGACCTCGATATCGTCTTCTCCTTGAGCTAAAGCTGCATATGAATCAATATCAATATTCATCTCTTGCGTGGGCTGTTTTTTTGTTGGTATTTTTTTCTTTGCTGCGGCGGGGGTTGAAGAAGAGAGTTCCTGTAATTGCTTCTAAAAAAAAAAAAGCATATAAGGGTTAGCCAAACAAAAAAGAGAGCCGTGTTTTTTTTTTAAAAAAAAAGAGTTACAAGTAAGTCTGGGTCATTCATGTCCAAGTCTTCATCCCCATCATCGTGTAAAGTAGCATTTAATAGTGCATCCAAGTCAAACTCCTTTGATGGCACTTGTTGTCCCTTTCCAAACATTATTTGTCTTTTTAAGAGAGAGAGAGAGATAAAGCAAAAAAAAGTCCGGTGAACAAACTAAAAAAAAAAAAAAAGAGCGCTACGTGACTGTTGTAACTCCGGTCACAAGTGAAGTAGTGTGTATGTGAGAGGGAGGGAGGAGGGGAAAAATATTTTTCTTTTTTACGATTAGATCATGTCAGAACCCATAAAGGAAGAGGTACCACCTACAACTAAGCCTGTTGAAAAAGAAGTGCCCACAGGTATAACCCAATTAAAAAAAAGTAAAGGGTGACCCTCCATGGTGTGTGCTAACAAAAGGAAAGAATAGGTCCTGTGGATAAGAGAATCTTTATTGGCGGTTTACATCCTACCGTCTCTGAGAAAGAAATTCAAGACCGGTTTAGTAAATTTGGCAAAGTCAATGCAGTTCATGTTGCCAAAAACACCGCTGGTATGCTCTCTCTCTCTCTCTTACCTTACCTTTTTTTTTTGACATACTAAACACACATTGCAAAAAAAAAAAAAAAAATATAGACGAATGCAGAGGCTTTGCTCACATGACGATTCACACCACACCCAAGCAATGGGAATCCTGTAAAGTTCTCGTTCTGCATGTATACACATATACTATTTTCCTATTTTCTATGTCTTATTAACCCTCCTCCTCCCCAAAAAAAAGGTCTGAGTGTCTACAACGGCGCTAAATGGAGAGGTCAGGAATTAAAGCTCGAGGAAGCCAAACCCGATTACCAAGTACGTTTTCAACAACGTCAAGAAAAGATTAAAGAGCAAGAAGAAAAGAAACGAAAGCGATTATTGAGATGGAACGACAGTGAAGGTTTTCATGCGAAAGATATGACTCCCGTGACAGATAACAATATGGGTACACGAAAAGGATGGAAACGAGGTCGTTATGGTCGTGCTATTGCCGTCATGCGTCTCAAGAAGAACGACGGTACCAAGGTAACCTTAATTTATTATTTCATCCCCTTTTTTTTTTTTGGACAGCGATTTTTTATTCTCTTTTTTATATATTTTTAGTTTGTGTTTGAACCCACGCATTATAAAAATAATTTGGAAAAGTTGTACAATATCGGTGTCCGCATGAAACCCGTGAATCAACTCATCACCAAAGTCGAAGAAGATGACGATGACGAGGATGAAGAAGCACGTTGGCCCAAACTTCGTAGATTATCCAACGATCACCAACAACAAGAAGAAGAGGAGGGGGAGGAAAGAGAGGATTACAAGATGACCGATGATGAAAAACGTCGATTTGCCATGGAAAAAATGTTTGCCGATCAACACGCTAAAAAGCAAATGATGCAAAAAGCACTTGTGGCAGCACAAGGGGATAAACAACACACCAGTTTCGAACAAGAGGAAGAAGAAAAGGTAGATGATGTCTTCCAGATGGATTTGGATAAAGAAGAAGAACATAAGGAACCTGTAGAAGCAAAGAAATGGATGTTTGATTCAGATGAGGAGGAAGAGGAGGAGGAGGAGTTTAATATTGAGATTAATCCTGTACTTGAAGGTGAAGCAGGTCGTAAACGTTTAGAACTTCAAAAGAAATTTAAGGGTGATGATCGATTTAAATTGGGTGAGGATTTTATTGACCCTGCTGAAAAGGAAGCACAAAAGAAGGAAGTGGGAGATGCTATCTCTCAAGAATTAGGTGCAGATAAAAGTCAGGCTATGGATGTCTTGAATGCCATGTTTGGTGAACGTAGAGTGGATCCTAAAGTACAACCTAGAAATACTGCTTGGACAAATCCTGCTCGTTTCGATCCGGATGCTGAGGATTCATCACAATATCTTGCTGATAAACCTCAAAGAGAAGAAGAAGAAGAGGAAGAAGAAGAAGAAGAGTTTACGCCTAGAGTAGAAAGTGCTAAACCCATTGTCTCTACTGCAAAGCATTTCGAAGTCAGTACTAACTTGAAACCTCTCTTTGGAGATGCAGAAGAAGCACCCTTCACCTTATTCGGTGGTAACAACAACAGTACACCCGTGACAACCAAACCTTTGTTTGCACCTACTCTCAATAGTAAATCCGGCAAGGACTTTACTTCGAATTTTATTCCACAAAAACCCGAAGGACAAATCGGCCTGGGTGTCATGTTCTTTTTCCACTTGGACGACCCTTCCTTGATGAAAAAGTAAGTAGTGGGACACAAGAAGAAAGAAGAAGGTCATCTAACCCCATTTGTTGTTTATAGGAGTTGTTATTCATATGATGCAGCAGGTATTTTCCAACAAAAATCCGATGAAAAGGACAGTTATGAATCGAAATGGAGAACACAACGACCCATTATTAAAGAAATCCTTAAAAAACGTCAAAAGAATGCCGTCAAAAATCAAAAAAAGAGATCCACTACACGCGACAGCAAGTAAAAAAAAAAAAAAAAAAAAAATTGTGGAACTCAATGTACATTTTTTTTTATCCCCCCTCACACACATATATATAAAAAAATAAAAATACAAAATGAAATAAGCTTTTTTTTTTTTTTTATGCCTGTTGCTTCATAAAGGATTTGACAACCGTCATGACTTGATCTCCACAAAACCTTCCCAACATACCCATAGACACAGCAATCTCATCAAATGTCGTGACTTGATCCACTACCGCATGGGAAGCGCCTACAGAACTAATACAAAAGGGTACAGGCTCACAACTATGATCACCGTATAACGTAGGTGTCGTATGATCTCCCGTCACCACCACCGCATACTTCTTTATGTTTTTAGTCAAACACACAAAAAACTTATAAAAAACCTTTTTTTTTTTTTTTACCTCAGTGGTCGTATCCTTGCGCAAGGCAGTGAGAATCTCACCTATCATGGCATCTATTTTCTCCAGATAATACACCTTTTTATCTACATCACCATCATGACCTGCATCATCCACTGCTTTTAAATGACAGAATCCAAACGTGTATTTTTCCGACTGGATATGTTGTACACAGGCTCTACCTTTGGCTCCGAAATCCGTCTGATAATCTCCCGTGGCTCCCTCCACATGGATCAAGTCCATACCCACTGTCATACCAATACCTGCAATAATACATGTAGGCGCGATCAAGAAACTCTTGAACCCGTGTAATTCTTCAATGCTTGGCACCTATACGTTTTGCTGCATGATTAGTATATCTATTGTATGGGAGCCAATTTTTTTTCTGTCCTTGTCTTTACTTTAATACAGCTACCACAGCCTCTTAAGAGTACACAATTGGCAGGATGTGTGTCTTGTTCAATACGCGTTTGGTTAATAGGATGGCTCATTAAAATCTCATGAAATACCTCCGAGAGTTCATTGGTCAACTAAAAAGAATCATCAATATCCGTTGTGCCCACATATCTTTCAACCCGACATGTGTTGTTGTGTTCCTTACTTTGCTGGTAAGTTTCGATGCTTCATCATCCACTGTAGGCTCACAATAGACCAATGGTTTTCTACATATAAAAATGAGTATCTAGTGATAAGATTCGAAACATGATATCCTCCCCCACGCTTACCCATCTTTTAAAGGATCCGTGCCTGTGATGGAATCCGTAAGTTGTGGACCTCGGACTCGAACACCACAACGATGATCAATCGCATGTTTTACAGCCACTTCATGTTGAGGAAACGAAGGCAATTTCCTATTGAAAAAAAAAAAAAAATAGAAGGGAATGAATCATGGTCCCGGGCATCACTATATGTGTGTGTGTATGTATGTGTGTGGGAAAGATATTTACACGCCATCGAGAGCTTGACACAAGACACGTGCGAACACTCCAAAATCTCGATCGACTTTTCGTAACACCACCATGCCATTTTCCATGTACGCGAAATTCGACTCAACAGCAAAAAAAAAAAAAAAAATTAGAGTTAAAAATTATTTTCTTTTTAAATGTGTTATGAATGTCTATACTTTGAATGCAATATCACCGGGAATCATGTCAAGTCCAGCTCCCATACTTTCAAAAGCACCTCTTCCACGATAATACCTATACACACACCATAATTTAAAAATTTAAACGTGGGCAAAGGGTCCCCCCCCCCTTTTTTTTTGTGTTCGTGTGTATCCTCCCCCCCCCCACTTACTTTCGTGGATCGTAACCAAGAATGGAGAGATGAGCTGTATCTGATCCACACGCTAATCCGGGTTCAACAGGATCAAGAAGTCCATTGACACCTGTTCCTAAAATAATAAAACGTGTCAGAAGTTGAACATATTTGATCCTGCAGTCATACGTACTGGCAAGTGTGTCCAACCAAGGTGTATTGGCTCTTTGCAACGGCGTCTTTCCATCGTGTGGAATCGTAACATCACCCAACCCGTCAATCAAGAACATTAACAATTTCATTTTTTAAAAAAAAAGACCTAAAAAAAAAAGAGAGAGAGAGAGGGAGTTTATTTAAAAATAGGTTTATTTATTGCGTCACAAAAAAAAATATATTCTAAATGATTATTGATTCCAATACTGTTGTTGTTGACGAGAAGGTTGAGTTCCTTGAGGCGCCATTTGTTGTTGAAATTGTTGTCCGTTAGGATATTGTCCATAAGAAAACATTTGAGGTTGACCAAAATAATTCGCTCCACCTGAGGTTGCATACCCAGTACCTTGTACAGGTTGTTGGATATGTTGCTGTTGTTGATGATGAGCTTGCACTTGAGCTTGGACTTGAGGTGCTCCCTGCTGTCCTCCTCCTCCTTGTTGCTGTTGTCCTCCTCCTTGACCAGCGGCTACACTTGCACCTTGTCCATTGCTTCTCATATCGGATTTCTGTACTCCATTTCCACCTGAACCTTGCACAGGTACACCTCCATTACCTTGTTGAGACAATCCTAAAAATCCACCTTGTCCATTGCTACCGTTAGCAGCAGTGACACCGCCAGCAGACACAGCTCCTCCTCCTCCAGCAGCATGATACATACTCTTTTGATAATCATTTAATCCCATACCAAGTTGATTTAAATCATCATAGGAAGGATGGTTGTATAATTGAGATTGTTGACCATAAGGTGATGCACTGCTATAAGGTGATGTACCTGCTCCAACAGTACTCACACCACCTGTAGCACCACCACCTACACCAGAAACGCCACTAGGTTTACCTCCTTGTCCTTGAGCATGTTGTTGCTGTTGTTGTTGTTGCTGTTGTTGTTGATGTTGTTGCTGATGATGTTGCTGTTGATGTTGTTGTTGATGTTGTTGTTGATACATGGTAGGATACATGCTCTTGTTCATGAAAGGTTGACCGTACGCGGATTGTTGATACGCGTTAAATTGATTAGGCATGTAATAATATTGATAATAAGGTAAATTCGTAGGATACATTTGACCTTGTCCTTGAGGTAATTGACTTTGTCCTGATTGTCCATGAAGACTTTCTTGACTGTACTTGTCTCGACTTCCATAAGCACTGGCAGAGGTCACAGAAGGTGAATGACTGAATGCCGTAGGATCATAATAACCCTTTTTTTTGGGGAGGGGGGACAATGCGTTAAAAAAAAACTTATCCTTCTACCATCTCATACAACCCCCGCCTCTCTCTCTCTCTTTCTTTCTCTACACTTACCATGGCAGCGGCGCGTTGGGCTTCAGTGCCGTAGATACCATAATCAGGTAAATTACCCATGGGATTCATACCAAATCCAGAAACACCGGTAGGTGGTTGATTGGGTAAATAAGAACTATAAGCAGAGGTAAGATGATCCATACCACCAAACTGTTGTTGTTGTTGTTGTTGTTGTTGTTGTTGTTGTTGTTGTTGAGGAATACTCTGTTGATGATGAGGAATAGGTTGTCCATGATGCTGTCCGTGATAGGTAGGTTCCTGTTGTTGTTGTTGTTGTTGCTTATGAAGATAGGCAGATGACGATTGGAAGGATTCGGTAACGGGTGTAGCACTGGTGGTGGTAGTGGTTGAGCTGGGGATAGCAGCTGTGACAGGTGTAACAGGTGTTGCCACGGAAGCGGCAACAGGTGTAGCCACGGCAGGTGGGGAAGGTGTCGTGGTAACAGGTGCAGCAACAGGTGCAGCGACGGGAGCGGGAGAGGGAGCAGTGACAGGTGTAACAGGTGCAGCTGCAGCCATAGGAGCGGGAACGGTTTTGGGGGTAGCAGGAGTAGCTTGAGCAACGGGTTCAATGGCAGTAGCCACAGTGGTTTCTTTGACACTATTGATAACAATATTAACAAAAAACCATTACCCTTTTAATTCTCTCTCTCTCTCGCGAGTAACAAACTTACATTTCTTCAACAGCGGGTTCTTCATCCATATTTAAAGAACCAAATTTAACATCCAAGGAGGAAATGGTGGTGGTATTGGTGGTAGCGGGTAAGACGACGGATTCTTCTTGATTAATAAGACGGTTTGTGGTGACGGGTGTGGTTTCTTCTTTTTCTTCTTGAGCATCTCCTTCTTCGGTAGACCATTCGGATTCAACGGGAGGAGCTTCTGTGGTGGTAGTGGTAGTAGTAATGGGAGCAGACCATGCATCTGCCACGTCGTCATGAGCGGGAGCAGAAGTAGTGGTAGTGGTAGGAGCGGAGGTTGTTGTGTTGGACCATTCGGTGGTATTGGGTGCATCCCATTCGCTTAGTGTTGGTGTAGTGGTATTTTCAGTCGATGAGGAGGATGTATTTATATTTTCAGTGGTGTTAGTTACAGGTTCGGATTCAGGTTTAGGCTTTGACCTAATAATAAAAAAAAAGGGGGGGGGAAGGGTTAGCTAGGTTGTGACGTTATTAGGTACGATGTGTACGTTACTTGAGAAGACTGGCCCAGGTCTTGGGTTGGTCGTCATGGTTGTCATCATTTGTTGTATTATGTGTAGGAGCAGGAGACCAATCGTCATTTGGACTAGATTCATTTACAGTTGTCCAAGACTCCTCGTTATGTAATTCTTCTTGTTTTGAGGAGGAAGCAATAGATGCCCAAGACCCAGCAGCAGCAGCAGCAGCAGCGGCGGCAGTGGCAGAAGTAGTGTCTCCGTGTCTGTTATTATTGTTGTCTCCCCAAGAAGAAGAAGAGCTCTTTTGTGTACGACGGCTAGCTGAAGAATTTACTGGTGCTGCTTTTAATTAGGACAGGGAAAAGGTAAATAAGGAAGGATGAGAGAAAAAGAGAGAGAAAGATATATTAAAAAAGGTACCTTTGCCGGGTCGAGAGGTAACTCGTTCATTATATGATCTTTGTGGTGTAATTTTAGTATCACGTTGAGCGTATGTGTTCGTAGTAGTGGATTGTTGTTGATGTGAAGAAACGGATGGGTTAGCCACCTTTGCTTTTTGTGCTTCTTTCTTTGACTTTTTAGTCTTTACTTCTCCCCATTGATTAGCGTGTCCTGTTTGTTTTAAGGAGTGTATTCGTAAGCGCTGTGTTTTTTTTTTTATTTTTTTTTTATTTTTTTTACCTTCACTAATTCTGTCTATGGTTAAATCCAGGTCACCATTAGCTTCTTCCAAAACAAATAAAAGGTCGTCGTCTGACCAGTCAGAGAATAGAACTTTGAGAGTAGGTAGTTTTGCAGAATATTTAGACTTGAGTTTCTTGAGATCATTTTGTTCACTAGATTTAGTCCTTGTGTTATGTGTGCGTGTTTCGTGTGAAGTCATTTTTTGGGCTGAAAAAAAAAAAAAAATTATCGTATTTTTTTTCTTGTTTTTTTTTTGGTTGAAGCTATATAAAAAAATAAAAGGTTTTCTTTCTATTGTTTTCATTAATAAAAAGTTTATTCCTCTTTTATTAAACACTACACTTGCCTCGTTGTTCTTTTTTTTTTTGGAAAAGTTGTTCCTCGAATATAAAAAAAAAACCGTGGTAAAAGAAAAAAAGATACTAAAAAAAAAGAAGAAAAAAATCCCAGATAAAAAATACATGTCGGAGATTGGATAACAAATTATACATACTTGTATTATAAAAAAAATGAGACATTCACGTCATCTATTTTCTCTCATCAAACCACCCCCTTCAACAAAAGAAAAAAAAAGCCCTTTTACCCCCCTTTTATTCCTCCCTTCTATTTCCCCCTTTATCCCCCCCTTTCATCTTCTGTTGTTGTCTTCTTTTCTCTTTATAATCTCCCTTTTGAGTACTCAATCCACATTGAGTTGGATCTCCGCCAATAAACGTACCAATCTTCCCATCTCGTTTCTGAGCCCCCAATCCCCTTCACCAATCAATCACATGCATTGACCTATCCAATCATCCCATTTTTTCTGTCAAAAAAAAAACTTTCTTGGGGGGGAGGGGGTAAAAGAAGGTTTGCCTAATAAAAAAAAAAAAATTGGCCAGTTTGAAATGAAAATGGATCAACCAATGAAAAATGGGTCACTAAGACGAAAATGGTTCATTGTTTTGAAAATGGGTCACCAATAAAGAAGTGTAATATTTTGTTTCTTATAATCCTTTTTTCACAGCTCAAATATCTCTGCCAGAACGTCAAAGAATGCTTTATCCAATTCTCGCAATCTTCTCTGCTGATGTGAAATGCTGTGTTGCGAATACGATTAGAGATTTTTTTTTTTCATTCTGCCGGTGTTCCTACCATAATATCTAGGAATGATACGCTTGTAGGTTAGGCAACATTTCTCCTTCATGTGATTTTCCACTGATCTGAGGGTAATCTGTATATCTCTAAATTCTTTTTGACAGGTGGTCTGTAACAGCTTCAACTGTCAATGTTGACTCATTAGCCAGCAGCTCAAAGATAAATACAGTATGTTTGTCTTTGAGTATTGTGGGTCGTCCCTTTCCTTCTTCGATTGCGATAGAATCAGGGAACCCTTTTTCAGCTATTTCGCTTGTCATTTGATTCCACTGCTTGACTTTACGAATAGCTGTTGACTTGGAAAGCCCTACCTTTCTACCCGCTTCACTAATAGACATTTATTCTCAAACTCTTGCAACAAATTGATCAAATTGACTACCTTTGCTTCGTTCTTGGTAATGTATGATCCCCCTTTCCTTCTTCACTACATCAAGGAAGGGCTCTTTGGAGTGAGGCTTGGTCTTCCTCTTAGCTTCTTTTTTGTGCTGCATTTACTGCTGCAGTTTCTTCCCCCAGTCCATATATGATTGTATCATCACAGGTATTGTCTCACTGTCAAAATTCTATTCTTCATTCATGTTGAGCAATATGAAGAAATTCAAGAAAAAAAAAAGAAGAGAGAATTCGGCCAATCCTCATTACATTTCTGTATTGGTGACCTATTTTCGTAATGGGTGACCTCATTTTCAAAACAATGAACCATATTCGTCTCAGTGGCTGAATTATGTTATGAAAATTAAAGACAGTGAAGTTCTTTGAAAGTCTTAACAAAGTAAGATGTGTTTTATTAGGGATTTGTCAGTGGAAAATAAATATATAATTGCGGTAGTTATAATGATGAACACACAGAGATGACTATATTGAGAGAGCGCGATATTAGCGCTTGAGAGATCAAGATGATAGATGGCTGTGTGAGAACACTGACATTAAATAAGTATAGATTGTAATGTAGCACGATAAAGATCCAGTGAAAAGGCTATGCTGGTAAATAAGTGAACTATGAGAACTGACTGACAGCAGAGTCTAGATAAAATGAATAAGATTTTTTTTTTTTTTTTTTGTATTAAGTCACGTAATTTATTAGAAAATACTTTAAACACTAACATAAAAACCTACGTCTCCGCTATCAGGGAAACATTAAGTGAAAACGCAGTTATAGACCGTTGAACTTGATACGATTGTTCAAGTTTTGCCGTGGCTAATTGAACCGACCAACTAGAGTTTCTGAGAGAATGCCGATGTGTCAGCCAAACCGCTTCCAGTATATAGCCTATCTTCATCAGCGAGTCATCCAAAATCTGATTGCCCGAAAGAGTCGTCAATCGAACGAGACTGCACCAGAGGGCTTCTTGAGTTGTCGGTACGTCCGAGCAAATATCTGTTCTTTCATCAAGCGTTCAAGCTCAACCATATCTTCAATATTTTGTTCAAATTTGCTAACTTCCAGTAAGACTTTATAGCAAATTTGACATTTGGTTTCTTCACTTGTTCCAGCTGAAACGGGCTGTGGGAAGCTACTGCTGCTTCCGTTATTTGAGTCATTTTTACTGGTTAGATAAGGCTGTTTTCTTGCAGGCAGGGTGATATTGCTAGTATTCCTCACTATATAGACACAAATCAGTATAAGCATAATCTGATAACTTATATACACATACCAGCAGAAGTTTTATTCTCACTTTGTACTTCTCTCGAGCTAGGAGAAGAAGAACTTTGAATTGCTCTTGAGCAATGTCGTCGATTGTGGCCAATATCGTTGCAGTTATCACATTTGATACTGTGAATACGTTTTTTTCAGTCATTGAATACTCAAAAGCAGAGGAATTTCGCTGTATGCTTGAGATATTTCTGTTTTGGGCAACTAATCCTGCATTTCGTTTTCTGCCTTTTCTTTTAGCCTCGATTGGATCATTCAACTCAAACGGAAGTTCATTATTGAGCAAATTCTCAAACAAAGCCCTCATTGCAGCCTTTCTGTGTGGGTCAGAAACCAAATATCTAAATAAAAATAACTATAAGTATACCATGGTTTAATTATGTATGCTATACTAACTGCTCTTGAATTGCCTTCACAGTATCAATGGACAGAAAATTAAATTCCTGTGAGGATTAAATAACCTGAGAGTTACCATATATTTGAGAGTTTGACTGAAAGCTGCTATCTTCTGCCACTGTTTCAAGTGTACTGTCTAAAGGAACTTGAGGCATACTATAGTTTGTATCGGAGACCGAAAGCCACCATTGACGGCAAAAATCTTCTTTTCTCAAAGTTTTTTTTTTGAAGAACCATTGTTCTGATCTTATGAGCACAAGGAATTCTCATTGTGTTGTAGAAACTGTTTTTGCAGACACCAATTTTGAATTGTTCTATTGTTGGATATTTAAGATTCATTCTGGCCAAGGCATACTGATGCAAAGCTTTAGTCAATGCAAACAAAGAGATTTTTTTCGCAGCAGTAAAAAAAAGAAGGTACTTTGCTAATAGCACCTAAAGATCTATCTTGAGAAACAGTGTTTTCGTAGTGTATTCTGCTGATTTGAGCGGTAATAGCATTATTGATACGGCTGACATCGATACCAATATCACTGGTACTAACTTTTAAGTATCGTTTAATTGTAGCATGCATGCCTTCAATTCTTGAAGAAGGAGTGCTATTAAAATGTTGGAACTGTTTTGTCCAAGCTTCTACAAACCTACAATATAGAATATCTCTGCGTCAAGTAAAACACTTTTTGTGTAAGTTTTCTTCGACTTACTTTTCTTTTAAAGGCATCCATTCAGCATCAATGTACTGTTCGCATAAAACTCTTCCTGTAGATGGCAGATTTCCTTTGAAATCCAAGAGATTTTGATAAAACTCCTCCAGAGTGAACGATCTAGTGACCAATGTGTTCCAGTTTGACCGTATAGAATCGGACTCTTCTTTAGAAATTGAATTGAAGCATTTGTTTATATGCACCAATACATTTTTTGATATATGCCACCGACAATGAAAATGCTTACTGGTAGGCAAAACCGTGTCGATTGAATTTATCAAGGCATATTCGCGATCAGTAACTATAACCGAAGGTTGTACCTCCCCGAAGCAAAGTCTGCGAAGACAGAGCAATGCCCATTCATATGATGCCTGCTCCTCAAAAGAAAGAAAAATGCAGCCTAATAAAAAGTGGCATTTGAGTTGGTTATGCCGCCCACCTCTAACAAAGGCATCCCGAACTTATCTGTCTTATAAGTGCTATTCATAATAAGCACTGTATGATAGCGATTGAAGAGCTTAATGAAATCTTCGTGCGCAAAAAAGAACATCATTACTCTTCCTTGCTTGTCAACATCCATATCATAGCGATAACTGCCAGATGCTGATATTTTGTCTACAAGATGTTGAACCGGTGTTCTACCATTTAAAATGCTTTTTCGGATTTTTTTGTTTAGCCTGGTATACTGATCAAGATTGAATTTTTATTATAAATTTAGATAAATTACACTTTATTATTTTAACTTCTTTCAAGCTCTACCAAACATCAAGTCTTCTTTATCATCCCTCGTAGCTGCTCCATTGGTCTTAGCTGCTTCGTCTTCTAGTTCTCGTTTGAGTTTGTAAAGTTTGTAGACTCTTGAGCCATAAATCCGAGACCTACAAATAAGCATAGGATCTTCGGGGTTGTTCGTATAACACAGTTCAACGTCTGGCGATTCTTCAATATATTCTAGACATGTCTTGACGTTAAATTCTTCGTAAGATTTGCAGTAAAATAAACAGCTTGCTTCTTCTTTGGAAATCATGATTACGTTTATTTTTTAAAATAAAAAATTAAGCAGTGAAAAAGCGCGTTTAAAAAAAAAAAAATTAAGCAGTGAAAAAGCCCGGTTAAAAAAAAAAAAAAAAAAAAAAGCGGTGAAAAAGCCCGGTTAGAGAAAAAAAAATTAAGCAGTGAAAAAGCCCGTGTGCAAATTGGGCTTTTTCACTGCTTAATTTTTTTTTTTTAAACGCGCTTTTTCACTGCTTAATTTTTTTTTTTTCTAAACGCGCTTTTTCACTGCTTAATTTTTTTTTTTTTTTCTAACCGGGCTTTTTCACTGCTTAATTTTTTTTTTTTGTAAACGCGCTTTTTGCACTGCTTAATTTTTTTTTTTTCTAAACGCGCTTTTTCACTGCTTAATTTTTTTTTTTTTTCTAACCGGGCTTTTTCACTGCTTTTTTTTTTTTTTTTTTTTTAACCGGGCTTTTTCACTGCTTAATTTTTTTTTTTTTCTAACCGGGCTTTTGCACTGCTTAATTTTTTTTTTTTCTAAACGCGCTTTTTCACTGCTTAATTTTTTTTTTTTTTTCTAACCGGGCTTTTTCACTGCTTAATTTTTTTTTTTTTTTAACCGGGCTTTTTCACTGCTTAATTTTTTTTTCTCTAACCGGGCTTTTTCACCGCTTTTTTTTTTTTTTTTTTTTTTAACCGGGCTTTTTCACTGCTTAATTTTTTTTTTTTTAAACGCGCTTTTTCACTGCTTAATTTTTTATTTTAAAAAATAAACGTAATCATGATTTCCAAAGAAGAAGCAAGCTGTTTATTTTACTGCAAATCTTACGAAGAATCCAACGTCAAGACATGTCTAGAATATATTGAAGAATCGCCAGACGTTGAACTGTGTTATACGAACAACCCCGAAGATCCTATGCTTATTTGTAGGTCTCGGATTTATGGCTCAAGAGTCTACAAACTTTACAAACATAAACGAGAACTAGATGAAGAAGCAGCTAAGACCATTGAAGCAGCTACGAGGGAAGATAAAGAAGACTTGATGTTTGGTAAAGCTTGAAAGTATTTAAAATAATAAAGTGTAATTTAACTAAATTTATAATGCAGAGAATGATAGTCAGATTGTGGAGTTCTTAAATCACATTTATCGACCAAAAGAGGAATATCTTTTCGATTCACGTTATAAATTAATGTCTGTGCATGATAAGGACATCTTATCAGTAATCTGGAAATTCACCTCTAAGTTTGATAAGAAAGGTCTTCTAGGATTCAGTCAATGGCTAAATAAAAACAATGTTGATTTGACATCCACTGAGCCAGTAAGAAAAATAACCAAAACAAGCACAGAAATCAGAGCTCGATTTAGACAATTGAATGTTTTGCACAATGTCGACTATGGTCAGTTTAAAAATAAGAAGAAGAAAAAAGTACTGATTTCTGTTTTATTATAGTTTCTGTAGCAGAAGATATCCTACAAGTATTACCAAATCACCACAAAATCATCAAAGACTTGAAGGAAGATGGATACCAAGTAGTTGGGTACAGTCGGAAATCAGTCGTTGCATCGGAAAATCGAGTTAGCTGTCTGCAAAGAATGGTAAACATTTTGTATAGCCGTTCATTAGTAGACAAGGTTTTTGTCTCGCCTTGCAGCTCAACAAAGCAAAGATTCGTAAAACGTGATTCAGGTGATAATGATGAAATATTATCACAACTAAACAATGTACATGGTAATACAGTAGATTTCTTAAGTTTCCTTAAAAATAATAGTAAGGTATGTGTTGTGGCAATAGACTATGCCGGTTTGACAACCAATGTTTCAGATCTTAAAATATTATTAAGGTAACTCAAGATAGATAAAATTGATTTTAATTTTTCTTACAAATAATCTTTCATTTATAGTGAAAATCCAAGCTTGAAAAAAGTAATCATTGATGAATACTTTTATGAAAATCATTTCAAATATTTTGACAATTATCAACTATTGAATAATCCTATGGATTTAAAAGCTTTTCATTGTCGCTCAAAACCCAAGCAAAGGGGTAAATAAGTAGTAAATAAAATTTAAGTCAATGCTTTTTTTATATTATTGTTAATAAACTAAGTTCAAATTATTTATTCTAAAGGTATTTCTTTCAACGCATGCCACTACGATATCTTTTAAATTTTAAAGGGTTTGAGTTAATTCTTTCATTGCAATGTAAAAGAGGCTTATATGGATCTTCGTCGAAGCAAATGTCGACATCTTTAATGTTTTCCATTTTTTGTAGAGCTACATCTACGTTAGACTCGGTATATTCGAGGCAAAAAAAAATACACAGTGCCTGTTCTCTTGGTATATTTTCAGCCATAACGAAGGGATTTCAACGAATTCTGAGAAATGTGTTTCTGATTCCACCTAACAATAAATAGAAGGGAATTCTTATTTGGACGGAAAATTTTGTTAAATGGATGGATTTTTTGCTGGGCCTAAAATTCAGACGAATGAAAATTATTTTTGGACAAACACAAAGAGGTTTTCAGATAAATAAAAAAGAAATTCAGACGTATGAGTGTTTTTTTTTTTCAGACAAATCAAAATTAAATTTCAGACTTGTTTGAAATGCTCATTTGAAGGTTTCCTGAACCGTCGTTTATTTTGATTGTGGAATAAAGCTACCCTTGCTTAGAACTAGTCAAAGCTATAATATATGAAAAGTGTTTGTAAATAGAGCTTGTTGGCTGAATTTTTTTTTATAGAGTTCGAATTATTACAATTTCCTTTAGCAAGTAATGGTAAAAACTGATATTATTATATGGTATGTATGTATGTTGTAACACAGTATATATTATAATTATTATTAATACAACAATAATAGCTTTTATATGAATACTTTGCTTCCTAGCGGGTTTTTGTGTTAAATGGTAATCGTAATCAAATACTCTTTCTACTGTAAAGGTATTCATCTATAAGACAGAAGTACAAAAAAAAAAAAAAAAAAACCTGATGTGATTGGCCATAGTAGTTGATGGCCGAGACATTACTTTTATAAATGTTATATAAGCCGTTCTACTGATTTATTGATTTACTACAAAAAAAAAATCTTTCTCACTCTTTTTCCTCTTTAACCCCAAAATGAACATGACTTTTGTCGGTTTAGGGGTTTGGGACAAAGTAACTTCAAAAAGTCACTACTAAATCTACTCAATAGCTGTACACACATTCAGTAACCGCACGCGCAGAACAAATATTAGTTATAAATGCTTTCAAAATTGTCTTTATATATGTTTGTGTACTGGGAAGAAATACTTTTGACTCAATGTAAAACATGTCTTTCCCAACATGCGTGGATAGACAGGCTTAAGAAATGTAGAGCGACAGCAGTCGGAGTTAACCCTGCATAAAAAAGAGATGAGAAAAAAAAAATGTCACGCTTTTTGAACACTTTCATGCTAATCATTTTTCCGAACTTTTCATCAGTTTTTACCCTGCTTAGAGAGTATGTTCCTTCAGGTGGGCGGCCAATGAGTTTAAATGTCAATTGTAAATTAATTAAAAATAAATCGCTCACTTTCATAGTTTTATAGGTGCCATTACCAAACTTTTTTTACAGCAGTGTATATGCACGTCGATCTCAATAAGCACAGATATTACATGTAAATCCATCAAGAAAAAACTGTGGTCATCTGAACGAGAACAAAGAAGCCTGCCATTGTTATCTATATATATAAGAAATATCCATAGATGGTGATTATTACTTTAAGGTGGAATTGACTGACGACAACAAGTTCTATGAAACCTCATCTTTGGACATATACCTTTTGGATGGAATTACTATCTATTTGTTTACATGACATCAGAATGTGCTGACTTTTAAAGCATCATATAAATAAAAAGAGAGCAATGGGGAGCGGGTTTATTTTTTTTTTTTACATATTTCCCCCATATCCCTTTTTTTCTGCATTTCGAAAATGTACACCGATGTAGAGACTACTCATGGCATCAATACCGACCAATTCTTGAAAGCAACCGACCACATGTTGAACATGTTTGGTACTTTTTTTTTTCAAACAGTGAGGGTGATCATGAATAACTAACTCATGTTACTAGATCTATTTGGAAGTACAGCATTCAGTGTTGTTCAAAACGACATGCGAAACAACGTCAAGGTATTACTCTCCATCTTTCTATTGTTATATGTCCTTTGTATACTCACTCGAAAAAAGAAAATTCGGACCCGATATTTGACGGATACGAAAGGAAATAATACTTTGGAAAATCTCATGGCCAATGAAGCACATCAAAAGAAACGATTAGCTACGGAAGCCGTTGTTTGGTTAAAAAGGTATATATTTTTTATATAAAAAAGTGCCATGGCAACCATTCACATTTAATTTTTTTTTTCTAAACTAAGAGGATTGGATTTTACAGCACGGTCATTAATGCATAGTCTTGATCATCCTGCAGAAGAATTGGCCACCTCATTTCGCATGGCCTACGATGCTACGCTCCGACCTTATCACAGTTTCATAGTCCGTCCCATCTTTAATGCAAGTAATTTTTTTTTTTTTTTTTGATCACTGTGGAAAAAAGTACAATAACACAAAAGTTAAAATATAGTTGGCAATGAATGCATGTCCTTGGCGAAAAGATTTTTATGAACGTATTGGGATCCAAGATGAAAGTTCCATTGCTCAAATGCGAGAATGGTTAACAGCTTTATTACGCATCATTGCACAACTTGATGCTCATTTCGAACAGCATCCGGCGTACCTTTTACATTAAAAAAAAAACTATTTTATTTTTCTTTAAAATTGAACCTCATTTTTACGTCTATCATATTCATTGAAACGAAGTACGGCATATTCCATGTAATTAAAATCGATATCTGAAATCAGGGCTTGGATCATGGCCCATAAACCCCAATAATAATGAGATGCAAGTGAATAAGCGTCCACTTCTCTAAACAGTTTCTCCTTTTCCGCCTCAGAGGGTGGCACTACAATTTTTTTTTTTTTTTTGGTTAGTTCCTCCTCCATCTGTGCGCCATTGTAAAACTCCTAGACTTTTTTTTTTCTCTTACCTCCATTGTTATTGGACTCCAGGTACCATTGATACCACTTCATTTGGAATTCCTTGGTAGGATATCTCCAATATTCACATTCAAAACCCGCAAATTCATTAAAGTGATTCCCGATATCGAATCCCCGGAACGCATAACAACCATACTCATAATCAATGAAACTCGCCTCTTCCTTTTCTTCATCGTAAATAATGTTTCCATATAACAAATCGTTATGAGAGAACACAATGGGTGAATCCAATTTTTCCAGCTTGACAATCAACTCGTCCAACTATATGGGATAAAGACAACGGTTACACAACCAATAGGAAACGCTCCTCCCCTTTTCATATCTCTCTTTTTTTTTTTTTTTTAGGGCTTACCTCAGTTCTAATCTTTGTGATATCAAATCGGCTTTTAAAGATAGATTGGGTTTGTGCGTTCTCATACTTTTCAGGCACTGATTTTTGATGAGTCAAAAAGAAAAATTTCTCTTTACTAAAATTGAATTTTTACCTTGATCCAGCCATTTGTACATTGTCTTCCATAACTTTTGTTCCTTCTTAGAATCATGACGCTCAGAAGGTAATTTCACTTGATGCCATTGACCCAATTTTTTAGCGATCCAATGAGCAGTTCTTTCCTGTCCTAATTCTTCCACAGTAGATACTTTGCCTTTAATAAATCCATACACTAATCCATTCTTGAATCGAGCGTACAAGGGAGGACACATGCCTTGCGCTGATAGCGTAATGATGTTCTACTCACCAAAAAAAAAAAGGGTTGTTACACGCAACGAAAATATACCATCTCCCTATCTTTTAAAACTTACAAGCACTTCTTGCTTACGGTCAATGATTAATTCAGATCCTTTACCATAGGCACGAACTAACACTGAGAAATCCGTAGGTGTATAAGTCACTCTGACCACTATTTGTTTTTTTAAAGAAAAGGTTAGTAGGTGTCTGGTGAAGAAGAAGAAAAAAAAAGAAACTCACGTTGGTTGGTGATGCCATCTTTGCATTGAACAAACTTAATGTCTTTATAGTTCCATTCGGGAAAGACACAAGAGACGACCTTATAAGCACCTTCAAAGAGCGAGGCATGAGGTACTTCCATGTCAAAATAAGGTGTAGCTTCCACAAGACGATTCAGGGACTCTTCCAAAGAGACACCTTCGTCTTGTGATCTGGAGTGAACAGTGTTAGGAGGCATTAGGGTATAATAAAAAGAAAGAAAGAATAAAAAAAAAATTATTTTTATTTTATTGTATATGTATAAAAAAAAAAAAAGGATCCAATCAAATGTTTCGGAAACTCTGTTTTTTCTTTCGCTAGTCACATGTGAATGATGGGTGAGGGGAGAGGGGGGGATGATCATTTCGTCTTTTTTAGATCTTCTGCCTTGATGTTTTCTATCTCTGAAATATACCTTCTAGAAAATACTTCAATGTAATAATTAGCACCATTCCACACACTGACAGCAAACATGGCCATTAAGAAACCTGTATGCAGATAAAAACTCTTGTAGATAAAGAAGGTAGGGATGGAAGTAACAATATTGTAGACCAATTGTAAAAACATAAACATTTCCGCCTTCCATTTAGCACCAAACATAAATGCCGTATTCTGAATAAAACCTTTTTTACCATGGGTATCATCTAACAACCAAGAATACGAAGTTAAACGTAAACCTGATTCGACCTTGTCTTTACGGCCTACCATGATAAATAGGTAGTACAGAGATTGCCAAATCACATAGGCGGTAGTCGAATACATCATGACTTGTCGGAAGGTAATATCACCTTCGATATCACCCAAAGCAGGAAATCGTGTGTTACGGTAAGAGGTCACAAACGACTGATTTTCACAATAGACATCCTTTTGTAGTTCTGGCATCCACCTGATACAATAAGTCACTAACGGAGGAAATATATGAATAAACACCGAAGTCACCTTATCCAACGAATGAAATACAAGTGAGTTTCGCCATGTGATAATGGCCCATGCAACGGGCCCATTGGTCATACAAAAGGTAGCCAAGAACAGGATACTGGAATGAGGGAAAACCCAAAGGAATAACATGGTCATGCAATTGACAAAATAACAGATATCAAAAATAAAATAATGCCATCGCCTGGACCGATAAATCACATAACGTAAGATGACCAGTACAACCAATTGAACACTGTAATAGAGAGGAATTGAATTAGGGTACCTGAGAGCCAGGGCAGGCGCAACACAGGCATTACCCACACCCACTACAAATGAAATCTTGTCTCGTAACTGTACGGTCTTTGCGTCTCGGTTCATGCGTTTATCAATCTTGTGGTATTGTTTCACCAAAAGCTCCTGGATACGTGAACGTTGGTCCTCTAATTTCTTGGTCTGGTTCTTGAGACTGTCGCGTGTCTTGGTTGTCCACTCCGTACTCTTCACTAAGAACTCGCGTTGCTTTTCATCCAGTTGATTTGACACTTGTTCTAATGCATCCGATAACATGTCAATCATATCAAAGTCATTTTCAGATATAAACTCGGATATCGTCCAATCATCCAGTTCAAATCCATCCTCCACTACCTTTTTCTTTTCTTTTCCTTCCTCTAATACCTCTCGTTCCGCTGCTACTAGTATTGGCGTCACTGACTGTACAACCTCTTCTACTTCTTCCTTTTTACTCATTTACAATTACAATGAAAAGAAAAAATTTGAATAAGGAGAAGAAAAGAGGAAAACTCGCGTCCCCCGGATATGCTTTTTCTTTTTTTTAGGTCAAGTGTGTTTCAATACAACCAATCAAACTCTTTTCTTTTTCTTTGCATGTGCTAAAAATGACATAACCACATTAGACATCGGAAGTTTTTTTTCATCATTATTATTCACAGTATATTTCCATTTTACTATTTCATCTCTTTACATACTTTCTTCTTCCTTACAAATATATGGATGCTCTAAAGAAAGAAGGTAAAAAACCCAGTATAAATTCATACACTTAGACACACTTTTTTTTTTTTTTTTTTTTTTTTTTTTTGTCTGCTATTTTTTTAACACACACACACAACAAGACGGGGTGGTGATCATGGTAACGGAAGGAGAAGGTGGTGGCGGTATGGTAGAACTGGGAGGAGGATTACCAGCGTTACCCCCTAGACCTGTGATTCCACAACGTCAAATCAATGCCACCATGTCAGTGACCAACCCCTTACGAGTGCCTAACGTTCATCAACAAGCGGTGGAAACCCAACTTAGTTTACCTTCCGGTAGTGATTTAGGAGTTGTAGGAAAAATCGGCGTTTACCAATTAGCACACACTTCAGGTTCTCATCCTTCATCATCACCAATACACTATTTTTGGATCTATTCTATGATTGCATTGATTTTTATTTTTGTCATAAAGAAATAAAAAAGAAACTATAATTATTATAATTATTGTTGTTGCATGGCTTTGAATGCATCAACGATAACATCAGAAGAAGAAGAACCAATACGTGTAGAACCTAATTCGAGGAACTTGAGCACTTGTTCTAAAGTCTTGATACCACCTGAAGCTTTCACTTCCATCTCTTGAGGTACATTGGCACGCATCAATTGGATATGTTCATAGGTTGCTCCTGCAGAGGCAAATCCAGTCGAGGTCTTGACAAAGTGTGCACCAGCCTTTTGAGAGATCTCACATGCCTTGACAATTTCTTCATTTGTAAGATAGGCTGTCTCAAAAATAATCTTGAAGCTCACTTCACTCTTGACAGCCTTGGATTTACTAATGATTTCCTTTAATTCGGACTCCACTTGGCTGTAAAGACCTGACTTCAAATGACCAATGTTCAACACCACATCGAGTTCAATAGCACCATCTTGAATGGCTTGCAAGGACTCGGCCACTTTACCGGCAGTAGAGGAATTACCATGAGGGAAAGAAATGACAGTACCTACCATGACATCCGTGTCCTTGAGTAAATCACTGGCTTGAGCAACATCACAAGGCTTGACACATACAGAGGCCAAATTGTACTTTTTAGCAAGTTCACATCCCTTGATCACGTCTTCTGTGGTTTGTTCGGGGCGAAGAATAGCGTGGTCAAAGACCTTGGCGAGCTTTTCAGTGGTTAAAGTTTCGGTAATAAGCATTTTTTATGAAAGAGAGAGAGAGAGAGAGAATAGCGGGAAAAAATTACAAAGAGACGGGATTTATATACCCTCTTGTTAAATTTACCCACACTTTTTTTTTTTTTTTCACTGCCAGATCAATGTATGTCAATGATACACCCTATGTTTAGTGTTACTTTCACCCTATTTTTTTGTTTTTGTTTTCTTTATAGAACAAGGGAAGATTTAAAAAACGTCATTTGTAACGTATCTTTCTATCCCATCAAAACTGACACCTGCTGTAAAAAAATGTACCTAGTATCATGATTGAATATCATTTTAAAGTTTCTTTACATTCTAAACATTTGATGCTGATAAATCCCTACAGATATACCCCCTTTTCCTAAGCCTCCCCCACCCATCTCCAGCTCCCGCTCAGAGTATACAAGTCGTTACCATATACAAGTACGTCGTACGCAACCCAAAAGCCAATAGGCGAATTTCTCTAACGAAGCCCCCCCCCCCCCAATGTTGACACAAAAACGTGGTAAAAACAAAAGAGCTATATTTCCCACCCCCACACATTGTGCATAATAAATACACTTTTTGATTTGTACAGACAGAACTGAATGACGTGCATACAGTTCAGGGTTGTGATACAGCTCATTACTGCCCCCCTCATGTGGAAGTATATGTGGGATTTTTTTTTTTTTTACCTAACTGTTGGATTAGGCGGAGATAATTACAGTCTCAGTACTGGGAAAAAAAAAACTGTACAGCGGCTCCACCCCCAAAGTTCGTTTTCCAATTTCATAAATTCGCTTTTGTCGCAGCCCAAAGTTCGCTTCTTGATTGGTCAAAGTTCGTTTTTTGTAAATCACCCAAATTCGCTTTGGTGGCACCCAAAGTTCGTTTTCACGTCAGAAGAGTTCGCTTTTAAAAATTACAGGATTATGAGATAATGTTATGAGAGATAATGTTATGAGAGATAATGTTATGAGAGATAATGTTATGAGAAAAAAAAATGTTATGAGGAAAAAAAAATGTTATGAGAAAATGTAATGAGAAAATGTTATGAGAAAAAAAAATGTTATGAGAAAATGTTATGAGAAAAAAAATGTTATGAGAAAATGTTATGAGAAAAAAAAATGTTATGAAAAAATGTTATGAGAAAAAAAAAATGTTATGAGGAAAAAAAAATGTTATGAGAAAATGTTATGAGAAAATGTTATGAGAAAAAAAAATGTTATGAGAAAAAAAAAATGTTATGAGGAAAAAAAAATGTTATGAGAAAATGTTATGAGAAAATGTTATGAGAAAAAAAAAATGTTATGAAAAAAAAAGTCACAACATATCATCTCATAACATTATCTCATAACATTTTTTTTTCTCATAACATTTTCTCATAACATTTTTTCTCTATGAATTTAGATGTTAATGCTTTGCGTTGCAAAGATTGCAATGTTGACTTTAAGACTCATTCAGAGTTAAACAATCATAATTACCGCACTCATGTGGATAAAACAAAAGTCTTTATTGATAATGGTAAGAACTGGACATTTAAATAAAACATGACATTTTTTTTAAAGAACAAATAGACACCATTATGGAAGTTAGCAAGGTTGATGGCAAATTTAATTGTCCTGAATGCTCAAGCAAGCTCAGTACTCCAACCACATTTAGCGCCCATCTCAAAAAAAAGCATAACGGCCACTGCGAAGCCATTTCAAACAAAACAAAGCGACGAAGCCTCGAAGATAATAACAACGATAATTCCACAACCATATCATTGAAACATCGAAAGTTACAAAGCCTGAATCTAAATTTAGATGAAATTGATTCATCTCGATCTCCAAAAGCTCTTGATAAAAACACTGCTATATTGTTGGCATCTGGTACATCTTTAGGGTCAACTCGTGAAAAAGAGAATTCTATAATGTTGGCAAGAATTGGAAATTTGGAACCAATATCCATAGTGGGTGGAAGTGGTAAAACTTATCATTTTCTAAAATCGTCAGACAGCATAAGTGATGTGCTAACCGATCAACCTTCTGGTTCTTGGACCCTTCCAGCAGCCGATACAACAGTCATACAAAACTCTTCATCCTCAAGCGTTGACAGCCTTCTGGATCATATTATAAATACAAGTCCACTCTATAACCACTTATTTGATCAAAAATACGTGGAGCTTACAATGGAAGTTACAGAGTTAATAAACCAGGATTGGACTTTCTTTCCTCAGCTTAGGTATGTCACCTCGCAAATTTTTGCTGGGGCAATCCTAGTGAATAAGACATCAGCATTACTCTTGAATTGCATAGAATCATATGGAAGATCGAAGACCGTTGATGCACACCATGAGCGCAGAATTGGAACTGCAATGAATACATCCTCTTTTCCCAAAAAACAACCAAATTACGGATGGATTAATATTATTACCACTCACGAAGACGGAGCAACCAAACTAAAAATTGGCACAACGGTCAGTAATCTGTTGGTGACCTCAAGTATACGCATAGACAAAAACTCAATAACAAAGAATATTGTGGAACTAGGACCAACCACCAGTAATTTCACTGCAACACACGATACAAAAATCTATCTCAATATGGAATCATTAAGATTGGGAAAAGTGTTAGCGAAGGATGACTCAACAACCAGTATTGATGTAGGAAATTACTTCTATCAACTTAGACAACTCAGATCAAAATTTCATTGTTTATCCACATATACTTTATGTCGTTCATCCAGTACATTTGCATATGATATTTCCTACAGACCTTACACGATTTGGACCCTATGCGACTATGATTCTTCCCAACAAACAGACTCACAATCTCAATTGCTATCTCAACTGTTTCAAACAATCGCCACTTCAGTTATCAACAATGGCATATTGGCCCAAATCAAACTAGATGTTCTAAATGATCTATGTAGCAAATTGAAAAATGGAGCAATAAAATATACCATCCGTGAATTTATTGATCAACAAGAGAAATCATTTGCAGTCATCAACAATATGAAACTGAACCAATTACTCACAATTTTAGCTGATTCGATGACTACATCTATTAAAAATGCCAACGCAGTGGTGAACAGTAATTTTACAACACTTCTGCGTAAATAATACCCTATATAAGAAATCATCACTACGGTATACCGCTATTATTTTATTGGGTTGTTTCTTTAATGTATTTCATCTTATATCTTTGATTTGCATTGATACGAACAAAAATTGAATTGTAAAAACAAGTTGTAAATATTATATTATCAGTTCAAGGAAATAAAAACCCTGTTAATGAATACTAAATATACTTCACCAAATGTGGTAGCTTCATGACCTTAATAAACTATTCTTGAAATGCATTTGTTGTCCAGTGAATAATGGAATGAAGCTTGAGCTTGATTAAGCCAAATCTGATGGCTTTGTGGTATTTTGTCCTGGTAATGTCCACACCAGCAAATGCAGACCCAGCAATATTATTGAAAATAGAAGTAGAAGAAGTACCAAAGACACTATCAATAACAACAACAATATATATACTTGAGAGATCCACACCAGTTGGTTGTTCTGCAAGTATATCTTCAATGAGGTCTGGAGAGGCGAGCATGTAATACTTTTTCCCATTTTCTAACGATACTGCTATTGATTTCCAATTTCCAATCTTGCTTAACATTATTATTTTTTCTTGATCAGTTTGTGGAAGATCTAAGGCATTTGACGCAAGTAATACTCCCATGTCATTATCACATCGAGCTGATGTTGAAAATAAAGGACCAGATGAACCAGAATTTGAATCAATTTCATCTAAATTTAGATTCAGAACTAAATTGTTTGTTTTTTTGTTTGATTTTTTGATTATGCGCTGAATATAATTTTTTGGGCCTACTTTTAGACAAAAATAGACATATCTCAGGCTTCGTAACTTTCGATGTTTCAATGATATGGTTGTAGAATTATCGTTGTTATTATCTTCGAGGCTTCGTCGCTTTGTTTTGTTTGAAATGGCTTCGCAGTGGCCGTTATGCTTTTTTTTGAGATGGGCGCTAAATGTGGTTGGAGTACTGAGCTTGCTTGAGCATTCAGGACAATTAAATTTGCCATCAACCTTGCTAACTTCCATAATGGTGTCTATTTGTTCTTTAAAAAAAAATGTCATGTTTTATTTAAATGTCCAGTTCTTACCATTACCAATAAAGACTTTTGTTTTATCCACATGAGTGCGGTAATTATGATTGTTTAACTCTGAATGAGTCTTAAAGTCAACATTGCAATCTTTGCAACGCAAAGCATTAACATCTAAATTCATAGAGAAAAAATGTTATGAGAAAATGTTATGAGATAATGTTATGAGAAAAAAAAATGTTATGAAAAAATGTTATGAGAAAAAAAAATGTTATGAGAAAATGTTATGAGAAAAAAAAATGTTATGAGAAAATGTTATGAGAAAAAAAAATGTTATGAGAAAATGTTATGAGAAAAAAAAAATGTTATGAGGAAAAAAAAATGTTATGAGAAAATGTTATGAGAAAATGTTATCTCATAACATTATCTCATAACATTTTTTTTCTCATAACATTTTTTCATAACATTTTTTTTCTCATAACATTTTCTCATAACATTTTTTTTTCTCATAACATTTTTTTTTCTCATAACATTTTCTCATAACATTTTTTTTTCCTCATAACATTTTTTTTTTCTCATAACATTTTCTCATAACATTTTTTTTTCTCATAACATTTTCTCATAACATTTTTTTTTCCTCATAACATTTTTTTTTTCTCATAACATTTTCTCATAACATTTTTTTTTCTCATAACATTTTCTCATAACATTTTTTTTTCCTCATAACATTTTTTTTTTCTCATAACATTTTTTCATAACATTTTTTTTTCTCATAACATTTTCTCATAACATTTTTTTTTCTCATTTTCTCATAACATTTTTTTTTCCTCATAACATTTTTTTTTTCTCATAACATTATCTCTCATAACATTATCTCTCATAACATTATCTCTCATAACATTATCTCATAATCCTGTAATTTTTAAAAGCGAACTCTTCTGACGTGAAAACGAACTTTGGGTGCCACCAAAGCGAATTTGGGTGATTTACAAAAAACGAACTTTGACCAATCAAGAAGCGAACTTTGGGCTGCGACAAAAGCGAATTTATGAAATTGGAAAACGAACTTTGGGGGTGGATCCGCTGTATATGGGATGTTAAAGGTGAAAAAGATTTCCATGACAAACTTATATCAAAGATAAAGGCAGCATGATTTCTGATTTGAAATAAAAAAAAAAAAAAAGTTCACCCCTAAAAAAAAATTTTTTTTTGGTGTTTTTTTCACTTGTAAACTTTATTATTATTTTGACATGAAGATTGTAGCTCTCGTAAGGTACACATAGCATACACTAAACGCAATCAACCTTACTTTTTTCGAAACTCACCTATAAACAAACCCCCCTCACTAGTGGTGGCAAGGACAGTTGTTATAACATGATGCAATGTGTTGCCAACGGTCATGAAATTGCTGCTATTGCCAACCTCAAACCTCCCATTCAATCCGGCAAAGGTAAGAAAACTTTCCTTTTTGTCAACCAATTGGACTATAACTCACATGCCTTTTTTTTTTTTTTCAGACGAATTGGATAGCTTCATGTACCAAACAGTAGGTCATGACGCCATTTACTTGTACTCGGAATGTATGGACGTGCCTCTTTACAGAAGAGACATTCTTGGTGGATCCTTACTTCAAGGTTCTGATTATACTGTCACTGCTGACGATGAGACAGAAGATCTCTACATGTTGTTAAAGGACGTTTTGGTAAAAAAAAAAAAAAAAAATGTTCGTTGTCAAAAAAAAAAAAAAAAAAAAACTTAAGATGCGTCAGTAGAAAGATCATCCAGATATTGGTGGTGTCTCTGTCGGTGCCATTTTATCAAACTATCAACGTGTGCGCGTAGAACATGTGTAAAAAAAAAAAAATAGAAGAAAACAGAAAGAGAGAAGCGTTTTTAACACGAATAGATAGGTGTAATCGATTGGGATTGACTTCATTTGCTTATTTATGGCGAAGAGAACAAAAGGATTTGTTATGGGAAATGGCGAACGCTGGTGTGACAGCTATCTTGATTAAAATTGCTGCCATTGGTTTAAAACCCATTCATCTGGGTAAATCCATTGCTCAAATGTACCCTTACTTGTGTAAAATGGTAAAATATTACATACAAATGAACGTCATTTAAAGCTTTTTTTTTATTTATAAAAAAAAACACCATATTAGAACGACATGTACGATTTGCATATCTGTGGTGAAGGTGGTGAGTATGAAACTTTCACTGTGGATTGTCCTTTATTCAAGAGACGCATTGTTGTGTAAGTTGGGTTACATCTAGGATTTTTTTTTTTAAAAAAAAAAGAAAAAAAAAGCTGCTTATTTACTCATCAAAAAAACAGCGAGGAAACAGAAACCGTAATTCATTCAGACGATGCATTTGCTCAGGTCGCTTACTTGAAATTCAAGAAATGTACTACAGTGGAAAAGACAGTGGAAGAAATGGATATGAGCAAAACAGTTATTCAAAATTGGAAAGACTGGGATTCTTATGACGAGATTGTATCGGCTGTGAACAATGGAAAAGAGGAGTCGCTCATGATCCCATCAAAGACTATCCAGGATGATGTAAAAGAAAATGAAGTGCACATAGCATCGGATCATGCACCTTTCTTTGCTATTGGTGGAACCACGGCCTACGATAAAGATGCGGATATTACATTTAATAACATTGAAGAGGAAACAATGGCATGTATGAAAGCAGTTGGAGGTAACTTATTTTTCTTCTTTTCTCGGGGTAACGCAAGTTAACTCTTTCCCCTCCTCCTCCCTCAGAAAAACTCGCCGAGAAACAGTTGGAATGGAAGGATGTAGTTACCATGAACGTCTTTGTTCGCAACATGAATGATTTTGGTAGAATTAATGCAGTCTATAAAACTTTCTTCGACATCAACCCTTCACCTCGGTAACTATTTTTTTTTTTTTTTTTTTTTTGCATGAAAACTAATTTTTTTTTTTTTTTTTAGTGCCCTGGTCGGAGTTAATTTAGATAAAAGTGCTAACCTTCAAATTGATCTCGTTGCGATCCAATCCATGCCTAATGTCAAAAGAGAAACCATGCATGTCCAAGGTATCTCTTATTGGGCACCTGCAAACATTGGTCCTTATTCACAAAGTGTTATTGTAAGTGATTTTTTTTTTAATATTCTCTCTCTCTTTATAACTTTGTGGGGGGTTTTTCTTATTCTTTCTTCTTTTTTTTTTAAGACTCAAGGTCATGCTTTTGTAGCAGGTCAAATTGGTCTTGTACCAAACACACTGGATTTACCCACCCCATCTTCTTTTGCTGACGAAGCTGCATTATCTCTCCGAAATTTAGAAAATATCGTTTCCGTGTTAGAACTACCTCTACAAGCCAATATTGCTCTTTGTTATTGTTTTGTTAGCGACCCTACCTATTTACCTTTGGCACGTTCTGCTTGGGAAACCTACATGGAGGGAGACACACCTCCCACTGTGTATATCGCGGTCTCTTCCTTGCCCAAGAATGCCATGGTGGAATGGCAAGTGCTCTTAAACGCACCTCTTCCTGTTCCTTTTGGAGAGGAGGAGTATGATAATACCACGGACGAAGAATTGGATGATGAAACTATTAAGGCTTTAGCTTGGATGAAAATCAGACAAGATCCATTTGGTAAGTATATATATATATATATACGTAAACACGATGTCTTTTTAACTAAGCACTTGGTATTTTAGAGATCAAAACAGTACCTGGTGTCCAATGCAAAGCATTTGCCAAGAGTAATGTTACTACTATCGTAGCACAAATAACAGGTAAAGAAGATGTGTGGGCTTTTGAAATGGAATTTATGGGGTTCTCTAACGCGTTTTATATATATATATATATAAATAATGAAGATAGCGATAGCTTGAAGGGAATGACATCCCAGCTACTTGCATCGATAGATGAAGCGTTAAAGGAGAGCAAAAAGAAATGGGAAGATGTTCTCTCACTTCGAATTTTTTATCGCGATGATATGAAGCTTGGAAACGCAAGTATGGTGAATGCCTTCAGCAAAGATATACTTAAACGATCCAAACATGTCCCTGCTATGACTGGTATTCCTGTCACAGCCTTGAATTCCAGAGGCGAAAGTTCTATTTCATGCACACTTCATGTCCTGTAAACCACTAGTTAGAAATAAAAACATGTACGTAGTAAATGCATATAAAGTCGGACAAGAGTATACAATAGAAAAATATATATATATATAAATATAATTTATTAAATATTGGGAAAGATGGCCTTGATGAAATATACCAAATTATAACGATTGGAGTTTGGAGAGCACGGTAAAGTTGAAAAGAAACAAGACACTTTAACAGAATTCATGAGGACCAATGTAACCACAGTCTTTACGTCCGGGTTCAGGAGCACAGAGAGCACAGGCAACGAAGGCCAAAACTAAGACGATAGTACCTTTAAGCATATTTGTAATTATTATTTGTTTGAGTAAAATGAGAAGAACTCGCCTCTTCAATCCCCTCTTTTTATATTTAACAAAAAAAAAAAGTGTTGGGGTTACTAGGCATTGCTCCAAAAAGTAGATATTACCATCTTTTGATGGAAATGCCTTTTCGAGGAAATTTAACTTTATTCTTTTTTTTTTGTTCCCATGCAGTTCTCTTCAATGAAAGCAAAATTATCCGATGTGACATGGATACAAGTAACATATTTGATAAGGATGTGGGTACAAACTTTTTTTTTTTTTTTACTTCTCAGCTTAATGTATCACATTATTTCCAATGTTTGTTGTGGTTAACAAAACTAGTAAATGTAACTCACAATGACTTATATCAGACTGAAATTATTTTGCTCGTAGTTATCATTTTGGTACATATGTTGTTCAATGATCGATCATGTGAGACAGGACTAACATTCGAACAGTTCATAATACTATAGATTTTTAACTACGCTGAAATAGTATCAGCTCTCTATTTCTTTGAAAGAGGGTCTCCATGGCATTGTGTAAATATAGAAATTGGTCCGTTAAGTCCTCCAACAAAAAAATATTTTTGTAGCACAAATTTCATACTTTTATATAAAGTAGGTATGGTATGTAAAACACAATGCGCGTTCTCATGCCGCACAAAACAAAAAAAATAACTCAAAACTGTACTGTATCACACTAACTAAAAAAAAAACCATAAGTCACATTTAACAGATCCAACTACAACTCCTGCCTCAACTTCATAGTACTCACTGGTTGACTTAAACGCACATTGCATAAAAGACGCATACAAAGGTGCATACAGAGGTGTATACAGAAGCGCATATTAAGACGCATTCTGGCACTTTTGTGATATGACATATGTTAACATTGTGGTGGTGCGGTATCAGAATCTTGTATCCCCCTGTCGCTCATTCGCCGCAACAAGGAATGAGTCCCACTGTACCACTTGTCTCTCTTTTTATCTTAATTTTCGAAGTTATGATTTAAGAAAGAAACCTAATTAAAGACAAACATAAATTTTATACTTAATAAATTGAAGTCATTGTTTTATTTATTCGTAAGGATTGATGCCTAAAGTGATATTAGCTTCAGGATAAAAACATTTTTCCATTGAACGGGTCTCCGTTGGAGTTGTGTGAGCTCCCCTGGGGTCGAATAACCGCACAACAAAGATGTGTGGGTTGCAAGGGAAATTCCCCGTAATACCCCTTACCACCACCTAGAGTGGAGCCTACGGCAAAATTTCGGGTCTGCGAAAAGGGCAAGTAGGTTGCATTTACTCAAAGAAATAGACGGAAGAACTACCATTTAGAAATAAAGCCCCTCCATTTTCATCAACAACAACAGCATCAGTAACATTTTCTTCAGCAATATCTTGAGGAGAAGGGCTGTCATTTTGCATGCCATAAAACTCAAATATCGAATGAGTGCGGTTGTTGTTGGGTGGAGAGTAGTATGTCGGCCTAATCAAACCAAGTAAAGAATGGGCAGGACGCTTTTTCTCTTGAGTTCCATAATCAAATCCAATAGATGATCTTCTTCGTTTTCTTGATTGAATTGCAGATTCGAACAATTTAGCATTATTGCATAAATCGTCGACAAACTGAAAAAAGCTGTTGTAATCCATCCAAATAAAATTCATCTAGCTGGAGTAGCGATGATAAAAAATGAATTTTATAAGGAGGAATAGCCACGTATAAACCGGTGGCAGTTAAATATACCGAAATAACTTGGACACATAAACCCCTTTATCTGAAGCGAATATCCAACGGCTTTCTTGACATCGCTTTCTAGAATCAGTGTTTTCAGAAGACCATCCAGCACGTCTTTACCTTCCCGAAGCAACTTGGACTTGTCATGTAAAATCTTGGACTCGTCTGCTGTTTCCCTAGCGGCTTCACCAATAGCAGTCGGAGAGCAAAAAACAAAATAATGGTCTTGAAACTGGCGTCGCACCTGACATTTTCACCATACTTGCTGCACCTGACATATTCACCATACTTGCTGCGCACATTTTGACCAAATCGTTAAAACAATATAGACCATGGTCAAAACAACCTCAAGCCTACGCTTAAGCTTATAAAGCAGTGCTTGTAGGCTACATTAACATCTCCCGTTAAGATCAAAAAGAAGCCTGATATCGACTTTGAAAGCTTTTAAATTCTTTACATCGTCCTACTGGTAGCCTTTCTCTTCTTGCGAATATGCAGGAATGGTTTCACCGGCCTTGGATCTTACAAGACCACCTTTTGAAAAAAGCATCTTTTGAATTACTGGTATCCATATTTTACTTACAATATCTGATTCCGTAATCAGACTTGTATTTTCAATGTGCTGGAGAAGGAACGTTTCTTCATCCAAAATGTCCAGGATCTGAATGATTACTTTGTGTTCCTTAGAGTGACCCATGGCGTTATTTACGTAAGCCCGTGCTTGTTCGGAGCTGTTGTGTTTTTTACATAATAATGCCGCGACGCCGAAGTGTGCAGTGACGCATTTTAATTGGCTCGCCCCTGTGCTTTAAGCGTGCCAGGCTTGTTTTAAGCTGTGCTTCAAAGAGTAAATTAGACTTGGAGATACTAGGTTTAAACATCCTTGAGTATTTGTGACAAACACTTTCATGGTTTTCGTTAAAGATGCTGTCCAATTGACCGTTCTTGTTAACATCCACGAGATCAAGGATATGCGACGGACCATGTTTTTTTTACTGTCGCAAGATAAGATCTTCAATATAGAGGATACAGCAATAATTGTGAGAGGAAAGATAAAGCCGTAGCTTACATCCCAGCAATCATACAGTATCATATACCCGAAGTACAACGAAATCCTATGTAAAAGTAATTAGTTTCAAGTTCTGATTTTTTACTGCAAAAGGAAACAAAAAAAAACCTCTTACTTCATGATATCTATTTCTTGTTGTGACATGGAAGTGCCTTCAACATACTTTTTGTGTAAGCTTGCTCCGAATTCAACGATTTGAATTAACACTGATTTGTTGTTATCTTCTTTCGGCGTAGATGGGCAATGAGAACTACTAGTGGAAGGTTCGTTTGCTTGCCTCTGCTCCAGTGCATCAATGTCTTGCTCTGAGCTGGTCATCTTTTCTAACATCGCTTGCTGAGTCCGTAAGTTGGCGGATCTTTCAGCCAGATATTTCAGCTTCTTTTCATCCTGGAACAAGCGGTATTCTTAGGAAATGTTTAGACCTCCATATTTTTTTCAATGTATTTTTTTTATATCACTTACAGCAGTCCCAGGTGAAAGCCAGCAGGTCAATATGATTACACCCATTTACAGTCCATCCCTCCAGTGGGTTCCAAAATCCAAGAACCCAACCTAGGAGGTCACCCTTCGGTAACCGTAATATCGCAACAATTGCAATGTATCTTTTATATATTATTTTAAAAAAGAACTAGTAATTTAGTGTTTCTTGAAAAAAATAAAAGTTATAATATACTAACCTTTTAAATGAAAAAGAGAACTATGTTAAAGGAAAAGAAAAGGAAAAAAAAAGTGTGTGAACAAGCCTTATTTATAGAATGATAAACAAGAACAGGTTTATGTCAGGATGATCTAATCAAAAAAGTATTTTTTTGTAAGCTGATAAACAAGAGCTTATGTCAGAATGATTTAATTGTTTATTTAATCAGCCAAAATGTTTGAGCCTTTACTTAAAATAGAGACATTTGTAGAAAAAAAAAATCCTTGTTTTGCATGGATTGCATGGAGAACAAAATTAAAGTAAACCAAAAGTGATACTGTTAGAACTTGGATACCACTTTATTATGGACGAAAAAAAAATTAATTAAAAAAGGTATTGATGGTCTATGAGAAAAAACTATGGATATTTATATGAAGAACTTGATAGTTATAGGGAGAATATTAAGCACCTTATTGGATCATGATGTAATAGCCTGGTGATAATAAATAATCAACATGTCTTTAAATTTAGCCCTTCCATACTGAGTATATAAATATTAGTCAGAGGGATCAACAGTTATAACATCAAATGACAAGAGTAATATTTGTGCTCAGGATCTATTAATATTCCATAGTCCAGGCCTATTCGATTGTATTGCTTTTGCCCTGTGTACAGACTTCAACGGTATGATGAGAACAAGCGGGGGTAATGTGGGATTCATAATTAACTTTTATATTGTTATCCATCCTTAATGTGATGAGACAATTAACTTTATTATTATATCTATGATATCCTCAACAGCCCTAAGCAAGACAGAACTTGGTAATTGTTTATCAGTGTTTAAGCAAATACCGGAGCTATTTAAAAGACTACCCTTGGCGTAGTGTCGTCTCCTGGTATTGTCAATGTGAGTGTAAGAGAGCCTGGTAATGTTTTTTTTTACAAAAAAGTAGCTGGTACTACAAAGAGAAAGGCTTTAGGTGATCGATTGAGCGTGCTTAAAGGAACCACTGGTGAGAGTTTTATGCAGTTCATTGTTGATATGATGGATATCATGGACCAAGTGCCAGAATTGAAAAGATTTGATTTAATGATGAACAATGCTCCTATTCATGTTCATAGCATCGTCGAGCCTCTTATCATCTACCGTAGATATACACCGGTATACCTTCCACCTTATTCGCCAAAATTAAACCCAATTGAGCAATTCTGGAAGAACTTGAAAGACTACATTAAGAGAGAAAAGATTCGAGATAACGAGACTCTTACCTCCAGAGTAGTTAATGGATGCTTGTGAGTACGTTCCCCTGCGAAACATACAAAGCTATGTCCAGAATATAATTAATACTTTCCCCAAGCATATAAATAAATTACCCATCTAATCTCTGTTAGTTTGAAAACTCACCATGACCAAATGAATTTCAAAAAAAGTGACCTTTTGATTTTCATAAAAATGGCCAAATGTGGTTCTAAAAAAACGACCAATTACATTTCAATTTTTTAATTTTGTTTCTAGGAAACCAAATTTTCGAAAAGTTGACCAATTGGGACTGGAAGCACTGTAAGTTGATGATATCTATTAATATAAACATACCATTTTGTATGACACATTAACAAATGATTTATTACTTTATTTGTCAACTAAGTATAACATATTCTAAGGCTAATCGATTGTATATTTTTGGTTTATTTCTGATTTGAAATGAGGGATTTATTATCATCGCAAGTAATCATATCAGATAGCCCGAAGACAACCTTTTTATTTTCAATTTTATAATAAGAGAATGCGCATATTAAAAATCTAGTGCCTTATCTCTTACAGCTGATTTGGTTTTGACTAAATAAACTTTTAAATTGTATCGTATCTAGTGTTACTGGATACACAGCTTGTATGTAACACTGTACCAAGGTTAGAGTAGAAAGTTGTAGGCAAACTCAATGTAACACAGCAGGAGTCGTTTAAAACCATGTTGGATCAATATTTCTAATTTGTGTACTTTTGTCAACATGAACCTTAATTGTTCGTATCCACGTAACACCGCAACCTCTTACAGATCGTATAGTAAACCCGTACATCTGAGATGAGTTATGAACGAGACGTATTTACCTGTAATCTAAGCCTGTCAATATATACAAGAAGAAGTTTTTATAGTTCAAAGTAAAAGGATTAATTTGATTAAAAGGATTTTTTATTTATTTATTGTATTAGCCAAGCAGCGTAAAAGTACAGTGGAGAAAGCGACGCGAGAAGATGCTTGTAGAGATCAAATACGACTTAACAGAATTCATGAGGACCAATGTATCCACAGTCTTTACGTCCGGGTTCAGGAGCACAGAGAGCACAGGCAACGAAGGCCAAAACTAAGACGATAGTACCTTTAAGCATTTTTGTAATTTTTTGTTTGAGTATGAGAAGCCTTTGAAATGTCTAGCTCCTGTCCTTTTTATATGTGAAAATTGTCGGATAGATGGTCACAAAGACGTTTTTAGTTATAATGTCGAAAAAAATATTCCGGGAGTGAAAATATATACTCTTCGTTACTCACAAACTTTACTTACTACCTTTTTTTGATTAAAATGCCTTTTCAAGACAGTCAATATTTGTTGATTTTACTGGTTTTGGATTTCGCAACATATGGCGACCTTTCCCAGAAATACTTGTATCCCGTGTGATTTTCTGTCGTATGGATTTAAGTTACATATATTTAGGATAAGAAAACTTCGCATAATAAAAAAATGGCTCAGCATATGTTAAACATAATTTTGAGGTTTCACACAATTTTAATCATTATTTTACTATTTGTTATGTTCAATGATATATTATTTTTTAAGTGCATACCGCAAACGTTGCTTACCTTTACGCCTAAAAAAATAAGGTAACTACACTACGATGTATGTATCTACTATTTTTCAACATAAATACATTTACTTAAAAGTAAGATTCTGATGATGCGTGTGATAAAGCATTCAAAGCATCACAAATATTTAAACAATTATGAGGTACAAAAGGTATATGTGCAACTTATCACAAAAGTCTCTTGATGTATTAACGTTTATGGGAAGTAGAAGGGACATTTTGCACCGTTACCTCGGGGGAGGGGGAGGGATATGCACCTTTTGCCCAGCTTTGTACGCTTTTAAATGGTTTTATTAACGGCAGTGTGGTAATAACAACGCGTAAATTTTCCCAAAAAGAGATCTGGTAAACCATTGTCTTTTAAGAGTCGGTAGTTATTCCTACATTAGTGGTAAAAACGACAGTTGTATGGGACGGGAAAACAAATGGGAAATATTATTGGTACACGCTAAAGAAGCCGACTCCTTTCAAACTATAATGTGGTACCAATATCATAAAGTACATGCCTTCTACTTTTTATGGCTTACGTGTGATAAGGTAATGATGATAGCTATTTTGAACTTTTAGACTTGTATTACACTTAAAAATAAAAGAGATTCATTATACGAGACATCATTTTATAAACCGCATGAGATAAACATATAGGTATATGTAGTAACATAAACATATGATATTTAATTTTCAGAAATAAATGCAGACTAAATGTCTTCCTTTTTTTTTTTTTAGTGAATATGTACAAAGGTAGGTATGGTGACCAGAACTGATTGCAAATCATTATATCATCAATGCAAGCTACCGTTATATAATCTCTAGCATAATAGGCTCTACGCGTATCTGTTGATGAGCATCCCACAAAATGTGATACGTTACAATGTCCCAGAATAGAAATTAAACAAAACCACTGAATTCTTTCATCTAAATCCCACCCTAGGTAATTCTTTTCACTCTCCATAAACTAAAACGTTGACAAAGCAAATCTTTACCATTTACTAATTTTTGTAGAAATAATTATATAAACATACATTTAAATGGAATCGATGATATTGATATTCAAAGTTGGATTTATCAAGGTGCCTTTTTATTAGCAGCATAATTTTTATGCATCAATTTAACACCCGCCAGTTTATGCAGTAATCGCGCGATATGAGGGTGGTCAATACCCTGAAGCACGCCCCCATATTAAATATTGTCTTGATAGTATGCATACTCGATCTCTTTGAAAAGATACTGGTACAAGGACAAAATATAAGTTTTTTTTATACATTTAACCTTTATATCGCTCGACTACCGTATTATTTATTTGTTTTGAAAATTTACAAAATTGTACTCATTGGTAAAATTATTAGAGTAGAACAAAGGTGTAAAACAATCATTTTGTGATACTAGTTAGCCTATATATTCTATCCAGAGTTGGATTCGTGAAGCTCTCTTCTCCATCTTGAACGATAAATTGCGTGTAAAAAACTATTACATCATCATTTACTGACAGAGAAGAGAGAGAGACAGCAAAAAATGCGTATAAAATGAAAAAAAGAGTTGGGTCACACAGTTCCCTTTCTTGTAAAGTTATCTTTGAATGGGCTGTTGTTTCAGTAAAAAATCACAAGAAGACGAAGAAGTAAAAAATAATAATAATAAATAAGGCACTCGTATTAGTGTTAATCTAACCTTTTTTTTTTTTGTACAATGTCGTAGTCTAATGCAACCACACCATTGTTGGAAGACCACGGACCTACTATTATATGCCCAGGGTATAAAGCACTATTTAACAAGCGTTATAAGTCTTTATGTGTTTCGTATGATTTAGTGATCTAACATTTTTACAGGCCTTTATCAAATAATCAAGAGTATATTCGCTGGAACTCGATCATCGACCGCGCAGCCAAGTAAGCCCCAGATATTCCTAAATCGAAAAAAAGACTTTTAAGCATTAAATTTTTGTAGGAAAATGATCAACCCAAATCCTTCCATGAACCCTTTACATCCAGATGAAATCAAGGACCGTCGTAAAAAATATACCGAGATTTTAAACCATGTCCAACCAAGACCTCCTTTATCGATAGGAAGAAGACTTCTACATCAACAGGATATATCTGCAGTCGTAGGTCTCTTGACAGAAGCAAAGCCCTACAATGACACGGGCCTTTCGAGTCACATGCTGCAAGTAGACCGTGCCCTAAAATTAAAATTGGCAGTGCACGGGGACATACTGGTTCACATGCAGGCCGTTCGTAATCGTCAAAGTCGCTCTTCATCGTATTAACTGTGTTATTAAATTTTATTAATTTGTATTAGCTGAATTACTTGTTATATTTTTAGACCGAAGGAAAAAAAAAAGAGGCCATGGGATTCTTTTGTATGTGCAAGATTATGAGTGTGTGTGTATGTGCGTGTGTATATGTGTTTGTGTGTGTGTGGGTCTTTTTTTTTTGTTCTTTTTTTTTCGAGCAATTTTTGTGGACTTAAAGAGAAAAAGCGCCAATTGCTTCCTCAATGAGGCGTACATCCCCGTCTTCATAACCATGTACAATTCGTCTAACATTGGGGGTAGGTAATTGTATGCCTAAACGGGATAGGCCAAAAGCGCTTGCAGAAGAAGCAGGCTGTTGTTGAGGGTGAGGCGAGGAACTCATGATGGCGACATGAAGTATCTCGGTCTGTTCTGTCAGTTCTATAGATTTGATTTCTCGACACAAATAAGTCAAGGCTGGTATAACTCCTTCTCTCATCATCTCTTCCGCATAAGGGTTTCGGGGATTGGGTTGCACAGGTGGTGTCAGTTCCGAAATTTGGTTAGTACGTTCCACAATACGGATTAATACATCCACAACTTTTAAACAGACAGATGCATTCATACGATGGAAATAAAGCAAATAAGCCAATAACTTGATAATGGAAGGATAATTTCTCAGCAAAGCACTATATAAGGTTATATATTAAAATTTATGAATTCACTAATATGAGGGGGGGGGGTCACTTACCAGATACTATCATCATCTGCCAGTGTGGTAATGTTGGATAGTACGTAGAGTGCTTCTTTGATAATCTTCCATTCTTCCTTGGTCTCGGGAATAGTAGATCGATTGGATTCAATCCATTTGCAGTCCTCAGGGAGGTACACATGACCAGGTATAACAATATGAGCTATCACACTCTTCATAATATTCTCATTATAAACCACTTTGCGTACAATTTGATTATCTCCAGCTGCTAAATTGGACACGGTCAAAATGGCATTTCTGCGTAATTGCTGGGGTGTATCTGGCGTCATGTACCACCAAACGCTATTTAAAAGATCGGCGTCTAGCAAAATTTCGATATAATCATTAGGTCCGGATGAGAAATTACTAACGGTTTGAAGGGCGGGTAATACAGTAGACATCTCTTGGTGCCTATTTCAATCATTTTAAGGCGTCAATCTCTTTTTGTTTCCCATTCTCCTTTTCTGGCCGAGTTAATATATACTTACTTTAAAAGGTTCACGAGTCGGGGGCAGAGACGAGTACTTAAATGTAAAGATCTAAAGAACTGATCAAAGTTGTACATATTGCTAAGGATTCTAGATAAACCCCAACTATAAATATAATACAGATCCAATTAATCACCAGCCTATACAGATATATAAGCCAACTTACCATGCTTCTCGCCAAATGTCTTTATGAACATAATTTATCGCCACGGAAAAGGCATCAAAAGCATGAAGATACTGTTCCCAATGTTCAACAGTCTTAAACCCACCACGACAGATATTGGCCAAAGACCAGGTCAAGTCCTTGACATCATCCCGATCCACTTTATCCTCTACAATAATGTAACCGTCCAATGTGGTCCTGTATTGCTCTGCATTGATACCATTAGCTAACTTGTAAGCAATGGATTCACATTTTTCGGTTAATGCTTCTGCTACATCTCCAATTAAATTTTCCTGGGCCATGGACGATCTGTAATCTGGTGATTCGATAGATACATTAGCTAAAGCCCAAGCCGTCTGCAGTCAAAAAAAGTTGTTTTTAGTGCCAATGAAAAAAGAAAATTAACAAATGAAGGTTACCTGTGACTTGACTCTATAATTGTCTGAAGTTCTGAAGCAGCGAACCATTGAATCAATTATACCACTTTCAATTAAGTAATGGGTTTGCCTTGATGTACCAAACTAGATAGACCGATTTAAATTATGTCAAACCTTGTTTTTTTTTGCTCGAGGAGTGAGATACTTACGGCTAAATTGGTAATTGTCCAAGCGGTTTCATACTACTTTTTTTTTCAGGTAAATAAACGACAGGGAAGAGAGTGAGAGTGAGAGTAAGATTGTACCTTTAATTCATCATATCCAGGTTCTAACAAGATGGTTCTGATTCTTTCATGGATATCCAGATCAAGTACATTTTGAATACGCTCTAATGAAATATCCTGAGTGAGGTATCTTCTGATATTTTTCATGGCAGTGTGACAAGCATGATAGTCCGATGAATTCTCCAGCGTATCTCTATACTCGTACAACTTTTTGTACATGAAAAAGTTTTTTTTTTTATTTGGGTTAGAGATCTTGCAATAGACATGGAGTAAAAAAAAAAACTTACATCGCTTAGTACTATTTCCCTGTAGATATCTTCAGAGGTGTCTTGTTCAAGAGAGACATTTGCGAACTTTCGGTTAAGTTCACCAAAGAAATCATCTGGGTCAAATTCATTCACTCCCATTGTTGTGTATTGGATCAAAGGAAAAAAAAAAAGAAAACAGAAACCTTTCCTATTTATCTTTTTTTTTTTTTTTTTTTTTTTGTGTAAGCGGGACTTTATCCGAACTGGCTTTAAGAGTGACGTTTAATAAACATGTATGAAATATTGGGGCATTCATGTGATAAGCTTCGTTTTATATAACATAACTTCTAGTTTTGAACAGGAGCAGTATGTTAAACTCTCATGGTAAGCCATGCGCAAAAAAACAGAACAAAAAAAAAACGGCCCAGCTTTTGTGTTACACACTTGAAAAATGATGCTGTAAGAGTGAAAACCACTTACTAGATGGAACAAAAAAATTTAATAGGTATGATGATATTTAAAAATAGCTGTAGGTGTCAAGGGTATAAGGCGGGGGAAAAAATAGAATTTAACATACAAACTGATAATATAAATGAGAATATGACTCACGGAACACAAATAACTGCCGTCTACAATAATCACTAATTTCCTTTTCTTAGAAGAGCAATTTTGTTTGGAGACAAAACTTGCTGAAAGAATACCATTTAACAGAAGAATTTTCAGTTTTTTTTTTAAAAAAAATAGTGCGGGTTTTCGATTAGATACTCGAGATCCAAAATAGGAGGAAGGAGACTTGATACTTTGCTGACATGAGCAGGTATCTTGAGACGAGGCGAAATGTACACTAGGCAAGCAGATTCATGCTTGAAAGTCGTGACTTTTACCGTAATGTACTAAAAAAAAATAGCGGTTGATATCATTCTCTGATAGCCATATTACTACTGATGATGATGGAAGCAATATTGATTTGGTAGGCATTATTTTTGTATTGTACTATAATTTGATAACAAATACTTCTCGTCATTCCAGAAGTAATGTTTATTGATTTTAGAAGTTAAATATATTAAACCGGGGGTTTTGAATGTTATTTCATTATATCATCTCTTGATAGATATTATAGATATTATGGACTTCAGAACTTTTCCTTGAGGGAGACCTTATTTTAAACACGTCTCAGAAGAGGTTTTTATGATTTATTCCAAGGATCTTGATGAATTCATACATTTTATCCAACAGATCTGGCTCCGTGGAGAGACTGCAAACACTATCACTGTCGACAAACATACTGAGATAATTCAGTTCACTTTCTCAACAACAGTACTCCTTCGGTTGCCGTCGTTGGTTACAGGAAAGATTTTGGAACGCTTCGTCAATAAAGTTGAAGTTATCCTAAATATACAGCAGGAAACCAAACGTATTGATAACTAAACCTTTAACAATATTCATGGCTTTCCTTCATGCAGAAACAAAACAAAAGGGAATAGGTATGCAAGTGCGACTGTCTCAGTTATTTTATCGTTTAATTTGGTGTGAAAAGAAAAAGGGATGAAAAAGTATGTGAACAAATTTTATCTATAGACTGATAAAGAAGCTGGCTTATGCCAGAATGATATAATGGTTTATTCAATCACCCACAATGTTTGAGCCTTTAATTATAATAGAAACATCTACAGATAACCCCAAGCTTGGTAATTGCCTATTAGTTTTGCAGTAACTAGTCAGATGTCTCATTCCCACCCAGATCCGTCATGCATATATCCATAGTAATATCATTTAATGGACCAGTATTATTTACCAACTCCACATATGACAACCTAAATACATAGAAACGTATTGAACAAGTAGGAAGGTGCAGTGTGGTTGCTATCTTAATTGAGTAAACCTTTTAAAGAACAGAATTCGGATTTAGGGCAAGATGAAAAGAAGTATGTATTTGACGGACATCAAGAAAATGGCACGCTGATTAATTGATTAGAAGGAGTTGGTATGTTGAGTATGTTCGCAAGTGTTATTCTGCATTTAAAGCGGTCCTTTGGTATTAACGCCGTTGAGCTTTTTTTTTTTTCCTTTAAATTTTTTTGGATACACAAATGATACTTCCCATGAAAAAGTAAAAAATTTCTTGTCAACATGGAATATCCCATGTTAAGCACATAGAGCTGTCGAGAAACAAACGAAATATTCAATGGATAATATTAGGTTTTCAAAGTAGTGAAATCAAATCAATTTAATTGGCCATCATTTGCAAGGTAAACAAAACAAAAAAAAAGTTTTTTTTGTATAAATAATAGCGAAGGAAATAAAGACTTTTTCCTTTTTATTTAAATTCTCTAAACTGTTGTGTTTAGATGGACACGTCGCATGAAGTTACACACAGGTAAATTTGATGAGGAGATGCACCGTATTATTGCCTTTGCTGAATGAAGGCCTTTTGTCAAAGATTCGATATACAACTGATACCGCTCCTTCGATGAGGTTTGGTCGGCCTGAAGAAGTGTAAATAGGGTTACAATTGGGGGAGGAGTTATTCATATGTGATAGCACTTGTAGAATCGCCTTGCATAATAATCCTCATTGCTTGATGCTCTTCTTTGATGCTATGAAATGCAAAGGTTACCTTCTCTATTTACGGTTGATCATGGGAGAGTGTACCCGTAAAAGGATACTGACGGTCTCAAGTGTTTTCCTCCCCCCAGTATTGTTAGTTATACCTTTCATCATTTAAAAAGGTTAGGAGAAAAGAAATTATCTAGTTCAGTTAGTATTTAGACTCAATATGTGACATAGCAACTTTTGAAACATGTGGGCTCTCTCAAGAACGTCGCCTTATACTAGCATTTCTGGTTAAAACAAGATATAAAAAAAACAATATGTTAGCTACAAGATCCTCTATTATTTTAAATCTCGTGGCTGCCTCAAACTATTTGCATATATTCTCCCATCTACACATGTTATCCCATTTACACATATAAACTTATTCACAAATGTTATTCTATCTACACATGCAACTCCATCTATATTTTTATCCCTTCAAAAAGTTGTTAATCATCCTTTCCAACTTACTATGATGCACAATTGAGATACTGTTTTCTTTTCCTTAAAATGAGCTGAACACTTTCACTTACTGGGATTTAGCTCTTATACTTTTCTACATCGTTCGTGGTGGAACATAAACCATAAGAAGAAAAACGAAGTGATATCTGAGGTTATTTTGACGATTGGTATCGTGAAGGGCTTAGGGAATTAGCCAAGGGAGGAGATACTATTCTTGCTATGTTTGTAGAGGAAACCTTGAAAATGTTAAGAGCCACATCATTCAAGAATTTGACAATTTCTCGCTTCCGCTTGAGTTTTGACATATCATGGATATCCCCCGAATGAACATCATTAGATGGCTCAGTACGTCTTTAATTATAAATATATTTGGAAGTAGGAAAATACGCTGTAGATGCTGTATTGAACCAAACCGACATCTTTAAGAACGGGATGCGGATTTATAGCAAGAAGGAAAACAAGTATTGTATTATACATGATATATCCGAAGTATTGAGGGAATAATTTTGCTAGTTAATTCTAGTAGATACAACTATTTTTGGTAAGTTAGTGTATACGGCAATGTTAATTTGCGTTAAATAAAATGGGTAATATACATGGTGATAAACGATGTCTTTTTATTTGTTTTCGTATGCTTAAATAGGGAAGGATAGCAAAGTTCTCTTTTCCCAGGCACTAGAGATTTTTTCACCGAAGAGTAGTCTAGCAAAAAAGAACACTGGGCTTCAATGTTAGCAGATGTTAGATAGAAAGTTTGAATGCATGCTTTATCACTTCATTATACCTTCATGGTCATACAAGGTTGCTGTGTCACAATAAAATGGTTACATGAAACACTGTGTTCTCGTATTTGTGCTTTCGCCGATCTTAACATCGTGTTGTAGAAGAAATAAGATGGAAGAATTCTATGACTATTCTCGGCATAGGTATTGTATTGCTATAGGTAAGCGACTTATTTTTTTTTTACAATTAAGGCGTTGCTTACTTCGTATAGATTTGGGCTATGACATGATCACCGCTATAGCGGTAGACATTAATAAACGTAACAAGATTGTTGAAAGGTTAGTCGACATCAAAACAGCAAAATTTATACGGGATTTTTTACAGAGATTTCTTTTTAAAAAAAGTTCTGAAAACAAATACCGTACCTCAATTTTATATGACATTACCACGAGAAATATCATTGCCAGAGGCAATGAGGCTGATGAAGCGAATGAGAATCCGGAAGAACTCCAGGAAGGCATTACTTATGTACACAACACTTTAAGCGAGCTCGCTGACATTTATTTAAAATCCAAGCAACAATCTTTCGATAGTACGGCACTGTACGCGCTCTTGTACGAGGAAGCTATAGGTCTGTTACAAAAAATACTGGATCATTATGAAGAAAAGTTGGGAAGTGAAATTATCAATTTTTGTTATTCTTTGAATCTTCCAACCAGTTGGGATTATGAAATAAGAGAAGAATTGTTCCTGCCTCTATTCGTAAAAGCTGGTCTTCTCCATGAAAATGATGGTCCGGGTAGGCTGGTGTTTTTTTCAATGTTAGATGTCAATTTTCAAAACATGCAGACGAAAGAATACAGATATGATACTAGAAACATAATGTATGGTGATCAGCGCGTTATGTGTACAATAGATTATCAAGGTACATACTCTGTAAATTTGAAATTGGTATCAGCTCAATATCCTGCTTTCAGATTAGCAAAAAGAAAATTGGTGCCACAATTGTTGAAACAAGCTCATTTTGTAATCCCGTTTGGACTAAAGGAACTACGATTGTCATTAATAGCATGTGTGGAAAAGCATTGTGATATTACGGTATCATCAGAATCTATCGACGACATGATTGAACAACTCAGTCGATGGTACAATGGAGTTGATATTTTCGTAAGAGTTAATAGAAAGGAAATTGGGAAGACAATTAAAAACTTTTTTTTTTTTTTTTTTTTTTTTTTTTTGCTTTGCCAGAGAGATGCAACTGATAATTTACATGACCAGCCATTGCCTGACTTGAAATATCGCTTAACGAACAGATCAATCACTTTAGAGGACATACGTGAACATCTTTTTGGTTCTGTCGAAAAATTCTTTAGAAACGAAGTAGATAAATTCCTTGTAGGTACGAGCAATATAATACCCAGGCCAATAGACATTTTTTGCACAAGTCGAATCCCGAAAACATTTTTAGCTTGGACGGTAATCTCATCAGTTGTTGATTGGTCGAAAGAGTCTTTCAAGAAGCTAAGAGAATCTTACACATCAGGTTCTATACGTCCCAAATCTGAATACTTTGACTATAGTTTTCGAAGAAATACAGTTTTACAGCTTTTAGAAAACCGAATGGAAGAATTTTACGTGCGCAGAAACCCAATTATACTACCCAACGTAACAACAATGGAAGAACCCAAAAGTTGCTTAAAGTCTAATATCTTCATCAATATCGGTAAATTGACTCCTTAGTAGCATCGGCTTCGTATTAGTCTAACCTATTTTGAAACCAAACAGACATATCGCCTACACAAATCCAGACTGTTTTTACATACCTTGATAAAGATAGACAAGTTGGACAGAAGCAAAATTTTGAATGGTAATGATGATCGACCGCAGAATATCTTTTATAAGAAAATCCAAACTAAGTTTAATTTCATCGTATAATAGTAATATGCAACCATTGAATAGTTTCATCAAGCAATCAGAATTACATCAAAGACCAATACTCCGCATATCAAATAGGTAAGACCGCTTAAAAAAATTATTGTCAATTCTAATTGTACGTTTAGACTGAAGTTACGTTTGGAAACGATTTTTGGTGACTATCTTAAATTATACTCAAATTACATCGGACAGAGTATGATAATGGAGACAACAACTAAACCACCTGATCAAGTTTCAATAAAAGAGAAAACGGAGAGTACTTTCAACGATTATATTGGGATAAAAACTGGCAAAAATCGACCAAACAAAATCAGAAAATTATTTGTTTCCTCAAATCCAAACCTATTTAAACAGCTTACGGCAAACATTGAAATGGACGATCTTTTTGCGTCGAAGGATGAATCTTCTGGTTCGGATAGTGAGTCATTTACTACATGCCATCCAGGTTACATGTATTTTTTTATGATCACATATCTGCACTGTCTCAATAAGCAGATAGAAGAAAAATTAGAAAGTAATATAGGATCGAATTGGAGGGCCAACAACATTTGGTATGCCGTCTCTATTGATAAAACGTTATTAGATTCTGTATTCGGGTCAATAAAAAAATTGGAAAAAGCATTCTTTGCAAGTGGAATACTTGTGAAGGACGACGAACTTCGAAAAGCAAAATTCTGTACTCGTGGTGAAGAAATTCTACCAGCTATCCAACACATATATCAACACTTGGAATTTAGGTTGAAATCATACTTTGTTGTTGCACAGATATATTCAAAGCATATTCAACTCAGTTTGCATCAAGTTGTTAAACTTGTATCACCCGAAGAAGATCCAGCGTCCATCATTATTCAGGATGAAATAATACAAATCGATGATGTATATGATACACTTTGTAAGAGGATTATGAAGAGCATACAATTCAATTGTCAAGTTGATTATTGTACCACGCACAAGAGTGAGAAAGATACACCATATGATTTCCAGTCATTTGAGATATATAGCGATATCTATCGAAATTTAAAACCATGTGTTGCTGAAATTGTAAGTTGGTATACCTATAAAGAGGGTCTCAGTGTATTAATTGCTTCTTTGTAGTTCGAAAAAAACAAATTGAATTTTGACATGGATTTCAAAATACAGCTGGATGTCAACACGAAATGCGGTTGCTGTATTAGCATATTTCTTCGTGATATTATTGAAGTAAGCCTTATGTCAGTGATAGAAAGTATGGCAACAGATATAGTAGCTTCTTTGACCAACAAAAAATTATTTGGGAACTATGTACCGAGTTGTATTTTTGTGTTTGGAGACCCGTTCAATCTGGGGCACGGTTCAAAGATCCACATAGCATACGCCATGCTTATGCAAAAAGCGATTGATGACGGCGTTTATATTAAAGAAAAAGATACAAAGACGTTTGTACAAAGAGAATCAATTTTTCAATTACTGGAGACGTTTTTAGCTAAAAAAAAGCCTTACATGTTTGAAAGGTTTGTCACTGGAACTTTGTGCCAAGTATCAAGCGAAACGTATGGTATGCGGGTTGAAAGTTACGGTTTGAAATCTTACGCCCGAATGGACAGTGGTGGTATCAAAAATCAGATTGCCGAAGATGATCCTTATTTTGTATTTATTCAGAAAGGGAAGCCAATTTCAACTAAGGGTTTCATAATTCAAGTCAATTCTATAAAGGGTTAGTTTGTTGCCATGATTGTTCCTCTTCGTTTGTGCTAATGAGATTCACTTCTACTTAGCCTATGATGCTTATGTAGACATTCTGAAATTAGAAAGTTCAACCAGTACTGTTCCGGACATGTGTGCTCTATTGCACGGCCACACTTTTGGTGCGAAATTTGACATACCTTGCAGATCTTCGTCGAAACTTACGATCAGAAATTGGGTTGTAGAATGTGAGCATATTAGCAATTACTTATCTATCAAAGTATCAAGAGGATGCATGAGTATTGAAGACTATGTATATAGCTCTTATTACGAAACCCTAAATATCATAAAGCCATTGACACTTGCTTATATTTAACATATCACAGCTTCAATAAAATGATACCATTTTTAAACCATCGTTTCACCTGCGTGACTTTCAATTTAAAAATCCCCTTTATCATCCTCCCCAGCATCAGGGCACAATGGCTTTTTTTTAAAAAACACTTCCATAAACAAGTCATGCCTTTTGGATTAAATGTATCTTCTAAGAACACACTAATATTTAGTTGCATCGCTGGTGGCATTGCCGGCCTTGTCTATTCCAGTAAAAGATGCGCCCAAGATACCAAAGCCGGACTTACCCAACGAGTTTCTTTCCTCGCCGATAGACCAAGTAAGTGATTTTGTTTGATTGATCTTTCTTCATTGTCTCACCCGCAGAAATAGAAAACACTCCATAGATGAAAACTTAAAAAAATTCGAACCCACACCCACTGAAGAAATTAATTAGTATTAACTATTTTATGAAGTCTAGGAAAATTAAAGATGCTGTGATACGTAAATGCGCATAAACCTTTTTTCATACTTTACCAAAAGAAAAGAAAAAAAATGCATTGGTCACATAATATTTCATAAACTAAAAACTTTATAAATAGATGATCCATTTTTTTACCGCAAGAACTGTGCGAATATAGTGTAAAAGCAAGTGTATGTGTACGTGGGTAGGTGGAGTACACATAGGATGAGATTAGATACACATTTTTTATTGTGAGGGCGCTCAGGAACCTTCGGCTACTGATTTCTAACTCAGGTGGACTTTTATAATTTTTAATCAAAATTTTGGGTTACACTTGCTTAGGCTCTGTATACCTTTTTTTTTCTACAGACTTTTTCATGTTGACATATTCTCATTCCTGCTGTCAAAAAAATTGAAGTGCATCAAAATGCATGAATCGAGATCACGCCCCAACCAAATGTATTGTTCTTGACCTGACAACTGTATTCGCAGTCACAAATGGAGTATAAAAAATAAAAAAAAGAGAGGTTTTTTTCCACTTTTTATATTTGTGAAGTCAAACACCATGTCACCTTCAACAAGTCAAGCTCTGGTAATCGGCTTATTATCAGGTGCAGCTATGACTGTACTTGCTACAGGATTATTTTCTTACTGGAGACCCGAGACAAAAGCTGAAGAAGTTAAACATGAAGAAGAAATGCAACCTGACATTGTGGACGGTGTTGCAGGCTTAATTGGAAACACCCCTCTTATGAAAATCAAAAGTCTTTCTGAAGCAACAGGCTGTCTTATTTTAGTAAACAAAAAAATAGCTGTTTTGAACCCGTCATTTATGCATTTTCTAACTTTTTTTTTTTTCTTCTTTTTTTTTTCTGCAGGGTAAAGCAGAGGTATGAAAACTATAAAATTGCAGAAAAAAAAAAAATTCAGTGCTAACCCGATAACAGTTTTTAAATCCCGGTGGTAGTTCTAAAGACAGAGTAGCATTAAATATGATTAAGACAGCAGAAGAAAGCGGTATTTTAAAGCCCCATACAGGAAGCACTGTGTTTGAAGGTACAGTAGGATCCACTGGCATTTCAATTGCCATGATTGCTCGTGCCAAGGGATACAAGGCCTGGATTGTCATGCCGGATGATCAAGCCGTCGAAAAATATCAATTATTAGAAAAATTAGGAGCCACCGTTGAAAAAGTCAGGCCTTGCAGTATCATTGATAAGAAACAATTTGTCAATCTTGCTAGGGAAAGAGCCTCCAAGTTTGGCGAAGGAGAAGCTACCGGTTATTTTGCCGATCAATTTGAAAACGAAGCCAACTTTCAAGCTCATTATACGTTCACCGGCCCTGAAATTTATCGTCAAACTGCTGGTAAAATCGATGCTTTAGTATTAGGTGCTGGTACAGGTGGCACTTTATCCGGTATCACCTGTTTCTTAAAGGAACACGTTAAGAATATGAAGGTCTTTTTAGCTGATCCTCAAGGTTCTGGATTATACAACAAGGTTAAATACAATGTCATGTACGCACCCACAGAACAGGAAGGAAACAGAAGAAGACATCAGGTCGATACCGTAGTGGAAGGTATTGGGATCAACAGATTGACCCAAAACTTTGACAGAGGAAGACGTTATATCGATGATGCTTTCCGTGTCACGGATGAGGAAGCCATTAAAATGTCTCGGTACCTTGTGCGTGAAGATGGTAATGAAATATGACACACTCCTCTTTTTTTTTCGTTTTAAGCTGAAATACTCATCGTCATCTTTAGGTTTATTCGTGGGTAGCAGTTCAGCAGTGAACTGTGTGGCGGCTGTAAGAGCAGCAAAACAATTAGGTCCTGGTCATATTATTGTCACTCTCTTGAACGATTCCGGTCAACGTCATTTGACTAAGTTCTGGAGTGATGAATATTTGAAAGCACAAGATATTTATACCGAACTTACACCTGAAGAAACCGTGCTTGATTTTGTAAAATAAAATAACCTACCTCCATCTTACATTTGACTTTATCACCTCCCTCATCCCTATTGTGTATGCGTATGTTTATGTGTATGCGTGTGCGCTCATACATATTCAGATACCACGTATTAAACAATCTATTTCGTCCCCTATCGGTGTCCCATCTCCAAATCGAATGGTTACATACAGTATTATCACTTTAAATTCGGACAAATGAAAATTATTTTCAGACAAGCTCAAAAAAAAATTCAGACTAAAAAAAAATATTTTCAGACAAACGTAAAAAATTATTCAGACAAAGAGAAATTATTTTCAGAAAAATGATAACAAAAATTCAGACAAGTAAAAGTTTAAACTAGTTTTGATTCTTTGTTGAGGCATTTATCCCAGTACGTTTCAGAGTGTCGTATCCAACCATTACAATCTTCCGTGGTAATAGTCTCACAGGCTGCCTTGATTCTTGGGGTTAAAGTGTCCAAAATTGAAAGCGGATTTCTTTTGATGTGCTTCTTGATCTTGGACCAGCACTCCTCAATAGGATTTAGAAATGATGAAAAGGGCGACATGAGCAAAGGTTTATAACCTCTACTTTCGATTTATCCTTCACTAAGCAAGGTTTGAGTATCTCCAATGATAGTCAAATTATGCTTTGCCCTCGTCATGACCACCGAAAAAATGATTGAGCTTGACATATGATGTACAGTGTAATTGCAAACAATAAAATTATATTTCTTTGCTATTCTTAAAACTACTTCGAGCTTAACACTATTTAAAGAAAATGAACAAGAAGGTGTTTATCAAGAGGATGGATTTGAAGCAATGGATTTTATTAATGAGATAGAGAGCCCCAAAAGACAGTAATGCTGACTTCACTGGATTAATGGCAGGCACGTTAATCATTAATACGTGATGAATTCACTTCCAGAGATATCGGGGAAATTGACGTAGAAATCCAAGAGAACAATGGCTCGAAAAATAGTCTTAGACCGATGTGAACTACTGAGTAGTTGTATATTTGTAGTTGATATCATTATGAGACCACCAACAGATAGATCGACTAAAGGAAACACAATAGTAGTTGAAACACCAACCTCCAGGGCTATAATTCAACGATCTTAATTGAAAATATCTGTAATCGGCGTTGTGAATATTGAGATTAGAGTACCTGCCACAAAGCCAAAAAAAATTTAAGTTAAACGCCTTTCTGCTGTTAACATAAAATAAGCTCATAGCATAAATCGGCAGGGGTTTTCTACATGTAATCAATCAGTCTGATTTTTTTTTTTTTTTTTTTTTTTTTTTTTCAAAAAAGGTAAGCTAAAACATCTGGATTTTAAGTGTAAAAATTGTGATAGATACTTTTTTTTTAATCTTTTTTTCTCTCTTCATTCTTTTATTCAGTTTAAGCTATGAAAGGTAACGTATATGTATGATATTTGATGGAAATGCAACCAAAAAACTGATTCTATTATAAAAAAGAAACTCAAAATGATAGCTCGGACGATGACTTTCAACCACCGATTTTGGGACGGAAGAGACGAAGTATGTTACATTGCCAAGTCTTATTTTGATAGAAAACTTACGTGATGTTTAATTACCCTTTCTTATAGGTCGGGAAAATACCCCATTTATTGATTCCCAAAAGAAGTTTAAAGGGAAAGGCAAGGCAGCCGAACATGAACCTGATATTACAAGTACCATTGGTATTCCTGATTCTATTAGAAATGTTGTCAGCGACAATTTGATAGATTATAGCAGTGACGACTTTAATGAGTCTCCGCCTGCAATACATACATTACGAAGTCGTGGTGGTTTCAAGTACGGATCCGAATTTACTGTTGCCGAGTCAAGTTCTTCAGTAAGTAAGCGACGCCCTGTTGCAAGTAAGCGAAGTCCTACGCCTGAAGTATTCATAACAGCATCAAAATCAAGTACCAGTGTCACTGCGAGAGATTCTGAAAAAATAAGCAAGCGCGTTATTACAGTTAAAACAACTGCGAAGAACATTTGGAAGCCGTTGTATTTACAGCCATTGTATGATTTGGTTAACACTACTAATTCATTGATTACACACACCTTTGCCTTCACAAAGTACATCTATTTGCAAGAATTGGCAGCAAGCGAAACTTTTACTTTAAAAGACTTTGTTGAAAAAGATTTTTTTGTAGAAGTTTTTTTAAGTCTTACACTTTCAAAAACTCGAAACACAAGATTAAAGCCTGTAACAAAAAAAAATAGGCAATTGATAGCAAAATACAAAGAGGCTTACTTTCAAGATGCTAATTATACTCCTCCCAGCTTACCAAATGCTCAGCAAATAGCATTGTATGAGTGTACCAAAATCCAAACGGCTTACCATAACAATATTAAAGCTCATTTTGGAAATAGACTGCGCCAATTTGTTAATATTATATTACAAAAGAAGGAAAGAGCAAATAATCTTCGGAAAGAAATGAAAGAAAATGGATCAGATGAAAAAGCAATAAAATCAGCTATCCGAAGCAAGATATACGGACCTTGTAATCAGATCAGTCGTGCCGTAGCAAGGAAAGAGATACCTGCAGACAGTATTCTAGATGACCAGTCAAGAAAAGAATTAAACAGTATCTTTTCCTGCTATCCTAAAGACTACACTTTCCAAAAGGACTCCATATACTATGATATTGCAGCAAAACCTGAGAATCATTTTGATGCGTTTTTTCAACTTGCCAAATTAGTTGAAGCCAGAACAGGAAAAGCATTTATCTGCTTCCCGTTGCGTACTTCCTTCATTCCATGCTACATGACTTTGGATGCCAAAATAATTCACTTTCATATTCTCAAGAATAAAAGTCCTCTCCAAGCTGGAAAAAAATTTAAAATTTGGGGTTCTGTCGTGAATTTTGAAAAGAAGGCGTTCAAGAATCAAGGTGTTGATAAGACTTTAAGGTTTCAAGGAACACTTGAAACAGATGGTGTCGGTGTATCAATCATTAAACAAAACACAGATACAAGTAGAAAATTCTTTACAACCAGCGTTAAGAGAGTAGTCGATGATCAAGAGAAGTATATAGAACGGCTAAATCAAGCTGATTTAAAACGTACTGAAAACAAGTGTGTTCTGATCGACCCTGGAAGACGTGATTTATTGTATTGCATGAAAGAAACTAGTACAGTTAAAGAGAAGCAAACTTTGATTTTTACCAAAAATAATCGCTCAAAATGCTCAAGACATTTCAGATATTTACGGAATCAAAACAAACCTTTGGTTGTCCAAGAAGCCGAAACAACGCTCTCCAAAACAGAATCCAAATCTACAAATTTGGAAAACTACATTCAGTACATAAAAGCCAGATCATCCGTTAATGACACGTTAACCGACTACTATGGAAACGAGACATTAAAGCCCAAAGAAATCTCCTATTTTCCAGAGTCAGAGTTTTCATTCCGAGTTGATCATAAATGCAATCTTTACTATGGCAATATATTTATATCACGAATTTGCGGTTTTTTCCCTCAACCTCAAAACTTTTCCAATGATAGGATTGTCAATCCTCAGTTTTATGCCGTATATCTAGAAATGATGCTGTCACAAAAGCATATCTCACAAAGATTTGATGATGATGAAAAAAGAAGAATTATTGCGCTTGGTTTAGAGATTAATAGACGACCCAACCAAAGTGATCTTAACAGAAAAACTCTCAGTACAGTCTTAGAGAAGTTACAGCTATTACCTTTTCGAAAAATGAAATTTTCATCAAAGATGTTTTATGAACAAAATGATCAAAAATTGGTACAAAACTTGAAAAGAAAATTTGGTCCTGATGCTGTCTTGGTACTTGGAAATTGGTCAGCCCCGAACACAAAGTTCCAGGAACCTACAAGGAATAAAGGGCTTATTCAAATGCTAAAAAAAAATGGTTTGACTGTTTATCTAATTGACGAATTTAAAACTTCCTCTCATTGTCCAGATTGTGGTGACGTTTTGGAGCAATTCAAGATGATTTCTAATCCTCGTCCATTTAGAAGAAATACAATGCCAATCGTGAAGTGTCATGGATTGTTAAGGTAGTATAGTTACAATTATATTCGTTATGTTGATATTAACAAATTATCAGATGTCAAAATACTGCATGTGTTACTCAAGGCAGAAAATTTTGGAATAGAGACCAAGCAGCTGTTCTAAACTTTAAGCACATCCTATTCAATCTCAGGGAAGTAGGTGAGCGCCCTGCGCTCTTTTCTCGTAAAAACGAACAAACTCAGTAATTTTCCGCCAAAGTTATCGCTTTGGCAATTTCATGCAGGTAAAATTATCTGAACAATAATTTTCTATTCGTCCGAAAAAAAAAGCTCAATAGTCTGAACTTTTTTTATATTGGTCTGAATTTATTTTTGCATCTGTCCGAAATTAATTCTAATTTGTCTGAATTTATAGTGTAAATACTGTAAGTCTATTATATCCCCCAACATTGATTCCCCCAAGAATTTGGAAATGGAATTACAACATTCATTGACTTTTATGTTGATACACCATTAGTTTTTGAGCATCTTGGATTTGCATGACTGCAATGCTATAGAAAAGTACGCGAGTGGGGTAAACTGTCTTTTTACAAACAATTAACCCAAAGACCTTCTATAGCTCCAATTACTGAAATCTATATAAAAGAAGCTCCATAAAAAATAGAGTAAACATTTACGGATACATGCGAACGAAAAAAAAAAGAGATGATAGTGAAAAGCTCTCCTTTAAAATAAAACAATCAAAAGAAATTTATTTCATCCCCCCCCCCCTTCTCTCTTTTTTCTTTTTGTGATTGTTCAGTAAAAAAAACCTAATTCAAAGCATGGAAAAAGGTAACAGTCAACATCGAACAACAAAATAACACCGTGTAAATATTTAATAATTTGTTTACAGTTGATCTGTTTGACAAGACAATTCTCATCACTGGTAAGTCTCTCAAAATAATAATTATAAAACAAAAAGGGACGTATTAAAAACAGATGCATTCAAGGTGCTAGTGACGGTATCGGCAAAGAAACAGCCATAGCGCTTTCACAGATGAACGCGCAACGAGTCATCATGGCCTGTCGTGCATCTGAAAAGTCGGAAAGAGCGTTTCGGGATATTTCTTCAAAGAAAGCAAATGTTATTTTAGAGCATATTGATTTATCGGACCTAGCCTCTGTTAAGGAATTCGTGGATCGCATCTTGCAGAAAAAGATACGATTGGATGTTCTCATCAATAATGCTGGCGTGATACTATCAGAACGATCGGTGACCATAGACGGGTTTGAGATGCAGGTAAACAGATAAACAAACTGCGCATACGTTTCTTTTCAGGGCTCAAAAATATAACTTTTTTTTTTTTTTTTTTGGGTAGTTTGCTACAAATTTTTTGGGTCATTTTCTGTTAACAGAATTACTTTTGAAGAAGAACGTGTTCAACAACAAGGCGAGAATTATTAATTTATCAAGCCATGCCATGTTATTTGGTAAAATCGATTTTGAAGATATTCATTTCCAGGATCGAAAATATTCGGGTTGGAAGGCATACACCCAATCAAAATTAGCCAATGTAATGTATGCTAATTATCTGAACCGTACGTACGCCCATATTACATCGTATTCAGTGCATCCGGGTATGGTTCGAACTCGCTTTGCCAACAATTCCGGTTTATTTCATGTGCTGGATATGATATTTTACCCCCTATTCTACTTGTTATCCAAATCGCCATCGGAGGGAGCAGCAACCTCGATTTACTTGGCTTCCAGTCCAAACGTCGAGGATCAAGGCGGGATCTATTGGTTCAATTGTAAACCTTTTACAATGTTCAAAAGTGAAGAAAGTCATGATGAAAAAATACAAGAACAGCTTTATATATACAGTAAAAAATCAGTTGAAGGATATCTCTAGTGGCAGAATATAGAATTGAAAAAAAAAATACTTGGTTTTATTCGACCATAGGTACATCCGATACAATCCCTTCCTCTTCATCTTCTTCATCATTACGTTCCTGGAACCGATGATTGACCGCAGGTAGTATCTTTTCTTCTTCCACTGGTTCGTCATCTGAAAATCCCATATCCCCTTCATCATCGGAGGATACATATCCTCTTTCCATGTCCATTAATCTCTCCTTGTCCTCATTCTAATGTCATATCATTGATGTTGAGTGCGATGTTGTAAAATAAATATATATTTAGATGATGCTATGCATAGTTACCTTAATATTACGTTCTTCTTCAACAGACTGCTGTAAATCTTTAAGATTATTCACAAGTGATGTCAAGTTGTCATGACGACTCTCAAAGGCAGCTATTTTACTGATCTTTTCTCGTTTTAATAACTCGATATCGCTGGAAAGGCTTTGAATCGACCTATCTGTAGAGTTAGAAAGACCACAACCCCCCACCCAGTGGAGACTTACTCTTTATAGGTATCTCTGGTGCTTAGTTTCATAATATCTCTGGCAACACGATCGTATTCCAACTTGTGATCTCTGACTTTCTGAGCTTTTTTTAAATCATCTTTTAACGAAACGATATCTACTGCTGCTCCTGCTTGAATAGAGACGGTCTTTTCTATAATGTTTTGGTACTCGGCGATATCTCTGTCGTTGGCGACTTGAATAGGTGGATGACGTTGAAGATGGGTTTGATAATTGAGTAACTGAATCAGCAGATTTTCAAACTGATGTTGTCTACACGAATGACTTTTTTTTTAATACTTTCCCGCCCCATCTATTTCCTTGGCTTTTTCTTTTTTTGTTTCTTATTTTCTTACGCAGAATCGACAGGTTCATTATATAGAGATTTCAAAAAGTAAATGATCTTTTTTTCAAGCATTTTTACAGCGCGATCATCCAAGGCTAATCTTCCCTTTAAATAGGTTTCTATTAAAAAAGGTTTAAGTAATTTTTTCCCCCTTCTCCACAAGGCATCCCCAATGCTTTACCTTCTTCCATTGTGCTTAACGAAATGAATTGTGTTTACAGAAAAAAAAAAAAAAATGTGGTCGGGCGGGTGGGCGAGGGAAACAGACGTCCTATTTTTGTTACAACGTCCAATCAAATTATTTCTGGATTGAGATATTTAAATCGTTAAGAATTTGTTTTTCTTCTTCCCTTTCAGCTTTCCATGATGTTAATGAAGAATTTGTGTATTTTTTTGAAAAGAGTCTTGAGGAAAGATCTTTAGTCTTTGCAGGTTGTACGCCTGTGGCCGAGTATCATTAGGGGCCTCTCACTGTGCGGGTCAGATCTTTTAGCTGTCAACCTTCTTGGAGGCGTACTTGGTGTATGCCTTGGAGGCTTGCAACTGCTTCTTGAACGAATTGGCTTTCTTTCATGAGATGCAGCTTAATATCGCTTTAGATTCATCGTAATATCACTCTAGATTCACCTTAATATCACCCTAGATTCACCTTAATATCACTTTAGATGCACCCTAATATTTGTCAATCTTCTTTTGCATGGCCTATGTTATTACTCTGTTTAAAAATATATGCAACGTGAAATGAGAAACTCTATTTAAATCGCGAGTGCCGCCATTTACTGATTCCCTTTTCTTTCACATCTAGTTATATATTAAAAACGAAAAAAATGCGTTGCGAAACTTGCCCAAACAGACCATAATTTCGTACTCGCATAAAAGAAAGCACAAAAATAAATGGCTTTGGAAGGTGAAATGAGAATAGATAATATTAGGCGACGACTGTAATTTGACTAGAGATAACAGCAGACTGCTAAATCATATATGAATTGTTTGCGCAAAGCACCTGCCAATAATTCTGAAATCAAGATGTTTAATATAACTGACAATGACAATGGTAATCTTATTCCTACCTCTGATATTACTAATTTATAGCTAACAATGTAACTGAATTAAAAGATCAATATAAAGATGAATATAGTTTCTTAAAGAGTGAAAATGATACCAAGAGTAATATTGATTATTCAAGATACTAATCATGCCCAAAGAAATAAATTAATTAAGGGAGATGGCTACACGAATGTTTACGTCGATTGACATGCTACAACATCTTAACTTTCATGAGACAATTAATCAATTGTCTATCAGTGCATGCTACTACTGAAACACTGATAGACAACTACTTTAAAACAAGCATTCCAAAAGTAGCGGTGGACAGTCTATTGCCTATTACATTAATATTGTCACTCCATTGAATGGTATTGGTTTATATTTTTATGTGGTTTTAGAGCTTAAGTGATCACTATGATTTTAGGTAGCAATCCGAGAAAAAGTTAAACTTGGAAGAACAAAACGAAAAAGTTTGAATTAAAAGCTTTCATATTTCTATCTCCGCTAATTGAGAGAGTGTCACAAAGGTATTTTTAAAGGGGAAAAAAAAAAGGTGGTCGAGAACAATGAATATGTTTCCACCAAATGGGACAAATCATGTCTTTTTTTTAACTAACAAATCCTATTAAAACAACATTTTTATCAATTCCCAATTTCATTTTGAGGATAAAGTAACATCCATTTTTTTCTTTCTATTTCCCACCTTCATTTCAAATTGTTCCATGTCTTATTAAAAGTTTAATAAGTGATCTTTCAAAAACAAAAAACAAAAAAACAAAAAAAGTCACTTCATGGATCTTATCTTTCTTAGGATGAGGCTCTTTTGGATAAGCGATTACGTATATAAGCTACAGGGTTATCAGAGGTCTAAGAGTTATCCAAGTTATTCAAGAAAAAAAAAACGTAATTACACATCCGAGTCATGTCCTCCCCGAAGCACCAAGAAAGTAAAAAAAAAAAAAAAAAAAAGGGGGGGGGAAGAACACTCATTGTTTACCGTCTGTGCAACGCAACTGCGTGAAAAAAGAAAAAAATGACGTATAGAACCAAACCAGTTTTTTTTTATGTGTATAAAGAAAAAAAGAAACACCAATAGAGGGGGGCATTGTTTATAAATCAGGGCAGTTCATATACACCAATGGATTTGAAAAGTGGTTATCAAATAAGTGGCGAGACTGCGTAACAATGAAATTTGACGTTACATCAATCCCCGCCCTGAACGAAATAAGTTTTACCTGTAACTTTTTTATGTGGTCCACCCCTAACCCCAAACTCACACGGATATGAAGTAAACATCATCATACAAACTTCTCCGTGTTGTACGCAACACAATGAGAAGAGACGGGTTCAATATGAGTCAATGTGCTGCTTAAAAAAAACAGGTAGTTTTCTTTTATGAATAAAGTGATTCCGGAAATAAGGTGGGTACTAATTAAGATTGTCCGGTATTTCACGAAATCAAAAGTTGACGTGATTTAATCGGAATACAGTAACTTTTGGGTTTCACCAATGCCAGACAATGACTTTTTTTTTTTTGATGAGGACAATGGCATTTCTTATATTGTTCTAGAATTCACATCGGTTATAAATTGTTGTTTTAGAACAGGAACAAATATACAAAGCAGCATTAGAGACACGCATACAAAAAAAAAAAAAAAAAAAAAAATAAAACAGTAACTAAAATTTTTTTTTAATTTGTGATCAAAATGGTCTATGGACCGAGACTCCCTTTAATTAAGTAACAGGGTTCACCAATCAGAAAAAAAAGGTTCTGCTAATTAAATAAAGTTCGGGGTAACTACGCTTCTTGGTTGGTACCACCTCTAATAAACTCACATGAGAGGAGCGTTTTTTAATAATCAACAATGCTGTCAATTAGTTAAATCTCTTATTAACATAAAATTTCTTCTTTCTGTTTCCCTTGTGATACTGTTCACCTCTTCATCCAGAGGGGGGGGGAGGGGACAATAAACAAGCGTAAGTTTCTTTTTTTTTTTATTCATTCTGTTGCTTCTTTATTTGTTTTCCCCCCTTCTCTCCCCCGACCCTCCCTTCTTTTTTCGTGTAACTTCACGTCACGAGATCTGTGCGTATAATATTTGATAGATTTGTATAAATGGTGCGGTCTCCTTACCTTCCTTTTCTTCTCTTTCCTCAATACCTCTTTTTCTACACTTTTTCCACAATTGCTGGCCAATTGCATCTTTTTTGACACTTATTCACACACACACACACACACACACACACACACACAAAATGATTTTTTATATTGTTATACTCTGCTTGATGGCTACCATTCAAGCCTTGCAAATCAACTTCAACTCACACCCATCGCAGTCTGGTGATAATTATTGGATGATCAAGGATACTGCTCAAGCACACTATGAGTCTATTATTGATGACATCCTTAGTCAACATAATGAAGGCATCTTGACAGAACTGTCCTTTATCATTAAGGAGCCTCAGCAAATGTATGCTATCATGAAGCCTCAAGCTGATTTATTGTATGGGATTGCCACTCCTATTGAAGGTAAATAATTAAAAATCCTTCAAGTGTATATCCAACAGCTGACGTTTTTTTTTTTTTTAATAGATGTTTGTGTTGCACAAATGCCTGGTATGATTGCTAATCAGATTCATGAACTCAGCAATCAAATCTACTCTAGCATTGATTTGATTGTAACTCAACACTGGAAAAGATCGGATGAATATTACCGTCAGACTATTTTAAACGCTATTGAAAAGGGACTTTATGAACAGGATATCTTGGAGTTGCTCTACGAGATAATGGAAGGTGTCAATACCGATATTACTGATCATATTGCACACACCATTGATGAGTTTCACATGTTGAAAAAGCTCAAGGACGGATTGGATCATTGTCAGGCTATTTTTGGTCAGGAGGAAGAGGCAGAGGAGGATACAAACACTTTTGCTGATAAAATCTGGAATGCACTCTTGCTTTCCTTGAGTCGTTCCGATAGCAACAGCAACAACGAGCCTAGACAAAATGGGTTCATGGGAAAATACGTGTTTGAATTAAGAGCTGATATTCAATCTGAACTCTATTCTCGTCTTTACGAGCTGGCTAGAGGTGTTTATGAAGACCTTGCTTTTACTTCCTAGACTTTCTCTCTCTCAATCTCATCTGTGTACATATTATCTCTTCTTTTTGACAAAGAAGCATACTCTCCTTTTTACCCTTTTCCTCATACACACACACACACCTGTATAAAACAACCAACAACAACAAAAAAAAAGAACCCTTCTCTCTCTTTGTCCATTCCTTTTATAAATAAAAAAAACCACACATCTTTTTCTATCCACCCATACATCAAAACGGAGTATGAACTCTGTGTTAAATCAGTAATCATTACCTTATATGAAGTAAACGGAGTATCCCAAACAGACAGGAACAAAAAAAGCGCAGTAAACAAGTACACAAACGGAATCTCCAGAATTCTTTTGTCCATGTAAAAAAAAAAGATCCTGTGATGCCAATTCTAAACATTTTGGCCCGGATTCAACTAAATTATTCTATATCATCCCGTGAGATTCCCAAATAATAACGCGATTTAATTTAAGGCCAATGCATGCACAACCTGCCATTGGTTTTACTTCACAACCTGTCCCCCATATTCATGTATGAAGGCGGTTATTCCATAACAGGGTCAATCCTCACATTTATTTTTGTTTACAACAATGGCAGAATCTGTATATGGCTATGCATATATTTCACAATGACGGATTGTGGATTCCCATTGTGATTGCTTCCTCACCTCCTATTTCCCTCAGCTTTTGAACACATTTATATAGAATGAGAATAATCCATTTCTTTTGTATTAAGAAAGTGTAAATCTACGTAAAGTCAATGTGTTTAACTCACTTGGCGACTCCTTTTACAAGGTTGTTTATTTTTTTATTATCACAAAAAAAAGTTCTAGATGATTCGGGAATAACAAGGTTAACTATAAGTACATTTGCGTTTATTTTTTTAAGCTTTTTTTTTTTTTAATAAAAGAGTTCCCTGAATGACACTTATTTTAAGCATTTTCATTTCTTATAAATTGTATGGAGTATTTTTTGAAGAAAATAACAAACATTGGAAGGGTTACACCAAGTATGTAAAAGTTACAGTGCAACAACGTCTGGGGGCCCATTTTACATCTGGGCCCTTATTTGGAAGGGTCAATGACATGTATACATGAAAGAGTAGTAGTGAGAAATGTGCTTATAAAATGTGACACCCTTTTCACACGTGTCAACATCCTTTACGTATAAATATCCGCATTTGTCTTTCCAATAGTCTTTTTTTTTTTTAAATACCTTGTTAGCTTAGAGAAAGTAAAGAAAGGATGTGCCCCAAAAAGAAGGCGGGTTTAAATACAGGCATTTTTTTTAAAAAAAAGAGTAACATTCCATTGTATACTATTATTCCGAGCCCATTTTAAAAAATCAATCTCTCCGAAATTGTAGTTCCTGGGGGGGATGATGATGGATGAAAGACAGACCAGACCCTTCTCTCATTCATTCATTCATTCTCTCTCTCTCTCTCTCTCTCTCTCTCTCTCTCTCTCTCTCTCTCTCTCTCTCTCTCTCTTTTTCACTTATTTTCATCATGTTATCTAGTCATCATTCATTTAAAAAGTTGAATATTCTTTCTAAAAAACGATCAAAAGTAGATGTAAAGCCTATCGCTAGACATGTTTCTCTGGATGATCTAGCATTTCTTGTCAAACGATTGTCTGTACAAGTGGATGATTTAGTAGAAGAGCATCAAAAAAAGACAGCAGCAGAAGCAGCAGCGGCAGCGGTAGCAGTGGAAGAGATACCCGTCCTTGTGCCTCCCGTTAATACAGTGATGAATGAACAAAAGGAGATGCGTCCTCAACACCCACTTTCCGTCTCTCATACCACGGTCGATCCTTGGGCTTCCTACGTACCCCAAAATTATGGAGCACTCTTACAACGATTGGAAGACATTGAGATGCTACAAAAGTGTCCTAATGAATGCTGTGCATCAACAGGCACTGTCTCATCCGCCGATGGTGTACCTTGGCCTCAACCGATCGAACCCTTCAGTTGTTCCACCAGCCATGACAAAGGTTTAGATGAGATGTTGGATATCCAATATACGCATTGGTGTACCTTATTAAGGTGCTTACCCTTAATGGATGCAGTCACCTGTGCTCATGTGAAGACTGTCGGGTTGTATGCCATGCGAGAGATATTAAAGTGTAAGGCCAGTCATCAACGAGACGGTCATTGTCATCCAGTCGATATCACGACCAGACGTTTACGTGAATCTATGAGCTGTCTTCAACTGACAGAACCAGTCACCCTGTCTCTATCCGAAACAAAGACTGCCCTTGATGAAGAAGAGGAGGGTACAGGGGGGACAACAGTAGCAGAAGCGCCCATACCGCCACCAAAAGAAACCTCCACACCTACACCTTCTGGATATCCATCACCACATCATTCCAGATTTCAAAAATGGGTACAATATAAACGTGTATCCAGAAAAGCGCATACCGATACTACGAGTACACCTATGGCACAATCACAAACATTAAGAAAAATAGGTTCTTGGTTCTTTTAAAATAAAATTACATTGATTTTTTTAAATGTCGTGTAGTCCATTATAATATCAATCAGCGATTGTAACTTAATACACATAATCAACCGCAGCAATCGCATCTACTACCTTACGAAGCAATACAATCGTAAAACATATAAATAGCTTCAATTATCAATCAATCAACATTATCTTTATCCTCCTCTAAGAAGTTAATCAAATAAGTCAAGACAGACTTAATCGGTATTTAAGCACCGGCCTCAAGCTTTATTTTTATAAAAGCTGTGACTCTCAAATGAGAAGGTCACAATAACGGGGATTCATTCGTTTTTTTTTTTTTTTTCTATTGTGAAAGGTTGAGAAAACACCACACTTTTAACATTTAAATCAAAACTTCTTTTTTTATGTAAAACACATATATTTCTTTTCAACCCCTTCCGCACTAACCACCTACTGCCCCCTAATTTTTTTTTTGATCATTATTATTTTTCTTTGTGTGTAATTTCTCTATATCTAAAAAAAATCTTATATCTCGATGGAAGGCCATGATAATATTCTCGACTCTTATGAATCCACAGAAAACGCATTAATGGACTCATTTAAAGCAGCAGCGTTAAAAGTCACAACACTTTACAAGGATTCACTTGTTCAGAACCGAAAAGCTTACGCTGCCGGATACCAACAAGCGTTACAAGACCTCTATGAATTTATCAGTACACAACCAGAAAATGGATATATTCCAGTGGGAGACGTCTTGGCATTTGCTCGACAAAAGAATAACCAATTGACGGTGGAAATGGGTTACTCAACACCACCTACCGTCAGCACTACTCGACCCGTGGTAGACGAACCTGTTTTACCGCAGCAGCAACAGCAGCAGCAACAGCAACAACAGCAGCAACAACAGCAGCAACAACAACAGCAACAACAACAAAAGCTCTTAAACCCGTTCCAAATTGATCCTCAAAGCCAATTCACATTTACACAGGATGTTCCGTTCAATTTATGGGATCAAGCAACGGCGACCGCTCATGAAGGTAAAAGACGAGTGTTACCCAACGAGGTTTCTTTCATGGGAAGATCTTTAAATATGGATAATGGACATGAACCACCTTTTAAAAGAGTTCGAGCGAGACGTGATGAACAGTTTCAATTACAACAACAACAACACCAGCAGCAGCAACATCAACAGCAGCAGCAGTCATTCCAACAACATTCTTTCCATTTACATCAGCAACAACAGCAACAACAACAACAACAGCAGCAGCAGCAACAACAACAACAGCAACAGCAGCAGCAGCAGCATCCATAACCTTCTATTTTTTTTGTTTATATTTTGTATTATCATCTCCCCTTTTTATATGTATGTCATGATTAATTTATTTGTTGCCAAAAAAAAAAAAAAAAAAAAAAAACTCTTTTTTGAAATTACAAATCTTTTTATTTATTGATAGACTCTCTCTTTTTTTCTTTCTTTTTTTTTTCTTTCTTCTTTCTTTTTATATACATAATAAACAATATAAATGTACATAGTTGGTCCCTTCCCGTCCCTTTAGACATGATAAAAACCTGTTTCTTTTTCTTTTCTTTTTTTTTCTTTTTGCATGATCATTGGACAGCATAATTAAGGGTGTCGATCCTTTATTTATTGATTATCATCTGGACGAGGAGAGTATTCTTGTGGATGAAATAATTGAACCACATTTTCAACATTGGTATAGAAATCCGCGTGCATTTGAATGATACATTTTAATTTAGCTTCGTCTATCGGTTTTGACGATGTCATAATATTACGCTAAATTTTTCACACACGTTTAAAAAAAAAGTATATATATACATATCATCTACTTACGTATACAAAACGGATGCTGGAATAGATGAGTTGGTTGATGTTCTTATTTTCCTTGGCTGGAGAGGTGAGTGTCTCCTTGATCAAGTTTTTGATGATCTTTTTTTTTTTTTGAGTCAGTACATGTATAAATAAATATATATATATATGCACTCACGTTCTTCTTTTCGAGTGTGAGCTTCTCATAGGGTATATTGATATTGACAGGTGCCTTGTATTTCGATGGTTTGGATTTAGGCATCCTACTTTGGGTGACAACCGGTAAATGCTTATTCTTCATCAACAATTTTTTCTCCTCCATCGCGTTCTTGGCCTCACTAATCAAGTCTCGACTTGCCACTGGATCATGCATCGTGTGTGCAATCTTATTTATCAGATCCAGTTCGCTCAATGCATTCGCAGGCCGTGGTAGTTGCGCTGAAGAGATCATATCTTCATAATCAAACGCGTTTCCAAACACTTCATCCAATACCATCTGATCATGATTTCGGTCTTCGTTGGGAGGATATAACGTTGTCCCGCTCTCATAGATCCCCAAGAAATCGAAATCATCCATCAGTGGGTGTGCATATACAAATAATGTCTCGTCTAACTTTTCGCCATAGAGAATAATATTGCTCGTATCCTTTAACGGATATTCCACCTTGCCTAATAATCCCTCACATTAGTTTTTCTCTTCAATTGGTAAAATACAGTTACTTACGTTTAGAGTCTGTTGATTGCTTTTTTACCTGTACGATCAATGCTTTTTTCGTGGTACCACATAAATTGGTCTAAAGAGAGAAAGATTTAAATGGTTCGTTTCCTTCGTCTTACTTTTTTTTTTTTTTTTACCTCTTCATCAAATAACGCGTTCAAGAAGCTAGTGAGACCACTGTTCTGATCCACATTGGCCCTAACTAGGAGCGTGAGCTAAAAACGTCCTTTTTTTTATATATCATTCCGTGTATCCTTTACGCTCTCCATCGATCTCTTCTCAACATGAATAATTTAATGGCGGCTAAATTCACAATAGCCTCTAATTGAAAATGAACGTCAAAAACTTGTGTTCCTTCTGTTGATTCGTCCGTATACAAGCATAAATCTAGTCTCCCCCCCTTTTTTTGTTAATATACTTTTTGACAGACACAAAAAAAAAAAATCCTTTAGCTTTGTTTTTACCCTTTAGTACCGTTTCACCTTTCCAAGACAAGTCTATAGAATAACAAAGTTAATAAACGCAAGCAAGACCCAAAAGGAAAAAGTGTCATGTACCTTGGCCTAATAAAAGAGAGCCTGACAAAATGGAATCGGTAATTGACATTATTAAAAAATATTTTTTTTTTTTAAAAAAAGAAGGAGAGAGAGTTAAAAAAAAAGGGCGCGTTTTTTAAAAAAAAAAGACCCGTCTTTTTTCCCCCTTTCCCCCCCTCCACCCCCCTTTCAAAATGAAACTTACATTGACAAAGGACATGCAAGCTTCGGTAGAGTTGGCTTTGAAAGGAGCGAGTTTTTCTGAAAAGTACAAGGAAGAAGCCGAGATGATTGCAAGTGCCTGTCATGAAAAGGAAAGTGTGCCCATCACTGTGGAGTTGGTTCAGTATGTGTCAAAACAACTGAATCAGTCCTTTCATGAACTCTTGAAAGGAACCACTATTTATATCGAACCCAAAGAAATCAAACCCAAGGTACTTCTTTTTTTTTAAAAACTATCTTGGAAAAATAAATTCATCCAATCTTAATATAGAACCCTGAATTCGAAGCTTATATGGCCAAGTTACGCGCAGAACAACAGGAAAGAGATTACAAACGCATGGTTTCCTCCGTGATCACTTCTGAAGATCAAAAATTTAATTTGGGTATTAAACCCGATGAATTGAAAGAAGCCAAAAGTCATATCGCTACCATCTTTAATATCTTGTTTTCCATGATCGCTGTTTACACTGCTGTCTTTAAAGCTTCTAAAACAATCATGGACGACTTGGGTCTTGTAAGTTTTTTATTTTTTTTAAAACAAAATTCTTGTCTTCTCCACCCCATCTTAATCATACCTCCTTTCTTTTTTAGCAAGTCTTGATGGGTTTAGCAGGAGCCATCATGATTGGTACAGTCGAAGGTATCTTGTATGCTAAATATGCCTATGTTGCTACCTTGGAAAAGAAATCTAAAAGTAAACGCATCGCAACATTGTAAATCATACCCCCCAACACACACACCCATTTACATATGATCACCTTCAAATAACAAAAAAAAAAAGCTTTTCATTCCACACACACCCCCCAAATGACGTACCTTTTTTTTTTTTTTTTGACAACGTCTTCAGTGTGTAAAATTAGTTAATTTTTTTTTCGTCCCCTGACATCATTTACCAAATAGAGTAATCATGATATCATATGTTGGCCTTTTTTAATTTGCCGCCGAAAAAGATATATAAAAAGAGAGAGAGAGAGAGAGTCGATCTATCTTTTATTCTCTATTTTAATTTAAAAAAAAACTTAACACGAAACAATGGAAACCTTTAACTCTACTTTTCCTCCCAACAATGTCAACCCTCGTTTCCAGAACGACGACAACGTGCCTCGATCCACGGGAGCACATACCAACGGTACCTATGCAACGGGTGCTTCCAATGCCGGTGCGCATACGAGCACGTACCATACCGATCATGCGGGTACAGAGACCCACCCTACGCATGCCACAACGGGTGCTCATGCCCTTCAGAACGATCCTCCTCATTCAAAAATGGAAGGCATCAAGACCGCTTTACATGATATCAAGGAAAATGTCAAGGGAACCTTACAACGAGATCATCATCATGGTCAGGATTGTGCAAAGAGGCCTCAGGATGGCAAAACAAATCCCATGGAATAATCATTTTACTTCCTTTCTCTCTCTCTTGTACATATTTCGTAAATAAATAAATACCTTTTTTTCTCCTTTCTCACTTAAAAAAAAAAACTATCTCTCTCACCTGATTTATCATCCTCCCTTCTTAAAAAAAAAACTTGTATTCGGGTTGGTTTTTTTTCTTTGGTTAAACAACAGCTTGTTTCATGTTACTAAAATATAATGAAAAAAAAAGGTGTCTCGTGTTGGATTTTAAGGTCTTGTAAAATAAACTTTATACTCATTTTGGGAAAACGCTAAACTAATACAAAACTCCCAGCCCGTTACACACTCGATTTGTTAAAAAGGGGAGACGTTTTTTTCAGAATGTTTGATCTCATTTTCTTGGGTAATAGAATAAAGGAGATAGTAAGGATGTCTTTAGCATACCCATTCTTTAAAAGGATTGTATTTATTTGGAGCGAGCATTTCATAACCAGTGACAGATGATTGCTTAATTTCCGTTTCCGGCAAACAAGGCTGGCAATGATTTTTTTCTCACTTTTCTTAGGGACAGCCAAAGTGCACGTAGACGCAACGTAAGATCTGTGATTTGGATGTTCTGTAGACCTGGGAACAAGGATACACAATCAAAAAATACTGTAAAACTTACTAATAAATGTATATTAAACGATTTATACTTATTGTGACAATTATATCATCACTCTTTTGCCTTTGAGCTCGTTTGATCTTAATCTTACGCAGAAATATTAAAGGTAAAGTCCAAACGAGAAGCTGAAAGTAAGCTGTAAAACACATATACTGGTTTAGATTATGTTGGTTGTGATAATTGTGTATATATTTTAAGTTGTTAAGTTATATTAACCTCTTGATGTCTATTAAAGTATCATAATCCCAATATTACGACTACGCGGACCCTGGCTGTCCCTAAGAAACCGCCGTTTTTTTCCAAATACGTGTCTATTTAACACAGCATGGATGGTCCATGTGTGGATCAAATAGAGTCTGACATTGTGTACATTGATACAAAACGAATCCAGACTTTAGATTAGCTTCGTTTTAGGATGGGGTTTTTTTTACCAAAGACTTTGTCATGCATTTTGGTAGAGTCTATCTAATTATGTGTTTTTTTGAAAAAAAAAATAAACATGTGCATATAGATTGATTTTTATCCATGAAATCTTTGTAATCTAAATAAAAAAGAGCATGAAATGTCCGAGAATTTTTTTTTTTTAATTATTCAAATGTCATCATTTTGATGTCTAGATCCAGTAACAGTCTGGGATGAAGCCATCCTAAGGAAGGTTTAAAATCACACTGACTTTCTTTTTTTCTGTTCGTGCGTCATGATACACCTCCTATTTCATTTTTTTGTTCGTTTGATGCTGTTTTATCTTGTGAATCAACGGGCCTTACTCAACAACATTCGACTGCGAAAGAAGCAAATGCTGGTAAAGAACCCAAAATACTTCAATTCCCATGTTGGTTTTAGAATGTATATCACTATCAACGTCTACCATTTTGTTTTCCAACATTTTTCTTTTAGATGCAGGATTGTGTGGCTATGTTAGACTATTAAAAAAAAAGAATGACAGCATTTGAATAGCATCGATAGAAATGATTCGATCATTTGTCCGTGACCCTTAATTATAATGGCTGTATTATAGATTTTTCTGTAAAAAAAAAGACAAGGAGGGTCTACGATGGTATCAATGCAGATATATCCTCACGTATTGAAATTTCTTAGAAGCTTTTTTTTTCCCGCAATATCTATAAAGAAAACGTGATGAACTTTTTTTCTATTTTACTGCAAAAAGAAAAAAAGAATCTACAATAAAAAAAAAATGTCGGCTCAAGACAAAGACACTAAAATTAAGCCAAGTAACGCAATAACGCATGCTCTTCTTTGTTAAAAACCGGCAATAGTCATTTTTTTTTCGATGAAAGGGAGGACGAGGAGCCGATTGCATTCTTTTTTTTTTGGTATAAATACAAGTGACAAAAATAAACGAATTTTATATTATTCTTTTTTATACATATATATCTATCATACTTCATCTATTCCAAAGAAAATGAAACTTTTACTCATCAGTACACTTTGTTTAACAACAAGTTATTTCGTATCTGCAGCACCAAGAACTTTATCAGACACAACCAACGATTTCCATAGACGAAGTAGTAGCCCAACAAGCAATATTGTCTCTAGATCAGATAAATACAATCAACTCTCTCCTCAAAACTCCCCCTTTTTCCCAGATTTACAGATCCCAGAAGACGTGATAACTAGCTATGCCGGTGTAGATCGTCATGCCACACTCACTCTGTCTCGTAAACCCCTCGACTTAAGCAAATACCCAGAACCTTGGTCTAAGCCAGATATCTATCATCCTGAAGTGCAAGCAGCTATCCAAGCCATTGACTGGGACCTGGTACCAGATGCATCCATTCGTCCTGTCAATGCATTAGGCGACATTGACTTTGATTCCTATGATGAGAATGAAGACACCGATTGTTGGTGGTCTGCCTCCAACTGCAAGACTCCCAAAGTAAACTATTTACCTCCCGATATTTATACATGTCCACGGAAAGGCGATTGGGGTCTCACCTTTGATGATGGTCCCTTTAATTTACGCGACAGTGATGAAGAGGACGCTGACGATGAAAATCCTTATGCAGAACCTATTCTTTATGACTTTTTGAAAAAGAATCATGTTAAAAGTAACCTTTTTGTAAGTACCATATTTCAATTATGGATTGGTTTTATATATGTAAATATTTTATTTACTAAAAGACAAAACATAAAATTTTTTTAGTACATTGGTTCCAATGTGGTCACCTATCCTGCTGCTGCTAAACGAGCATTAAACGATGGCCACTATATTTGTGTCCATACCTGGTCTCATCCACCCATGACAACCCAAACCAACGAAGAAGCTGTGGCAGAACTCTACTGGACACTTCGTGCCATCAAGGAAGCCACGGGTGTCACACCCAAATGTTGGAGACCCCCACAAGGTGATGTCGATGATCGTATTCGAGCCATTGCTTGGCAAATGGGTATGCGTACAGTGCTTTGGGATAAGGATACACAAGATTGGGCTCTTCCTGCTCCCGGTGGTGGGGATTTACCACCCTCAGAGGTCAACCTAAAGTTTTCCCAATGGATAGACGAGGAGAAATATGAACAAACGTCCCACGGTACAATTGTACTTCAACATGAATTAAATAGTGCTACTGTTCGTATGGCTCAGAAATGGCTTCCTCAGATCAAGAAGGTCTTTCATGTTGTTCCTGCATTGGCTTGTAATGGTATCACTCAGCCCTATTGGGAGTCTGATTTTGAATACCCCTCTCTTTATTAAATGCTATTTTATACTATTTAAATAAAAATATAAAAGGATACCTTTTTTTTTAGAGACATCATTTCTTTTTTTTAGAATTGTGGCGAGTGAGGATGACTACTATGTGTTCTTTTGTGTGCTCATAAAAGACCTTCTTTGTTTCTATATTCACTCTGGTATAATGCCTTCTTTCAACAATGCCCGTTACGTTGGGTAGTCATAACACCAACAGAGTATAAAAATTTTGTGAGACAATAGGACTTGCGTACTTGACATGAACAAAATGTTGTCTCAAACAATGACTATGGTCATTACCAGAAAGAAACTGGAATCGAGAGCAAAGAAAAAAAAAAAAACTGCAGATCAGGGTTGATTTCTTCCACGACTTAAATGACCAAGTAATGGAATTCAGCATTGATGTACTATGGTGATAACGGTAACGCGTTATAAAATTCACCTTTCAGGAGTGATGATTGACGCGCCCACTCCAAAAAAAAAAAAAAAAAAAAAAAAAAAAAAACCAATTTATCAATTTTATCACCGTGAGAACCAACTTTATGTAATTTGCGCAGCATATAAAAAAGCGACTTTTTTTTTTTTTATTCTTCTTTCCTTTTTTCATTCCAACAACTTAAAGAAGCTCATGTCGCCAAGAAGAAAAGAACCTTCCGCTGCTTCAGTGTTTGTCAAAAACCTTAAAGCGCTCCAATTTAATACAGAGCGTTACAACAACAACAACAACAACAGACACAAACGCTTTATTCTCGATGAACGAACATTCACTGCTCGTGACGGTACAGTTCGATCCTTTGAAATCATTAGCTATTTTTTATTTCAATTACTCGACTCAACTAAAGCTAATTCGACTTTTAAAGGTGTCTACCCTGTCACCACCAAGCGTCAGTCCTTGGAATACCGTTGCCTGGCTTTTAACTGGTTGAGGGAGATACAATCTGGCTCCCCACTGATGAATACTCCTTTACGCAAAAGTCATTTAACCGACTGTCGCGGTGAGCCTATCAACAAAATATTGGCCGCACTTACCACTATCGTTGTTAACAAGCAACCACCAAATCTCAAAAAAGGTATGTCTCTCCGCCCCATATACACACATTTCTTGCTATCTCTTCATTTTAAAACTCACATTTTTTTTCATCTGTAGAGACAAACACTCCTCCACCACCACCACACAAACCTCAACAACCAACAAAGCCTGAAGTTTCTTCAGCTAAAAAAACCAACACAGCCAAACCAGGTAAGCGATCTTTGGATCAACGCCCCGGATCTACCGAAGACCCCACAGCAAAAAAGACAAAAGTGGCCGTGGTTACAGATGTAAAAGAGGCAACAAGCACCTCCAACAAACACCCATCTCTAAAATCCACCACCAAGTTGCTATTTACAAGGGATGATTCAAACTACCGATCATACGAAGAACGCTTGGCCTTAAAGTATGAAGCATACGATTCAGCACGGGCTTGGGTCATGTCTATTGCAAAATACACAGACTACTTTGTAGCATCTGCAGCGCACTGTCACCACCCCGCAGCGCCATCCACAACACACACAGCAAAGTCCAAAGAACGCCCACCTGTATATACCAGAAGACCATTGAAAGTCCTTGATTTCCCTGACAGACCCATCCCAGCCCCATCACCCTTTATACCCAGTCACGTACCACCGATCCCCGAATCCCTATTGGCTTCATCTCCATCATCAACTTCTGAACACGTATCTAACAAGACCACAGAGTTAGAATATTATAGATTTGACGCTTTCATACGTGATATGAAAGCAAAAAGCAAAAAATAAAAAAGGCCCGACCTTTTATACCCCCCCCCCTCCCTCACCACCGCCACCACAATTTGAAGAAAAAAAAGTTCACGCCATACTTTTTACTGTTTGAGAGTCTATTCCTGACAACTGCTTGAGTTTATTGTTTCTATTTGAAGTTTTCTAATAGTGTAAGAGATATCGTGTTTTTTATAAACCCACGCCATGTGTTCCTTTTTGCTTTTTTTTTAAAAAATCATGCGACGGGGACGTGATTTAAGGCTAATTATACGCGCACCATACTTTTTGCTTGAAAAAAAAATCTCGCGCACCATACTTTTCTGTGCCGGTCAAATAATAAATTCCGGGTCGGACCAAAAATAATTTTTGCACATAGCATATTTTTTTTAGCGCACACCATGTTTTTTTCGCTGGCGGGACCATACTTTTTTCGTTGGCGCACCATACTTTTTCTCGCGCATAATGGATGCAAATATGATGTTGAAGAGTTTAAACAATTCCATCACTGTTCCTACTGTGCTTTTGAATTAAATATAATGTTTATTTGCCTAAGTTTTTTATTTTATTTTTTTATAATTTTAAGGATAAATGTGATAAAAATAAGTATAATAATAATAAGTGATAGGTAAAAGAAAAAAAAAAGATTTAGTTATTTTGATAATATTCAGATACGTCGTTAACACAGATGTCCCGGTGCGCATTGAATATTTTTTGATGAGAAAAATTGACGGTTGGCCATTTTTTTGGGATAATGGCTTTCTTGGTTTTGGAGTCAATCATATAGAAATGTCTGTTAATAAAAAAAAAGAATAATAAGTTCATTCATTTTCTCCAAATCTAAACCAAGGAATGGCACAAAAGTTATTGCATCCTTTGTATAAATGACGTTTCTGTCATCATCCCTCCACAGATTATCGTATTTGTCTTTTTTTGGCGTTGTTGCATACAAGATTACGGGTCATTTAAACGTATCAGCAACTATTTGTGGGCAGCCATAGCAATCAAACCAAATATGCAAATTGTCAAGGCATGGCGCTTTTGTTGACAAAAGTTTTTGTTGTTATGTATGCTTCGTTTAGTCCGTAGCTGTCATAAATGGAGTTAGCATACATTGAAAAAGTATGCTAACATCATTTTTTTGACCCAGATCCAGGCTTCTTCGTGTCCAAAAACAGCAGCACTAACAGCGCGAAATCCACAATTACCATCGGGAATGGGATTAACAAATCCAAGAACATCGTCGGCATACTGACTATCTAGCATCTTAAATAGATTGCTATTGTCAGAGTCGCGTGTTACCATTTCAGATGGTTTGTATCTAAAAAAATACATATATTAATACCGTGAAATATTAAGCATTAAGGGTATACATTTACTTTGATCTGAGCTTATTGATGGCTGTTGTCGATGGCTTACGAAGACTTGGTTTATTTTTTTTGGCTTTTGTTGTTTTCTACTTTTTTTTGTTCTTGCTTGATTTTTTTCGTATTTTTTTGCTCGCTAGATATTTTTTCGTCTTCGTGCTCCACACCAAGCTTGTTTCTTTTGGTGCCTTTAGGACGAGCCTTCTGGATTTCGACAATTTTTGGTGCGAGAGTGTTTTATAAACGATCGTTTGAGTACTTAATGATCAAAGCATCCATGTCCTTTATAAGATCAACGGATTCTTGTTGGCTCCCCAAAAACCTTGCACAAAGACATCAATTTTTCCAGTCTTAATTGGATTTCTGTTGTATTGATGTCCAACACTTCCGGAGAACATTTAGCCAATTCGGCAGAAACTTCGGCCACGGTAGCAACTATGAGGTACATTATTATTAGTTTATGTAGTTTTAAGGAGGATAATAAAATTTGTAAAACATTGAATTTTTACCGCTGCCCTCAAAATATGAGATTCTCCATCTTTGGTGAATCACGTTTAATGGAATTTTTTCCTTCAATAAACGAGACAAATGTGTCTGCATGGAAGCCTAAAATTTCTTCTAAGATTACAGAGGCAGCTCCCACCAGATGAGACATGGCTTACGTGGTCAGGGTTTTCCTCAGAAGCTTTCATTTCCATCAACTCATTCTTGATGTTTTCGAAACCAAAGCTAGAAACATTCAATTTTATCAAGGAAAGTTTATCCATGATATCATGTTCTAAAAAAACTGGTCGTTGAGAGACGGATTCTTTAATTGACTGTAAGTTGCGGTTGTCTTCCTAAAAAACAGATTTTTTTTTAGAATTGTAAACAAAATATAAACTGTGGTTTAGCTACTATGTACTCTTTTTTTAATCCACAGATCAATTTTTTCTGTAACAACAGCCATGCTACCAGACGAAGTGTTGTTACTTCTTTTGATGTTTGCATGTGTAGACTCGACTCTATTTGATGTTCGATTACCCATATGCATAAAATTGTTGTCATAATATCCAGCCCAATATTGCTTTTTGAGCATCATGCTATATGTTCGAGTTAATAAACGAAGTACGTACTTTAATTTAGACAAATATGTTACAAGAAAAATAAATGCTTACTAGTGAAAGTATTTGATTAATGTCTGGGTACCACCTTGAATACACATACCTTTGGTGGACACAAAAGTCTCGTATTCATCTTTGGCATTTAAGAATTCGGCTTTTGTTGCACATGTCAAAGCCATTTTCTTTACGATGGTCATGAATGACTTAAATTCCATTTCCAGAACGTTTCCTATGTTATCATGCTTAGATGTAAATTGATAGGGACACCTTTACTTCTTTCTATTATTTCTACATACTGTCCTGTCTCTTCTCCTTTGACAGATTTTTTTTAAATCTCAAAATAAAATTTCTCTGTACATGGATCCAGCATAAAATTTGTTTGCTATCAGGGAATGCAGACTTGATTGCTCCTAATAAGGCTTCGTCATTATCAGTTACAAAGCACTTTGGTAAGTCCTCCGTGCTTCCACCAACGGGCCACATAATCTCGCGAAAGCATTTCCAAGCCCATCGGTATCGATCACCTGTTTCACGATCCATCCAGCATGCTGCAATAGGGACTGTTGTCAATTGCTTGGGCTTTTCTTTGGAACGCAAAGTACCAGCTACAACGAAATTTAACAAGACCATTTTGTGGGAGTTGGTCTTGTATGCTGCATCGATCACAATACACCCCGAAAGCTTTCTGGCCTCGTCAATGCCATGTTGGTGTATAAAACACACACAACAAATTCTTTCGTCGTTATCCGTCATGTAACGAACCTGATGACCACTGGACTCGAGGTTTTTAATAAAGTTCCACGTGTTAGTGTGGTTATCCCGACAAAATTGTTGTTGGATATTAGTCGAATCCGTTACAATTAAGTTATTGACACCTCTTGTCTCAAGAATCTATTTAACAGCGTGTTAGTGTTTTTAAAAGGCATGAAAAGGGGGCATATAAAGACATTATAAAGATTATAGGCAAAATAATAACTTTTATTATGATTACAGCTCTACTAACGATTAATTTCTCCATATCAACTTTCAACCTTACCTTTAACGTTTCACTTGGCAGCTTCCTTGTCCAAAAATGGTTTTCCAACTGGAAATTCGGCTTCGAAAGCAGCCTTCCCCTCGATGACACGTTCATTCGGCTGGACAGTCTCAGCAAATGAAGGAACAGCTCGTGTAGCTTTGACGCTGATATCCTCCTCTTCCGGGTCAGTAAGACATTCCCAGTCATACTCATCTGTCAGTTTCTCTCCAGTATTGGTTTGTTCATCAATTTGTTTATCGAAGATCTCCTCGAAACTATCTTTAACTTCTTCAGCGGGGTTAATTACAGACAAAAGGCTGTTGATTAACAATTGGTTTTCACTCAAAGATTGGTGTCAATCGTTTGGATTCATTTTAAAATAAAAGTTTAAAAGAAAAAGAATAAAGCAAAAAAAAAAAGTATGGTCCACCAGCCAAAAAGTATGGTACACCAGCGAAAAAAACATGGTGTGTGCTAGAAAAAAATTCTATGTGCAAAAATTATTTTTGGTCCGACCCGGAATTTATTATTTGACCGGCACAGAAAAGTATGGTGCGCGTATAATTTGAAGCGCGTTTTAAATCAGGCTAATTATACGCGCACCATACTTTTTGCTTGAAAAAAAAAAATCTCGCCAGCCAATATAAATCTGAGCGAAAAAAATATGTTGTTCTTCTTTATCTTCAATATTATATTTCTCAATGCTATTAAAACACGTAAGAGGAATACATTTATATAAACTACTCGATACTAATTTGGGTTTCCTATAGGGCATCAATCACGGCCTGACACTGACTCGTCATACTTTCCACTAAACGCGGGGGGAAAGCGAAATGTCCATTTGCTTCTCAAGTCATTCGCGTTTTTTTTACATGGGATCTTCTTTCAGCGATCCGACGTTTTAAGGCCCACCAGTTCTTGTAATAATATACCCACGATTACCTTTGTACTCTATTTAACATTCAACTTTGCCAATATTTGTTTAGGCTAAATGGTGTCCAGCTAAGTGTGTTTGGCGCTGCAAGTTTTTTTTTTTTTTTTTTACCAGGTTTGATATAACTTTGAGTATATGGTACAGTGTAATTGTTGAGTTGAAAGATGGTGCACTCTATCCTTCTTCCTTACAATTGTTACGGTATCCTCTAGATGCTCAATTGGGTTATGGTCTGGAATCTGGACAGGCCAGTACTTAAATCAGTACCTGAACGTACCACCCATCCCACAATCCTTAATAGCTTCATCTGTTTCAACACCAACAACAGATAAAACAACCAATAAGCCAGAGGAACTGGAATGGTATCGGTTTGACGCCTTCATACGCGATATGAAGGCAAAAAACAAGAAATAAAATAGGCCGAGCCTTTTATACCCCCCCCTCCCTCACCACCACCCAAACCTCAACAACCCACAAAGCCTGAAGTTTCTTCAGCTAACAAAACCAACACAGCCAAACCAGGTAAGCGATCTTTGGATCAACGCCCCAATTCTACCGAAGACCCCACAACCAAAAAGACAAAAGTGGCCGTGGTTACAGATGTAAAAAAGGCAACAAGCACCTCCAACAAACACCCATCTCTAAAATCCACCACTAAGTTGCCATTTACAAGGGATGATTCAGGCTACCGATCATACGAAGAACACTCGGCCTTAAAGTATGCAGCATACAAATCAGCACGGGCTTGGGTCAAGTCTATTGCAAAATACACAGACTACTTTGTAGCATCCGCAGCACACTCCACAGACTACCCCGCAGCGCCATCTACAACACATACAGCAAAGTCTTCCGGAAAGGCTACAACACCATCCACAGAACGCCCACCGGTATATACCAGAAAACCATTGAGAGTCCTTGATTTTCCTAACAGACCCATCCCAGCCCCATCACCCTTTATACCCAGTCACGTATCACCCATTCCAGAATCTCTCTTAGCTTCATCTTTGTCATCAGCAACAAATGAACGCACAAAAGATAAGCCTGAAGATCTGGAATGGTATCAGTTTGACGCCTTCATACGAGCTATGAAGGCCCAAAAAAGAAATAAAATAGGCCGCGCCTTTATATCCCCCCTCCCTCACCACCACCACCACCACCACCACCTTAAAAAAAAAAAAGTTCACGCCATACTTTTTAATGTTTGAGAGTCTATTCCTGACAACTGCTTGAGTTTATTGTTTTTATTTGAGGTTTTCTAATAGTGTATGAGATATCGTGTTTCTATATAAACCCACGCCATGTGTTCCTTTTTTGCTTTTTCTTTAAAAATCATGCGACGGGGACGTGATTTAAAACGCGCTTTAAATTATACAGTCCCACCCAATATAAGTCTGAGAAAAAACAAATATATGTTGTTCTTCTTAGTTTTCAATATTATATTTCTCAATGGTTATTAAAACACGTAAGAGACTTACATCTATATAAACCACTCGATACTAATTTGGGTTTTCTATAAAGCATCAATCACGGCCTGGCACTGACTCGTCATACTTTCCACTAAACGATGGGGCAAAGCGAAATGTCTCTTCTCAAATCATTCGCGTTTTTTTTTATATTGGATCTTCTTTCAGCGATCCGACGTTTTAAGGCCCACCAGCTCTTGTAATAACATACTCACGATTACCTTTGTACTCTATTTAACATTCAACTTTGCCAATATTTGTTTAGGTTGAATGGTGTCCAGCTAAATGTGTTTGGCGCTGCAAGTTTTCTTTTTACCAGGTTTGATATAACTTTGAGTATATGGTACAGTGTGATTGTTGGGTTGAAAGATGATGCACTCTATCCTTCTTCCTCACAATTGTTGCTGTATCCTCTAGATACTCAATTGGGTTATGGTCTGGAATCTGTACAGGCCAGTACTCAAATCAGTACCTGAACGTACATCCAAAAAGCCTGTAGAGTTGGAGTATTACAGATTTGATGCCATCACCAACCACTGAAAATACATCCCAGAAGCCAGAAGAACTGGAGTACTATCGATTCGATGCCTTCATACGAGATATGAAGGCAAAAAACAAGAAATAAAATAGGCCGAGCCTTTTATACCCCCCCCCTCCCTCACCACCACCCTAAAAATAAAAGTTCAGATCACTCTTCTCACTGATGGAGAGTCTCCACAGTGTTCTGTTCCTAACAAGTGTTTAAGGCTGTTACTTTATATGAGGTTTTTTTAATAGTCAGAGTCACCGTGTTTTTTAAACCACGCCATTTGTTCTTTTACTTTAAAATCATGCGACGGGACATGTTTGACAACTTTAGGGTTATCCATTAGGAATTTCCTCCTGATAACAGAAATCATGAGCCCGCTCAGTCAACCCCCAATATTTTCTTTTCCTGCAAATAAATCTCTTGATGGTAAATTTGACTTTTCCTGCCAGGTATTTTCAGTCACTATTAGTCCCGAAAGCAGGCGGGTGCTGCTATGAACACTTGTTTTCGTACTTGAATGGTAGCTTCTTTTGATGGACGTAATTATCCAAAAATAAAATATATAAAAATCACACCCGGTAGATATAGTCTATTGAAGCAGTATGGTTATCAAAGAAAGTATTTGATGGAGCATGAAATGGGCCATGACATAATTTTTAGCGTTTTTTGAATCATCTTCGTATCATTGCTAAGCAACCTCAATGCGACATTTTTGCGATCCCCAAATGTGACTAAAATAGAATAGGTAAGCCAAGAGAGATGTTGGTTAGTAAGGGGTGACATATGACATGTTATTCATTAATGCTTGGCTAGATTATTGGTACAATTCGTCAGCTTAACTACTAACAAACATGCCACTCATTCTTTCTTGGGCTATATATAAAAACCTCGTGGCATTGAAATTAAATGGAAGAGCAAAAGGCTTTTAGGTCTGGGTGATGCCTAAAGTTTGGGGATACAAGTCGGGTTTATTTCATCAAGTGACTCAATTCGGGTTGCTTACCTGAATTTGACAGCCATAGGATGATGGCGCATTCATAGATTTAATCAAGTATTGACATAATAAACGTCGTGTACCTTTTCCCGAATTGGCTAACAGGCTGCCCTAATGCTGATGTAGCACTAAAATTTAATTATTTTAAGCTTTTTTTTTTTTCTCTCCTCCCCTTTATTTTTGTAAATAAAAAAAAAAAACCTTTTTTTTTTATTTTCCTTTCCCTTTTATTTCTTTTAATAAAACAATGACAGATAAACCTTCGGTCGGAAGAACTCCGTCGACCACCAAAAGAAAGTCCCTCTTATCTGAGCTGGGTATTAAGTCAGGCGATGCGCCCGCCCCTACGCCACGCACAAGAACTACCCCTCCGTTGAATCGACGACCCAGTACGACAGGTGTTAAACCTGCTTCACCTTCCGTTTCAAAGTCTCGTTCAGTCAACAACAACACGACCACAGCTCCCCGAAAGGCAGCACCAGCACCCGTCAAAGTCGATCGTTCAGCAAAGATCTCATCTGCTCCTTCACCTACCTCGCCTGCTCCCAACCGAAGATCCATCGTCCCTTCAAGTCAGCGATCCGCCACCATTTCGCCATTAGCTCGAAGAGCATCTGTCAACTCGGGAGGATCGCCCAACGGCTCGACTGTCATTCATAAACGACTCTCATCACCTGCTGGTTTGGACTCCTTGCAGGAAGTGCAAACAATGAAAGAACAGGTAAAAAAAACTATTTTTTTAATCTGTCAGTGTGCTCTTTATCACTTACATTGGCCGATAGATTGTTCAGCAAGAGTTATTGTTGGTTGAAAAGGAACAGCAAATTCAAAAATTGAAACAGATTGAACGCACTTTAATGTCAGAGGTACACAAAAATTTAAATTCAACCCTTATAAAACCATTTAAATGAATCCCCGTTACATTGTAGAATGAATTAAAGACCAAAGCATTGGACGAATTAAAAGGGGTAAGTTGGATAAAAAATACTTGTTTTGTTACATAGTCAGCACATGGGGCGTAAAAAAAAAAGAAGGCCAAACACTGATCTATTAATGATGTAGTCTGAAGCGATAAAGCAGGAAATGGAAAAATCACTCTCGGAAACCGAATCCAAGCACAAGCAAGAGATGGAGAAATCTCTTTCGGAAACGGAATCGAGATACAAGCGACAGATCGAGCAGTCGCTGTCCGACACCGAATCAAAACACAAGCAAAACTTGGAAGAGTTGGAAGCCAAGCATAAAGGAGAACTGGAGAAATTCTCACAAATGCAGGATATTAAACTCCAGTCATTGTCCACAGATTATGAACAACAAATAAGCAAGCTTAGATCAACCTATGAAAATCAGCACACCACCGATCTGGAAAAGCTCGAAAAAGAAAAGAATAATTATATGCAGCAATTGATCAGTGAGCAAACCATGCATGAAAACTATAAAAAAGAACAGGATCTGATCGTCGCTGACCTCAAGTCGCAACTCGCCATCATGGAAGAGTCCGCTTCCTCTAGTCACACACGTAAAATCCAAAACGAATTGGCAGCTTCCTCTGCAGCTCTCGAAGAGTTTAAAAGACAGTCGCAGCAAACCACAGAGAATCTCGAACGAAGATACCGTGATGAAATCAGACAATTGCAACACGGCAGTGATGATACCGCACGGGCTTGGTTGGAAAAAACAAAGTCCGATCAACAGAAGCTGGATGAGTTACACAAGGAACTATTAAGAACAGAGACGGAGCACAAGGCCATTCTGGAAAAGTTGGTGGACACACACACTGAACAGATAGACAGACTAACCGAAAGCTGCGAGACCAAGGAGACAGAAATTGAAGAACAGTCAAGTCAAATCGAGGACTTGATGTTCCAAGTTGAGACATTACAAAACTCATTAGAAGCAGCTACCGTCCGATTAGAGCATACAGCAAAGTCAACACCTACAACCTCTAGTAATCGTGACGACATCAACTCTCTGGATGTGCCTCATGAGCCCATAAAGAACATTCATCAAGAGTGTTTAAATCGCGTCGATCTAAAGCAAAAGGAATTGCAGGATTTCAAAGCTAAAATGAAGGAGTTAAAGGAAGTGCATGAAGCACAACTCAACCGTTTAGGGCAAGAAAAAGCAACTGCGGTGGGTGAATTACGCAAAATCATCACAGGCCTTGAGCAAAGATTAGCCGCCACCCCACCTTCCTCACCGACAAAATCCTCCATGAATGAGGATAGATTAATAAGCATAGCGGAACAGCACCGCAAAGAAATCACCACCATGCATGAACAATACCAAGCTGTGGTGGATTGCAAGGACCGTGAATTAGAGGACTATGCTTACAGAGTGAAAGCCATCGTAGCTTCCAAACAGAAAGAAGTGGAGAAGTTACAGGTGGAAACAATCTCAACCATTGACAAATATGAAAAAGATATTGAAGGATATGAGGTAAGAGATCGTTGAATGTTTTACCCGTGTTTTGTTTTGTGATATGAAGTAGTTAACTGGAGGAATATTTCAGTATTATACTTTAATGATTTAATATGAGATCCTCATCCCACTTCATTTTATTAGCAAAAGATCATTGAATATGAAAAACAGTCTGTAAAATTACAAGATAGGGTCACTCATTGGGAGACCCTGACGAATAATAATGAGGCACTTATTCAAGACATGAAGAAAGGTTGTGCTGCTCATCGCGATGAAAATAATCAGCTTATTCGGTAAGTACATTTTATACAGAAAAAGATGTACAATTTAGCTAAAACGCGTATAATAGACTCGTAAACCAGCTGCAATCAGAGTTACACATTTAATAAATTATCTATTTCCCCCCGCGCATGACTTTTATATTATTATTCCTCGCTGAGGGTGTATTTCCATGCCCGGTATTCGGGTCATACTTGTGCTCATGTGTCGTTTTTTCATTGACAAAAATCCTCCCCTCAACGTTTTTGTTTGTAAAAGTGCTATGATGACAAAATTCATTTGCACAAATACGTCTTGTTAAATATGTTGAACGCCCAAACATAAAAACGAATGCATAAATTAAGCAGGGATTCCCGTCTCCCCCAGCATAGATCGCTTATATATAATCTCTCTAAACGATGGAACTTTTTCTTTTTACTAAAGCTTTTCGGCTGTAGGCCTTCATTACACAAAAAAAAAAAAAGATGATATTCCATTTGAAATCCGCTATCTGCATTTCCTTTTTTTACCTTGTTTGTGTAAAATCAGAAATGGCTCCAGAATTAGGAAGAAACATTCGGTCTCAGTTTCTATTTGATCCAAAGTATACTTCGCTAAACCATGGCTCATACGGCTCCATTCCCAAGGCACTTGTTCCTGTCATGCAAGACCTACGTCTGAAATCAGAAGTCAATCCCGATCGCTGGCTAAGACGTGAAATGTTTCCTGAATTACAGAAAAATAAGGAAACTTTGGCAGAGCTCGTTCATGTCGATCCCCAAGAGCTCGTATTTGTATTTAATGCCATGACAGGTATCAACACTGTAGCTCGAAGTCTACCTTTAGCTGCTGGAGACAAAGTTATCTACGTAAGTACTACTAAACCCTCCCGTGGGAAAGAAAGAAAAAAAACACACCGTCCTAGTATGAATTCTCATTTCATTTCCGGTTTTTTTGTAAAGTTTAATACAGCATATAATTCGGTGGAAAGCACCATCAAATTTGTCAAAAACTCAGAGAACGTGAAATTGATAAAGATTGACTTGGCCTATCCTATGAGTGACGGTGAAGTACTGGATAAAATCAAGGACACCATTGAAAAGGAGAATAGCAAAAACGATGGAGAAATCAAGCTTTGCTTTATGGATGCCATTAGTTCCGTACCAGCCGTTCGTTTCCCTTTTGAATCTGCCATTAAATTAGTCCGTGAGCACAATATATTGAGTTTAGTGGATGGTGCCCATGCATTAGGTACATATAAAAAAAATTCCAGCAAAACTTATGGGGGCGGGTAAATTGTGTGTACTAAATTAACATGCTTACAGGACAAATACCATTGAACTTGCATGAAACCGATCCCGATTTTTTCATCACCAATTGTCATAAATGGCTTTTTGCTCCTCGAGGATGTGCCATCCTTTACGTTCCCTTCAGAAATCAGCGCTTGATCCATCCTGCTATCATTAATTCTGCCTATGCAGATCATAGTGATGTCTCTGACAAAACAAGTACCTTTCAGGACGAGTTTGTGTGGCCTGGAACTTCTGATTTTACGAATTTTATGTGTGTCAATGCTGGTAAATTTCATAAAAAAAAAAACCTAAAAGGAATACTACTCGAGACTGACGATGTTGTATAGCAATGGATTATCGAAAATCATTGGGAGGTGAAGATGTCATTATGAAATATACCCATGATTTAGCCGTCGAAGGCGGTGAGGCTGCTGCCAAAGTACTAGGTACCGAAGTCATGGAGAATCCCGAAAGATCCTTGACCGTCTCTATGGTGAACGTCAGAATCCCATTAACCAATCCAACTATTTCTGATGATGCTGTCGTTCAAGTATTTATCGATAAGATGTTGTATGATCATGATTGTATGGCGCCTGTTTATAAGCACAACGGACATTGGTATACACGTCTTAGCGCTCAAGTCTACAATGATGTCTCCGATTTCGAGTTGGTAGCCAAAGCTCTTTTGGCTGTCTGCAAAGAGTTGGAATCTTGATTGAAGATTATTATACACTTGGACACCCTTCCCCCCCTTTTTTTTTCCTTTTAATAAAAAAAAAAAAAAAAAAAAAAAAGAAAGAGTTTCCATCTGATTTTTTTATTATTATTTCTATGGTTGGAATTTATATACTTTACACTTTCTTTTTTGTTTATAGTCTAATCACGGTGCATATACCAATCAATGGCCAGTGAAAAGGCAGCAAAACCACCAGCACCGAGTAACATTGCTTGAGGGCCAGCCTTAGCAGCTAAAAGACCACCTGTGAAGGCACCAGCTACTACACTGTTATATAAATCATTCTTTGCACGGTACTAGCAACTCTCGAGTTAATCTTCCATCGTTTTATCTTTTTTTTTTGTCCATCAAACTTACCGATTCAATACAGCACTCAGATCCTGCATAGATCATGCCAACTTTACCGAAATTCTTTGCCATGGAGAGGGATCGAGTTCCCATATCCTTGAAGGCGTGCTTAATTTGTTGTTTTGTTGTTTGCTTTACAAGCTCTTCATGCATGACGGGGCCTGCATACTCGAATGATGACATGAATAAACCGAATGCTGCACCCATACCAAAACCTAAAGCACATTATTAAAAAAGGGGGGCATGTTTAATATAAAGTCGTACTGTGTAAGGTGCCATTTTTTTTCTCTTTTACCTGCTACGCCTGACATGGCAGTCTTTGCAACACAGGATTCCATAACACCTTGCATCATTTTAATAGTTTGTTGCTCTTGGAGACTCATGCCATTGTTCTGGCCTCTCATTCCACCGAGAGGGCTATTCATGGTATATAAAGTATAGTGTAATAAAAAAAAGGTTAAAAAAATTAAAATTTACACTCGTAGGGGCAATCTCAATACAGGGGAGTTTCTTTTTTTTTTTTTCTCCAATCAGTGGCTGTGAGCCAATGAAAAGAACGCATAGTGCCGTTTCAGGTGTTTAAATGATTGTGATCATTTTATAGCTTAAAGAAACAGATAAACCTCTCATAATAGTCTTGATCTAATGCTACGCAAGGATCAAGGCTACTTTAATTTTTTGCATCATACTCAGAATGAACCTTTTTTTAAAGAAAAATAAAAGCTATCTGCATGACCTTTTTTATGTGTGAAGCGTGCTAAATTACAACCCAGCTCGTCCTGTTCCTCTCTCTCTTTCTCAATTGCTATTTCTATCCTTTTAAGTATGGAATCTCCAACCAATTCACAAGTGCCTCAGTATGCACCCAACTACTTTACCAAAACTCAGGGTAACTATCCTGATTCTTTACGCTTTGTATGTCCCCTAACCTACCTTCATAGGATTAAATCAGGATGAAGTATTTTTCAACTACAAAAAAAAAAAAAAAAAAAAAAAAAAAAAGCGTCAAAGAGATTTAACACTCAATGTATAGGAAGTAAAGCTATTTACAAACAACAAGGAGAGAGACAAATACGATAACATGGCTGATTTATATTCGATTATTGTTTTAATGGAACATTTGGAAAAAGCCTTTATTCGTGATTCTATCACAGCAGACGAGTAGGTTTGGGATGGCATGCATAACACTTGTACTTACTTGTTGAAATCTTTTCAGATACACACCTCAATGTGCTAACCTCATTGCAAAATACAAAACCACCATGAATTTTTTGTCTGATGCCATCACCGATTTGGAAACATTTATGGATGACTACAAGGTAAGAAATTGGAGAAAGGTGGGGTTTTTTTTATTTCCCCCGGGAGGGGGGGACTCATAAAAGTGTATAGCTCTCTTGTCCTGCAGCTGTAAATCGATTCAAAATTGGTGTGCCTGCCACATACGAACATGCTATTGGTGATAATAAGAATGACGTTGGAAAATCCGCAAAGTACATTGCCGAGAGTGTCTTGGTTAGTTTTTTCTTTTAGTTATTTTTTTTGGCGTGTTACACATTTTAATAACTTTTCTTTGTGGGTAGCATTTTATTACATTGATGGATACACTGCGATTAAACAGATACGCAGTGGACGAACTACACCCGATCCTTGCAGATTTGATTCAGTCACTGAACAACGTACCTGGATTAACAGCCGATTTTGAAGGAAAGCAAAAAGTGCGTCAATGGTTAATCACCTTACATTCGATGAAAGCAAGTGATGAAATCACTGACGAACAAGCACGTCAAATGCTTTTTGAAATGGATCAATCTCATTCTGAATTTCATCGTTTGCTAAGTGGAGATCATAAAGATACCTCTTCTTAAATAAAAAATAATTTTCATCAATAAATTACCATGTAAATGTCAAAACTTTTTATTCATAGTTAAAAGTAGGCCATTGATAATTGCTCCCGAGTGAAAATACATTTGTCGTGATTTTCATATTCACCTCCATCCCCAATCATACGTACTGAAAATCGCAAAGAGGAGTTGTGATTGATCGATTGGATTTCTAAACGAATCGGCGAAACAAAAATTCTTGCATCACATAGAACCGCAAGGGACGCTACGTTGTCATAGCTATAGTCGTCCAGATAGACACGATCTTTGAGTGTCATTTCACCTAAGCCTCTCAATCTAACCAGTTCTACAACAACAACAAAATCTATTAGTTTCATCACTTTTTTTTTCCAATAAGTAACTCTTTGACCAAACCTAGCACTAAGTTTCTTTTATCGCCGTATTTATACTCTGAGCTTTTTTTAAAAATTAGATCCAAATCTATGTCTAGCCCAGTGTTCGGAATACATTGTCCTTTTTGGAGTACAATCATAGTCATGTTGGAATCCTCTCCATGAGCACCCTTCGTGTCCACATCGCAGAGCTGAGGATCATAGGAAAGGCGATCTTTTTCGGTAAAACTACTAACGTACATGCCGTATGTTTCTCTTGCAGTAAGATATAGACTTCCAATCGTAAAACTGTCGTACATAAACGGCTTCTTGGCTTTGATGGGTTGCAATAATTGAAATATATCTTTCTGTATAATAAATCCTGACGCGTCTTTTCCCTTCATTGCAATACTTTCATTGTAAGCTTCTTGTAGTAATCGCCGATAGATAGTATGCATAATGGGATTGCGCTCAAGATTGAATATGTCGCCCATTATAAATACAAAATTGACTTCATATTTGCCAAACAAATTGATATTCGTAAGTGAGGCAGCAATTTTCGTAGTCATTTTTTGGAGGACGGATTTGACTCCCATCTCTATAATGTTACGAGCTGTTACATGAATACTGCATCCACATTCTTCTCCTAGCATTATCTTTGTTTTATCGTCCATGCTTGAGATTTTAAAGTTAGAGGAGAGCTAAACAAAAAAAATATTAGGTCATTTTCATTAAAAGGATGCTTTTACACCTACAGTTTTAATTATATGCTGCTTCAATACCATTAAAACATTTGCGTAGTTTTTAGGCGAAAAAGTTTTATGTGATCCAGCCTTGTTATGTATAGAGCAGTATTCAATTTGATTACCGGATTCAATACACTTCCACACATGTCTGCTTAAAGCGTCGTTTACGTCTTCAATTTGAATTATCTCATCTTGAATAACAACCGCAGCTGCGCTTTCCTTGGGAGATGAAATCTTTACAACTTGATGCAAGGAAATCTGTATATAATCTGTACTTAGCTGAGCTAACACATAATGCGACTTTAGAGCGAGATTTAAACCAACTTGTTCTTGGATTGCAGGCAAAAGCCCTTCGCCCTGAGTAATGATGACAGCCTTTATGTTTTTTTCGTCTTCCCGAAGCATACCGCTTCCCACCAGGAGCTTTTGAAGAGTTTTTCTAGAGCCAATAATTTCATCGAGTACCCGCTTTTCAACGGATAAAGTGGTACCAACATTATGCTTCGTCCATCCGTTTCCAAAACATTGGGTCGCTTGTTCCGTCACAGTTTTGTCGAGATAAGCAAAGTACATCATCAAGAAAAGCTGTCTATACTTATTTTGCTGTAAAACAACGAACTTTTGTGGTTTCGATTGCTCTTTGGACTTCTTTGAAAAAAAATCGGCTAATTGGGGAAGACATGTCTTGATCCGTAAACAGATTACTTTTACAGACTTGTTACTGAAAAGATCAAGCTTGTCGTCTAGAAACTCTTTAAAGTTTTTGTCCATAAATAACTTCAACCTAAATCAAGTTTACATTTTAGTTTCTAGCACACCTAGTTTTTGTATATGGAAGTTTTACCTGTCCGTAATCCGGAGAAGTGCTTTTAGGTACATGTTAGGCTGGATAAAAAAAGAATTTATAGCATGCATATCGCTATTTTATTTTTTTAGCACTCTCTCTCCATTTATGCAACAGTATCGTGCTTACCACTCGCTATAATCACTGCATTTCTCAACACATTCGTTGGTGCCAGTAGCTGAGTACGCGTATTTAACAGAGTTTTCGGATACAGCTATTTGTATGGCAATTGCGTAACATGATCAGTCAGAGATAGTCAAATTATTTACCATTCATTGATGAGAGTTACCTATATTGATAATATAATTCGGTTTAGAATGATCAAACATAGAAATGGATGGTCCACTGAGACACCCTATTCTGTTTGCTGAAATAACGGATGGAGGTATATTCTTTGTGGACAGTTGGATTGTATCTTTAATCAAAATCCTGTTTCCTTTTAAAATAGTAGTCCAAAATAATTTAAAGCTGGGGTGTAAACCCTTTCCAAAAGTTGTTAGACATCGATTCTCAGATGTAGCAGCATTGAGAAATCTCTTCAGCCAGTTGAATACCATCCATGCAACATAGGAGCTGTATTTGAAATCAAAACGTTTGATCAAACGTTCATCGATATTTAGTAAGGTTATTATTCCTGTACGTGTTTTTGCACCGTGGGTTGCAACTAGCTCTTTGATCTGATTCAAAAACGTTGTTTCTAGCAGGTGAAATAAGTCTTGATGTATATCTTTCATAGTGATGGATTGGATACGGGTGTTTTCATCGGCATTCAGTTCACATTGTTTAGGATTGATATGCAGTTGTTTAAAAGGCTGGTATTCATGTATATCGTCACTCTCATATCCATTTCTGGACGAAGTAAGCTAATGGGTAGTTGTTTAAAAAAAACAAGTTAGTTATTTACTTTGATGGTCAAACAACAATTATAAAACCTCTTGTTTCTTATATTGCTTAGTCAATAGAGTGACTATTTTTCTGGTTTTTGGATCTTTCAAATTGAATCCTCGGGTTTCTAAGCATAATTCTAAACCACTTTGTATGTTAGTGTCGAGAGGGACAGTAAAGAGCGCAAAATTTAACGAGTTTGCGACAAAACTATCGTCGATTGCTTCAGTTGAAGGGTAATGCGCCGAAAATAAATCCAAGTTTACCGCGAGACTATCGTCATTAAATTTGAGTCCGTACATAATATACTGTTTTCCATTTTTGATTTCTGTGTTCATCCTCTCATTTTCTTTGTCAGCTTTGGACTGCATATACCGAAAATTCGTTTCGAGTTGGGTGAAAAACAATAATCTTTGCTTGTGATCGTTTTCGGTGAGTATTTTGTTTTGGATGAATACTGGACGAAGAAGCTCTTCTCTTATTTCATCGTCCCAGCTGGTGGGCAGGAACAACGCAAAATGCGGAAGCAGACAAGAAGATGTATTTGCTCCGCCCATCTTGTGTAACTGGTAATAGTTTACTTGCTTCTGTACAAAATAGCCTATAGCACCGATCACAATATCATCATGCATATCGTATTGGTAAAAGGAATTTTCCTTCCTCTTTAAATATATATCATAGAGTTTTGTAAAGACATTTTTCTGATAATAGATATCTTTGGATTCTTTTCTCAATTTAGCATCATCATCCTTGAACCAAAACTCACCAGTAGAAACATTATACAAAATTGAAGCTTCCAACGACCTGTTGGTTTTTTAAAAATTGAATCAACAAGGGATTCTGTGTGTGTGTGGTGGTTTTTTCATCGCTGTAAAGCGTTTGTCTTTGTGTGTGCACTTACTGCATAAAGTATCCTGTGCTTTCTTCCTTGTAGTCGCTATAAAAGCAATCGACATAAACTCGTTCCTGATCGAAACCTGTTTTTGGTAAGTATCGGTTGGGTTGGTTTTATTACTCGCGCTTACCAAATGTGATGCAATAACTATGCTGTGAGTAGTCATAGTAGTCTCCCATATTTTTTTTTTGGTTTCTTGTTGGAAAAAAGGCTGAATATGCTCAAGAAAAGAGAAAAAAAAACTTCTTTCCGTCTGACAGAACTGAGCCTTGGAACACGAAAATATATTTGTACTCTCACATGTGGAACCAGCATGTCGGGAAACTTTTGGTCGCTATTTCGAAACCTTTCATTTTAAAATTATAATTTGGGAAACACAAATGCGGTAAACATATTTGATAGCATTTACATGATGGTGATATCTTCAGCCATTCGGCTATTTCTTTGTTACCAATGATAGCGCATTTGAGTGATGGTGTTAGGAATGGCAGCAGATCAACATCTTTTCTTACTTCATTATGTACTTCTTCTGTTGACATAGTTTTATAAGCATCTTCACAGCCATCAAAGGTATCCGAAGTATTTAATACACTCCAAGCGAACTATTTGAGGTAGCTCCTCGGATAAACTAACTTAAAAATACTTTCTTTAATGTAGTAGCAACGTTGGTCTGCCATATTGAAATTAATTAATTGAATTACTGAATTATTTATTTATGTAAAAGGTATATAGAAACGAACAGTTGGTAACATATGGGTGGAAAATTAAATAAATGACATTAAGACCCCTTTTTCCAATGCAATAAATGGCCTCTTTCCTTTCTGACAAAATATGTGTAAGACATCGATGAGCAAAAGATAGCACCTAAAGAGACAGTAGCTGGGATAATGAAGTCCTTGGGGTCCGAAACAATTGCCGTCAAGATATATTGTGATAGATCGAAGACGTTGCACATACTATGCTGCCAACCCGAAATACTTCCAAGTTGTGCAGGGTCTACAAGTTGCTGTAGTAGGATTGTTTCCGTAATATCAAACATCCATAGCCCAACTCTACTGATGCACATTCCAGCAAAAAGCATAATGGATCCAAGAACTGATCCTCTATATGCATTGGTCAAGGAGATAACAACGGGAGTAAGACTCCCAGCTTCAAACCATACAGCCCACATGCCAGATCGGATAATACCAATCTTGCTAGACAAGAAAGGTAAAATCCAAGTAGAGGCCAGACCCGCAATACCCGCTACTGCTCGGAGCACGCCCAAGGACCAGTCCTGGTAACCAATTATTTTTAAATACGATATCATGATGCCACCAAATGACAGTACTGTCATATGTAGCATAGCCATGGCTAGACTCGCCGGGAATATTTGGTGATTGACATATTCCAAAAATGAAACACGACGTTCTTCTATAGGCATCAACGGAGTCCCCTCACCCAATTCGGTGTCTTTAGAGGCTAATTTGGGATGTGCTTTATATGTTTGAAGCACTAGCTGGTACTCAACAATTAAAGACAGAGTGTTCCATGTACCAATAATAATAACCCCCATTGAAGAGCCAAAAGACATTAATGTGCCCATCATAATGGGTGCCATGGTTTTACAAAAGAGATCGATTCGTTTCATTACTGTTAACATACCCTCTGTATCCCCTTCCGTGATGACCATCACCCAATCCTTTTCGATCGCAATGTTATTTGCTATAAAAGCCAGTTTTAAAAAACATCCACATACTACAACGCCAGAATATAAGAATATAACGTGTCGGTTGAACTCGAAAATGACATAAAAGAATATGCAGCTTAGTACGATGGACCCCTTTTGAACAAACATGGTCATTCTGACAAACGCTAAACGAGGTGTAACGTCAGCCAATCTACCCACAAAGTTGCTGAAAAGAATGGCGGCAATGGTGGTTGAGAAGCCATATATGGAGGCCAACAACAAGGAAGTTTTAAAGACTTCCGCAATGAGCAAAAAGCAAGAGAACTCGTATACCCTATCTGTCCAACACGTTAAAAAATGAGATGTATACAATTTACCCTTCATTTCAGGGACCGGAAGAAAAATAAAATAAAAAAGGAAGTTGTCAGTTAAATCGCGGGACCTTTCTTTCATTGAATCGTTTTGCACTTTCCACACATCGTTACACTTCCAGGTGCCCCGGGCTCACTTTCTTGGAAATGAAAAATAGAATTACTCCCATCGCACACAATAAAGTGGACGTTATTGACTTGGAAAACCTTATTTGCATCAGCGATTCGGAGGATGAGGTAGATCCAAAACCAACTGTACAGCATCCGCAATCAAGTAATGTCATTACTATCACTGACGACGACGACGATGTCTTTTCAAGTAAAAGTCTGTATGAATCACCATATAAAAACAACAGACATATACCAGCATTGAGAGCAGGAAAAGTTTCTAAACCCCTTCCAGACGATCCAGGGTCGCAAAGTGACATGACTAAATCCATTATCAAAGAAACTCAATCAGGAGTCTCTTTCACTTCCAACACTCCAAAACCAAACTTCGAAAAGACTTTAAATACCAAAATTTCTTTACCTAGAAAAAGAGTTATTGATGGAAAACCCGAAACCACAGTTTCTACAAAGGAGCCTCATAGACCAGTCGCTTCTCAGAATTCTTCGATCCATATACCTAAAAAATGGTTTGATCCTTCTTTACAGGAGGCCAGAGCAGAGCAAAGAGCTTCTAACGCTCTTCTTTCAAAGGCCATCGCTGCTTCACAGGAGCGAAAGTTGTCCCTTCCTCGCTCTGCTCTATTAAAAAACTCTACTTTAGCAAAACGTTCGTCTACGATTATAAAAGCAACATCCCCCTTAAAAACCGCATCACTGAAGAGGCCTATGGAATCACCTGAACGGCCGAATTTGATGCGATCTACGTCCTTTGATAAGCCTTCTCCTTTGGTATTCAATTCGACAGTGCGTGGATCTCCAGAAAGGCAGATGCGCCGTGACTCGTTCGAATGGCCAACTCAAACAGAACTTAGTGCTGCAATGCTTGGGTCTCCAGATAGAACAACCCGAGAGGAATCATCAGAGCCTGAACGCACATTTCAACGTGCATCTAAGCGAAAAAATAGTGATGTTTATGGCTCACCCGGTAGAGGATCTCCAATTCAACAAACATCAATGCAGGCAAGGGGTACTGCTTACAGCTCACCGGACAGAGAGACGCCAATCCAACGTGCATCACGACAAACGAATACCACAATTTGCGGATCGCCAGAACGGCCCACCTATCTCTTATCTAGCCCTACAGTTGAATACCCTTCCAATCTTCGTAAACCGAAAACATCCTCTTCGCCTTTCAGTAAGCCAACATTCCAGAAACCAAAAGTCGTACACGAACTTTATGATGAAGATGGAAAAGAAGAAGATTTAGAGCTATTTGTGTCTATCATGTCTTCTTCGCGGCGAAAGTTACATCCAAATGTAAACATAGGATCATTATATGTTTGGTTTTTTTTTCCCTAATTTCTTTTTCTTTTAAAAACACTAGAATGCACCAAAAATCATTAAAATGCAATGCCCATTATGCTATATACATTATCCAAAAAACGAACTGAACGATCATGCGGCGGACTGCGAGGGGGATCCAGAAGCGACAGGAAATGAACGAATTATTCGAAAAAATACAATTGGTGCTGCGGTGCTCAGAAACGAAGCTGAAAGAAAGAGGTAAGACATTAAATCATTTGAATGCTATCATTACCCTTTCATATACATATATATGTATATATGTATATTCATTGCTTTATATGCAGGCTAAATAAGGGAAAAGTTGATAATGGACCTACGAATTACTACGCTGATCCGGAAAGTGTTTTGGCTTTGGATGGTTCAGGATTTAACGCAGAAGCTTCTGGCATCAGTTGGGAATCCGCAGGCCAAACACGGTTTGGTTAAGTTTAAATAGCTTTTTTTATTATTATTATTAATAATGTAAATATGTAATTATTCTTCTATTGTGCTTAATCTTTTGATTCTACTGATATTCATTTGTAAGGCATCAATTAAGCTTGACAATTTGTATAATTTCTCTTGATCATAATAAAATGAATCTAAATTGCCAAGAATGCTATTTCCTACGACAGAATAAAAATCGTAATCATCATGGGAGCTATTCATGGTGTGCTCATTGTTGGAGTGATAAAAAAGTTTAATGGCTGTCGGAAAAGTTCTGTCGCAAAAAGAACATGGATGTCGTATAGGAGGAGGAATGACAATGGCCGAATCCTTTTTATAGTAAGCACTTATGCATTGACAGCCAAACGCTGGTAATTTATTGCGGTAATCTTCTTCAGTCGTTGAAAAGTCCAGCTTTCCGTATCGACGGTATGCCTTAATGCAAGCCCCACAGTTTATTTTCTGCATTTATTTAAAAAGAGGAAGAAAAGGGGAGGGTCGAAATTCAAGATGGGGTATAAATATACACACTTGACAATGAAATTGCAAGTCAACTTTATTGTGATAAAGAAAGACGGTTACTAAGAATGATTTTATTTTATAAACCCTATTTTTAGAAGTGATTTTTTTTTTTTTATGAAAACATGTCATTTACTGGAGTATAAAGACTTTCTGTTTCTGTTCTTTTTTGTACAATTTCTTCTTCCAATGGCTCACCATCCAAATCTACCGGCTCACCGTCGATATCATCTAAAGGCTCCCCGTCTATATCGTCGAGAGGCTCACCATCAACATCATCCAGAGGCTCACCATCGACATCATCCAGAGGTTCGCCATCAACATCCATTTCTTCATTATTATCTAAAGGCTCTCCATCATCCATATCCAGTAGTTCACCGTCCATTGACTCCTTTGTAGGTGATTGTTTGCCATTTTCCTTCTTTAGAAATATCTCTGATAATTGGTCGGTATAGTATTTTGGAAAGATCATCCAATTCTCCCAGACACTAATCACCGCACTGATATGTCTCTAATTGTAAAAAGAAAATAAAAATTGTGTTATTGTTTCTTCATCCACCTTCCATAAAAATGTATGTCGAAAAGTTGGCTTACTCGCACTTGTTCGGCTTTTAAACGAGCGTTGACCGATCTGTAAATTGTATTAAAATGATCAAATACCACAGGAAGATGTGATTCGAATCTAACATATACATATAAAATTAGCCACCTTTTTCTATGGATTAATATGTGTTTCTCTTTACTCTTTTCTGTACTTCCAGGCATTGGATACATGTACACTGCTGTTATGTAAAATATCTGAAATAAGGTAGAGCCTTGCTAGTTTGGCAGATAGTGGTGAATCTGGAAGCACAACAGATTTGCAAATCATATCCACAACCTTACCCGTGTTAATATTGATGAGCCGTCATATTTATAAATACAAAAATTACCTCTGCTGCAGCATCTGAATGATCAATTGAAAAGGCCATTGCGCGAGCAATAGTTCCTCGTTGAAATTTAATTTCACGTAACAATACAGAGAGTCGTTGTTTTGCAATCTGACCCAGCGTCCCTTTGACAAGGCCATCTTGCTCTCCTAACTCATCATCCGTATCGAATAAAGGATCCACACTATCCTATTCTAATATTTAAAACAGTTGTTATAACGTGCATTGCATATTCCGCTTACTTGGATTAAGGGTAGTGCTGGTGGTATCCACCAAGGTCCGTTTTCAAACATTTGAAAGGGCTCATCGAACCAATGTGTCTTTGAATCTCCTTGTGATAACGAATACAGCTTCCATCGGTAATAAATATGCTCCGGTGACTTGAAACATTGTTAGAAAGCGATATGTGAACAATTGTGATTTTAGGGACACTCTTACTGTATTATCGAACAGGAATTTGAATTGTGGATTTTTGTTCTCTCTGTCCATGAGGGCTGCTTCAAACAGTGGGCCAAATTTTAATACTCGTTCGATGGTTCGGTGAATAATTCGCATCAGCTTGATATCGACAGGTTTAGTCACGCGAACTTCTGCTCTTGGTCTTGAGTTCTAAGTAATTCAAATTACTACAACTAAAAAAGGGTCGCTTGTATACTTTAACTTACTACACCAGGTAAACCGGGATTAATCTGTGCATTGAAGGCAAGTCCAGTCTTTTGGGCTGATATTTTCTTATCCAGTACTTTTTGTAAAACAGTCAATACTCTGTGAGTGTATACGAGAATATACTTTTGCTTTAGCTTACCAAAGATAGGTTGTGCAGGCAACGGTACAGGTTTACCCCATCCGACACGAAGAGGAAACCCTTCAAGCTCCCTTCCATCCAAATGCTTGATAGCCTCATTTGCATCGTATCTTGTCATAAAACTCACGAACCCGCAATTATTTCCTTTATCCTTTTCCTCTTGTGTGCGAGGCCACATGATTTTGACAGATGCGATGGCTCCATATTTCGCAAATTCGTGACACAACCCAGTTTCAGTGACGGTGGGATTAATATTTCCCACATACAGATTGGTTGAATTTGGGTTATTACTATCGTCATTTAGTGCATCGTCTGCCACTGTGAATAAGTATTAGATACATAAATACTGAATATGATTAGCTGCTTTTACCTTGGGTAGATGGCACCCCTTCTTCTACTTTCGAGCGTATCTCCTGTCCTCTACAAGATTTATTTTTGGTCAGCCTTTGTGATATCTCGATTATAAAAAAATAAACTCTACTTTTTGATCTCTTCCAGAAATGAATCCAAGTTTCTCTTTTTCTGCATTTTTATTTCTCTCAGCTTCGCTAATGACTAGAAAAAATGGTATTAATGAAATAGGTCCGTGCTCGATTGTGATGAAAAATTACATCTTCTTCGTCGTCGGAATCGGCCAAGTTTTTGACAGTTATTGGCGCAGAAGCTGGTTCTCCCGCTCTGACAAACGGCATGGGTTTAAAGGTTGATTTTTTAAAGGTATTATCACTGACAAGATCTATGAAATAATTTTTTCTTTTGTTCAGTCAATGGATTGGCGAAGCGAAAAACAACATTACCTCGAGATTGTGGTGATACTGATTCGCCTGCTTTAATAAACGACATTGGTTTTAGCTTCTTTGATGTAGAAGGTGTATTATCCTTCACATATTCTAAAAATGTTTTTCTGTCTATTAATATTAATATTTTGGCTGATGTGCTATCTGTTTACCCTTAGGCTGTGTTGGTGTTACAGATTCTCCTGCTCTAACAAAAGGCATTGGCTTGAAAGTCGACTTTGACGCTGTAGGGCTATCATAACTGTCGATAGTAGGATCTACAATATGTTTTGTTTAAAAGAGGTAATACAACTGAACAAGAGAAAGAAAAAAGTTACCTCTTGGTTGTAAGGTACCTGATTTAACAAACGATGTCATTCCTAGCTTGTAAGGAATAGGCTCTTCAAACGAAGCTACGAAATCGGCATACACTTTAGCTGCTTCCAAAGATTCTTGCTATAAGAAAAAATATTAAATGGGCACATTTCCTCATCGATTTGTAATTTTTACCTGCTTCTTCAAGTCGGTTTCTTCTTTGTGTTTTTGATAAGCAGTTTTCTTTTTGCTACCTACTGTGAATGCTTGCAATTTTGAAGCAGAAATAGGCTTTTGTGAACAAGAGCCGTGTTAAAAATTGGAGTTAAAGGGCTTGGGTAATAAGGTTTACTTTAACAGGAATACGTTCTTCCTCCTCTTCCGAGTCGGAATGGTCGTCTCTCTTTCTCTTTTCACTCATGTTTACAAAAAGTAAAGAAAAAGGGAATTGTTTAATTTTCATTTTAATTTTAAATACGTGACCAGCTTTTTACATGCGGTTTAAAGGATCAATGCCAACTAATTTCAATCCATTCGCCAAGGTAGTTTTAGCAGCCCAAAAGAGCAATAGTCTAGCTTCCGCCGTGTCTTTATCCGCTCCCTTGACGCGTAATGTAGAATTAGCTTGTCCAGTAACATGCGCCAGTCTAAACAGATATTGAACAAGTACACAAGGATCCATTGATTGACATGATGATTGGACAATATCAGGAAATTGCGATATGGTCAATGCTAACTCAAATGCTTCTTTTTCGTGTAATAAAGATGTATCTGCCTTCATATTAATCGGTATATTTGCATTACGTTCAATCCTATATAAATTCCTGGATTAATTTTTTCCTGATAAAAATATCAATAATCCGGTATTAAAACTTTACCCGCACATACGTGCATGAGTGTACTGAAGAAAGACGCCTGTGTATCCTTTAGCAGCCGTCATTCGATCCCAAGAGAATTCGTAATTTTTAACACGTTTTGCCACCATATCTTGAATTATCACAGCTGATGAACCCAAATTCTCTGCTACGGGATCTAATCTATCTTCCTGTAACAAATCATTCAATTTTAATTGATTTCCTGCCTGAATACTTTCCAACATGTGTTCTTTAGCAGTGTCTAAAATATCTTGCAAAAACACGACAGTTCCCTTTCTAGTGGACATACCCAAAACACGACCAAAGTTAGCATGGTACAGCTCTGTGGGCCATTTCTTGTCATGTTGTGATATCAACTCACTAATCTTAAACAGTTGTTTCAGATAGAGTTCTTGTTCTGTTCCCACCACATAGATAGCCTTTTTAAACTGACCAAACATATCCCTGCGCAATGCTAAACTTGCTAAATCACGCGTCATGTATAGGCTAGTACCATCGGCACGTTTTATAATGGCTTTTCCAAGCTTGTATTCTTCCAAATCTATAGTCCATGCACCATCTTCAGAAACCTTAATTAATTCGTACTTTTCCAACATGCTGTAAATTTGTGCAATATAAGGCTCTGTTTGTGATTCACCCGAATAGACGTCAAAATTGATGTTAAGTCGTTTATAAATATGTTTGTAGGAGTCAATGCTTAATTCGCGAAATCTTTTCCATTGACTAAGCGCTTCCTTATCGCCTTGTTCCATTAATTTAAAATAAGCATTTGCTTGCGCATCAATCTCAGGATCTTCTTTAGCGAGCTTATTGATCTTTACATAGACTTCATAGAGATGATGTATAGGGTCTTTCAGTAATGAATTTTCGTCTCCAAATAATTTAAAACCGATTGCTAATAATCCGTACTGCTTTCCCCAATCTCCTAAATAGTTGATGCCGATTGTCTTGTATCCGCATGCATCATGGATGCGCTTTATAAAGTTTCCCAAAATGGTGCTTCTTAGATGACCTGCATGAAATGGTTTGGCAATATTAGGTGAACTATAATCTATCAATACTGTCTCTTCTTTTTCGCGAGTAGATGTTCCGTAAAGGCCTTTTTCGTTCGATACTTGATCCAATGTTGTTTGTATGTAGGTGGTAGGATGTACATCAAAATGTAAGAAGTTTCCTACCGGCGTAACTTTTGTGATATATTGGTTTGGTTCAAACTGTTATTCGTATGCATGATTGTGATTAGCGTGTGAAATTTTTTTTCGAAAAGTGACATGTCATAGCTATTTATTTGTTTATCCTTTTTACCTTGCCAGCAAGCTCTTTACAGTAGTTCACAGCATTAGGTTCGTGAGCTGTTAATCGCGGAATGGGTATACCGAACTGATGTTTTAAGGCGACTTTGGGTGTACTTAATATCCCAAGAATCTTTTGCTCACTTGTGTTGGATATTTTCGACAAGGGTTTAGCAATGGCTTGTCTAACTAATTGTGTAGTTGCCATTTATAAATCGATTTTGTTTTCAAAAAAAAAGGGCAAGGGGCACAAGGATTTGTCCCCGCACACTCATACATACATCAATGAAGGTGATATCTGATTGGTTGGTGAGCCCAACTGGATTTTATTTTTGACACATTCACTTTTGGCGTCAGATTCACTGTAAGAGAGACAGAAAAAAAAGGGGGAGTGGGGGAAGAGGCCTGTTTTGTGCAACAATTCTTCTAATTGGTTTATACACTACTGCTTGATTGTTTTGAATGACAAGATGATGGTAATATAAACAAAAAAAAACATCTTGTATGGCTTTATTTATAATCTCTTATCTTTCCTTTTTTTTCTCTTTTTTTTTCTTTTTTCCCACTTTATATATTATTTATTTACTAATAATGAATTACACTCATATAATTAGTGAATATGATACAGATACTGCATCGTCGTCAACAAATACAAGCAGTTATTTTGACGTAAAGAGATATTCATCTGATAGCAGCAGCTCAATTAACACGGAAGATAGGATTAAAATTGGTTATGGATCAATTGCTGATGAGGTCGACACATCCAGCGTCAAACAAAATCACTGCTCAACGATGGGAGCGTCTGTTAATCTAGTGAATGCAATGATGGGAACTGGCATTATTGGTTTGCCTCTCGCTTTACATCTATGTGGCTTTTGGCTGGGTTTATTTTTTTCTGTCACGATAGCCTATATATCTTGCATGACGATGCATATTACCATTCTATGTGGATTAAAGACTCAAACATGTAGTCTTGTATCGCTCTGTCAAACATTGATTGGTCGTACAGGGTCTCAAATAGTAAATTTTATTATTTTCTTTCACACAGCTGGAACCGCTGTGTCCTACTACATCCGTAAAGTATCACCCAGCCCTCCTTTTTTTTTTTTTAAAAAAAAACAAAAAAATTAACTGACCAGGTAATCATCAACAGTACTTGGAGACACATTGCCAAGCCTATTAGCACTTGTATTTCCAAATACACCCTTTTTTACAAGTAGAAGCAAGGTAATCTTAGCTTTCGGATTATTATGTGTAGGTAAAAATAATTTTTTTTTTAAAAAAAAAAAAAAATCATAATAACACTTATTTTTGAGCTATAAATATTGATGTTTGTATATTCTAGACTCTTCCTCTTAGTTTGTCTCGGTCTACAGCTCAATTTGCAAAATGGTCTGCGATGTCTGTATTTCTACTCATGCTCATGTTAATTGGTGTGTTGGTCCGGGTGCCATATTATTTATCCATTGTTGATAAAATTGAACTCGAACTTGTGCCTGTCTCTGAGGGTATGTTTAAAGGACTTGCAATTATGAGTCTTGCTTTTGGTTGTTCACAAAATTTATTTGGTGTGTATTCGAGTACAAGAGATCAAAGACCTTCCAGGTGGTTACTTACTTGTTCAATTGCCATTGGTATCGCGTTTGTCATTAATATTGTCTTTGCTGTCATGGCGTATTTATGCTTTGGTAAACATGTGCATGCAAATATTCTTTTGAATTTCCCTGAAAATGATCCAGGTATTCAGTTGGTTAAATTGGCATTAGGATTGTTTATGGTGTTGACTATACCGTAAGCGCTAATTCATGTCTTTTTATTCTATTTTCTTCTTTCTAACCATATTATAATCAGACTGTGTATCCACCCTTGTCGCGAATCAGTCATGATGATGTTTGGTATCAATATAAATAACCCAACAAACAAGCAGCATTATACAGTAACTATTGGTGTGTTTGCCCTGATACTTTCGATTGGGGCAACATTAACTTCACTTGGTAAAGTGTTTGATGTTATTGGTGGATTCTCAACTACTATTTTGGGTAACTTTGTTTTGTTGTTTTATGTAACATTTTTAATGATATTATAATTTAGGCTTTCTGTTGCCTGGTTGTGCATACTTGTACCTGTTTTCATCCGATCTGATGTTTACAAAAGGAGAGGGGTCTTGGAAACTATTAGTTATATCCGTCATATCTATTCTGATTGCACTTCCTGTCATGTATTTCTCTGTCAAGGATGCATTTTTCGTATAGTTTTGTTAGTGAATTATGCATGGTCATGTACTCGTAAAAAGTCACATATGAAAATAAAATAAAACTGGCGGCAGAGAAAAATGACGTACAAAAAGCCTGTTCAAGTCTTTTCTTTGTTTTTTTATTTTGGTTTTTTGCCACACCTTTCGTTTTCCCCTTTTTTTCTCATATATAAAGAAAAGAAAAAAAAAAGAGAGAGAGAGAGAAAGCATCTTTTGCCGGTTTTCTTTTACATTTTACATGTCAATAACAGATTCGTTTTTACCGATGAATCATCCATACTACGATCAAAATTTCATGTTATCGCCCAGTACCAGTTATCCGATAGCCAACAATTATAGTAGTATACTTCAAAAAATGGTACCAGAAGAGATTTCTACACTGTTTGTGGTTGGATTTCCTGAAAATATGCAAGAGCGTGAATTTCAGAATATGTTTATGTTTTCTCCTGGATTTGAAGCAGCTACCTTAAAAGTTCCTAGCGTCATGATGGGCGTGATCGAGGAAGACAGCCGGAAACAGATAGTAGGTTTTTTATATGCATCATCCTTTTTATTTGTTTATGCTGACCATTTTACAGATTGGATTCGTAAGGTTTCGTACCCGCTTAGATGCTTTGGATGCTAAAGCGATACTAAACGGTAAAAGGATTGATCATGAAAAAGGCAGTGTACTCAAAGCAGAACTTGCTAAAAAAAATCTCCACACGAAAAAAGAATTACAACAACAAACAATTAAAACTCCATACGAAGCATTTTATTCAGTACACAGCAATGGTAATAGTGGTGAAAATTCACCTTGTTCACCACCTCATCATCATATTATACCTACTTGCACTAGATCATCATCATTTCCCCATAATAGTCGGTATTCATCCAAAAGTTTGATTGACCAATTCGGCATAATGGGTAATAAAAAAGCCTCAACTATTTATCCAACCACCACCCTATCATCTTCTTCATTGGCCTCTTCATCCTCTTCTTTTGTTGAACATCCTTTTTTACTGTCTAAACTTTACAAAACAACATCCCCACCGTCACACAACGATAACCAATTAACTCTGTCTTCCACTTCGACTCCTACCTTGGACAATCCAACAGAATATTACCGCATTGATCAGAACCCACCTTGTAATACATTGTACGTTGGTAATTTACCAATGAATACAAGCCAAGACGAGCTGAGATCCATGTTCAGTTCGTGTCCTGGGTTTAAGAGACTTTCCTATAAAGTAAAGTCTAACGGTCCCATGTGCTTTGTTGAATTCGAGGATGTTCCATATGCAACTTTAGCGTTGCAAGAAATGCACGGCAATCTATTATCTAATTCTATCAATGGTGGTATTCGACTATCTTACAGTAAAAATCCCTTGGTAAGGTTTACACCTATCACACGATAACACGTTTTGATTTCTATTTTTTATTATCCCGTTCAACTTATTAAAATTTCTAATCTCATCTGTGAATTTCTAGGGTATACGCCAAGGAACTATAGCAACACCACAATACTAAAAAATTTATTTATTTTTTTACCATTATCATTTACTCATCATCAACAAGTTCTTAATACATAAACATGACACAAATCTACACATAGTTTTTTATTTCTTCTATTATTTCGATGCTTCTTACAGCTCTATTGGTTAAATTCCTCCTAATTACTATTGTGTCGGAGGGTTGGTGTTACACTTTGTTTAACCAGATGCTCTATTGGCTTCCGGTGATTTTGCTGCATGTTACACATACAATTTGAAAGGGTTCAAAAAAGCTTTTTTTATTTATTTACTTTTACCTTTTCTTCTTTAACCCTACCCACTTTTATAAACATTTTTTCTTGAGGCGCGACTTCTCTACGAACGCACCTCTTTTCAAAACGGTAAGTTCGGCTTATATGTAGTTCGATTGGGAAAAAAAATACTCATCTGTCATTGTTAGTTTGCAAATCTCCTTTCTTCCACCCATAACCCACACAAAGGCTATCAGCGGTGCAGTGATCGTCCCAAAAAAAGTACTTAATACTATGTCTCCCCCCAACGCCGATATCTTTGCCACTACCACTACTGGTAGTACCCTTCCTTCTCCCTTGTTCAAGGTCAACTCTCCCAATGTCCAGTACACTGATGAGCATATTTTGAGCAAGTACTCTTACTACAATACTTTAGTTACTAAAGAATCTGACGGTTCTTTGGTTGCTACTCCTACCGAAACCACTTATGAATTCAAGACTGAACGCGCTGTTCCTCGTGTTGGGTAAGTTTGCATTTTATCAATTGTCGGTGTGAGTATATTTAACTGATAAATTCCAATGATGATAGTGTCATGATGGTCGGATGGGGTGGTAACAATGGTTCCACTTTGACTGCCTCTATTCTTGCTCACAAGAATAAGCTCACTTGGCGTTCAAAGGCTGGTGTCCATAAGCCTAATTATTTCGGTTCTGTCACCCAATCATCTACTGTTCGTTTAGGTACCGATTCTGAAGGTGCTGATGTTCATGTCCCTTTGAATCAAATGTTGCCTATGGTTAACCCCACTGATATGGTTATTGGTGGTTGGGATATCTCTGGTAAGAACTTAGCCGAATCCATGGAACGTGCCAAGGTTCTCGAATACGATCTCCAACGTCAAGTTAGCGAAGAAATGTCCAAGATGACCCCTCTTCCCTCTATTTACTACCCCGATTTCATTGCTGCCAATCAAGAAGACCGCGCCGATAACCTTATTCCCGGTGATAACAAGCGCGCCCATGTTGAACAAATCCGTAAAGATATTCGTGATTTCAAGGCTGCTAATGGTCTCGATAAGGTTATGGTAATGTGGACTGCCAACACTGAACGTTTCGCTGAATTAATTGATGGTGTGAACGATACTGCTGATAACTTTTTGGCTGCTGTTGAGGCTTCTCATGAGGAGGTTGCTCCATCTTCTATTTTTGCTCTCGCCTGTATTGAAGAAGGTGCTCCTTTCATCAACGGTTCTCCTCAAAACACTTTTGTCCCTGGTTTGATCCAATTAGCTGAGCGCCATAAGGCCTTTATTGGTGGTGATGATTTCAAGTCTGGTCAAACTAAGATGAAGTCTGCCCTCGTTGATTTCCTTGTCAATGCCGGTATTAAGCCTATTGCAATCACCTCTTATAACCATTTGGGTAACAATGATGGTAAGAATTTATCTTCTCAGCGTCAATTCAGATCCAAGGAGATCTCCAAGTCTACTGTTGTTGATGATATGGTTGCTTCCAACCATTTGCTTTACGGTAAGGATGAGCATCCCGATCACACTGTTGTTATCAAGTATGTTCCCTCCGTTGGTGATTCTAAGCGTGCTCTTGATGAATATGAGTGTGAAATCTTCATGGGTGGCCGTCAATCTATTTCCATGTATAACATTTGTGAGGATTCTCTTTTGGCCTCTCCTTTGATTATTGATTTGGTAATCATGACCGAATTAATGACTCGTCTTCAATACAAGACTACTGAGATGACCAAGTTCAGCACTTTCCACAGTGTCCTTTCCATCTTGTCTTACATGCTTAAGGCCCCCATGGTCTCTCCCGGTACTCCCGTTGTCAACGCTTTGTCCAGACAACGTACTGCTATTGAAAACATCTTCAGAGCTGCTGTCGGTTTGACTGCCAACAATGAAATGGGTTTGGAACACAAGATCTGGTAAAAAAAAAATACAACGGTCTTTTAAATAAAATTTCAACACGGAAAATGTGTTTATTTTTGTCATTCTAGAATTTCTCTTTTGATGTTACATTTTTTTAAATTGATAATACGGGAACTGGCCTCCCCAAAGTCTTTTTTTTTTTTTTTTTTTTTTTTTTTTTTTCAATTAACCCAAAGTCCGACGTTTGCAAATGAAGCAGTTTTTTATTTTTGTCGTGCTGTGCTCTTTGTCATTGGCATAATGGTATAGACACAGCGCCAAGTTGGTTCGATATGTAAAACCAAACGTAGCAACAGTCAAAAGGGTATGCTTTACCTGTTTATTAGAAAAACGGCCTTTATCCTTAGGTTGTGAGGACTGTACTTGAGCGTCGTTTACTGTACCTGTAAGAGGTGACATACCAAAACCAACTAAATTATTGGCCACTGTAAAATTACCTAATGTAAATTGGTGTAAGGACTTTAATTCTTTATCAGTGCTTTAATTGCCCTATATAATGGCTATATGTTTGATCCAAGTGTCTTTAATTGTTTTCCATGTTAAGAGTTTCTCACAGCATATTATCGCCGTCATAGATATTATTAAATGATGTTGTAGCTAGAGAGGTTTATGTCATTGCCTTAAACATGTTTTTTATATTATCACTGGCAACCACTGCTATTTCGGCCTGTTCCTCTACCCATTTTTTTGGCTTCTCTTTTCGGTTTCTCGCTTTTTATCTTATTGATTACTTATGTCTTGTCCGCTCTGCTACAGTTATTCATTTTTCTTTGCATGACTTGTATATAACTGTCAGATCCTTTTTGAGTAAAATTCAGACAAAAAAGGCCTCGGTTTTCGGATGAATACAAAATTTTTCCTTACTTGCCATTACAGTTAGCACTTCAAATGCAGATAGCTAGACTTTCTTCGGATCAAAAGTACAGACCGTATGTCAAGGTATAACTCTTTTTGCGCGTAAAAAACATTAATTCTTCGCCAAACCGAAGACATCTACGTTTTATGTGGCGCATCGACTAAAGATAGACAGCCGTTCACCATTTGGCCCATATGCGTGCTTATAAACATCATATTGTTCGAAGCCGGAATAACTTACAACTGCTGTCATTTAATATATATTAAAGCAATTGTTGTCCCTAATTCAGTGATTTCGAAGGGTCATTTCTTTGCACGTAGGTCAGACCTATTGTTGATAATAGTTATTAGATGTATAACAAGAACTTACTTGTATTGAGGTAGCTTACGGTTGAGGTCAGGGATTCGCTTATATCAATGACTGATACCTCCTTAAGAAATTCTCTTCTCTTCAAGTTCTTATAGATGTCAATCTAAAAAACTCTCAAGAATAAATGTTTACTCATTTGAGATGTATTTGGGGCTTTAGAAAAGTTACCAATACGTACCATGTCATGCCTATTTCTTCTTAAATGCATGCAAATTCAATGATGCCAAAACAATACTTTACGTCGATTTCATCCAAACATTGGCAGTTTAAGTGACAATTGACAATTGACATCAATATATTAATTGCTACAATCTTTGAACTGATCAAATATACCCTTTTTTTTCTGCAGAAAACTTATTTTTGAAGACGTTACATCCCAAGGAACACAAAGTTATGAAGAATGGTTATGTAAATCTAAAGGTAAATAGTTCAGTAGATCACTGAAAATCATCTGTAAATTGCTATCCTCTAAAAAGCCATTGGAAGCTAAACCAAAAAGTAAGAATATGGTTACAAACTTAAAACATATCAAAAGCTTTTGACTTACAATACGAGTTGTTATTAATGGTGCATAAAGCTATATCATTCACCGTATTGTATCGTTCTTTTGGCCCAGCTAGCTGTTCCAATGCATGCATGTAAGTCAATCAAACCTCAGGGGTACGTGTACATGATCGAATAACTTAGATTAGTTTTTCTCATCTTCAGTCCAATTATATAAATAGTAAGATTTCAAATCAATATGTAAACCTAAAATTACTTTCTGCAAATGTTCAATCAATCTCCTATCATTGGTCTTGTCTCATTATTTTTTCTTGTCTTGATTACGTTATCTACACAGGTTGAAGCAAAATATGGCTGCTGTCTTGAAACTACGTCCAGTGGATTTGGCCATTTTTGTGATAGCAGTAAAACTGAAAACGCATGCAAAAATAGTGGATTTCAGTACTATAAAGGATTTGTGAGAATTGGAAATGGATGCGATCTTGGTGACCTAGAGACTACGAATGTAGAGGCAAGAAGAAAACTTTTTAATTTTGAGTCCCGATGTGGTGGAAGGTATACTTACAAGGTCTATTGATATATCTGGAAAGTCTGTGGGGATTTACGTAATTCATATACATTATTTCAATATTATTGATGCCTACCAAAGGCAAAGTATATAATAAAATTGTTTTTTTTTCTTATTTGAGTTAAGGGTACGGAAGGTGAATTGAATTTTAAAATTAAGCGGTAAACATAATTTTGATTTTAAGGTTACTTCACCATTACAGTGCACGACCGAAAAAATTTAAGTTTTAGTTGAAAGTAATTTAGTATGAACTTGCTCATCAAACAGCATAAAAATAAGTCAGCCTAATATTTTTTTTTTCAACATCTACGCCCATGAATATTGCCTAAATAATGCATAGCATCTGCAAAATGCATTTATAAAGACGCACTGAATACATAAAGGATTAACAAACATCCATAGATTAAAAAATAGTGCTATGCTAAATGATTCTTTGAACCCTTGTCAACATCAGTAGCAAGTAACATTTTTGTAACAAGATGTAAAAAAAAATATAAGTTGCTATGTTGTTCCAATCTCGCACAAACAAAGTCTTCTAGCTAAATACCTGTATTTGAGCTAATCATATCTCCTTTTTTTATTTTTTAAATATTTCATTTTGTATATACCTAGTCTTCAAAAACTCCCTCAGCATGATCCTATTTGCAGATGTTAGGCTAATGCAATGATTATGACGTAGCTCGTAAATCCCAGTTCTCTTTTTAAAGAAGCTATACACGTACTACATTATCTCAAACTGTAAATACCTTTCCAGTATTTCGAAGCGATTCAAAACGTCTTCCATCTACTTCGGCTGATTCAGCATTTTTAAAGCTGCCATGGATTCTTTATGTTTGTACGAGTAACTACTATAAGACAATCTAACATATACTCAAGGCAGAATGTTGACTCATTTGGGATTTTAGAAAACGCAGCAATATGTACCAAGTCATGCAAATCTCTTCTTAATTCATGTAAAATATCAATTGATTTTGGAATAATACCGCTAGCACCAAATCAATACTTTATGTGTATATCACCTAAAAATGGACAATCTATGTGACATTTGACATTTATTTTTTAATGGCTACAATCCTTGAACTGGTGGATGCCTCTTTGTTTCGAAGAAAATTCATTTGTGAAGAGATGACTCATATATTTCTACTTTATTAATAGTATCCATGTAAATCCGAGGTAAGTATTCAGTAGATCACTGAAAATCTTCTGCAAACTGCTATTCTAAAAAATCCATCGGAAACTAAAACCTATCAGCAAAAATATGGCTAAAACCTTAAAAAAAAATTACAAGCGTTTGACTTATAAACAGAGTTTTTATTAAGCAATATCGTTCACTGTATTTTATCGTTCTTTTGGCCCAGCTAGCTGTTCAAATGCATGCATGTACATCAATCAGACCTCAAGGGTACGTGTACATGATCGAATAACTTAGATTAGCTTTTCTCATTTTCAGTCCAATCATATAAATAGCGAGTTTTTAAATGAATATGTAAACTTAAAATTATTTTCTGCAAATGTTCAATCAATTTCCTGTAATTGGTCTTGTCTCATTATTTTTTCTTGTCTTGTTTACCTTATCTACACCAGTTGAAGCAAAATATGGCTGCTGTCTTATGACTACGCAATATGGATTTCTCACTTATTGTGATAACAGCAATACTAGAAAGGCATGCAAAAAAAGCGCATTGCCGTACTACGAAGGATTTTTTAGAATTGGAAATGGATGCGACCTGGGTGACCTACAGACTAATAGTATAGAGGCAAGAAGAAGTATTTTTAAGTTTGAGGAAGAATGTGGCGGAAGAGGAACATACAAGGTCTATTAATATATCTGAAAAGTCTGTGGGGATTAATGTAATTCATTACGTTATTTCAATATTATTAATGCCTACCAAAGGCAAAGTATTTAATAAATTTTTTTTTCTTATTTGAGTTAAGGGTAGGGAAGGTAAAATTAAGCGGTAAAAATAATTTTGGTTTTAAGGTTACTTCACCGTTACAGTGCACAGACGAAAAAATTGAACTTTGAATCGGACGTTATCCAGTAATAACTTGCTCATCAAACGGCATAAAAATAAGTCGGCCTAATATTTTTTTTTTCAATATCTACACCCATGAATAATGCCTAAATAATGCATAACATCTACAAAATTCATTTATAAAGATTCACTGAATACATAAACGATCAACTAAGCATTTATTCATTAAAAAATATTGCTATGCTAAACGATTTTTCGAACCTATGCCAACAGCAGTAGCAAGTACCATTTTTCTACGAAGATGTAAAAAAAAAATATAGGTTGTGAGGTTGTTACAATCTCGCAAAAACAAAATATTCCAACTAAATAATTGTGCTTGAGCTAATCATTCCTCCTTTTTTTATTTTGTGAATTTCTAATCTACAAAAACTCCCTCAGACATGATTCTATTTATAGATGTTAGGTTAATACATTGATTATGACGTAGCTCCTAAATGCCAGTTTTATTTTTGGGGAAGCTAACATAATATACACATACTGCATTATCTCAAACTGTACATATATTTCCAGTATTTACAAACGATTCAAGACGCCTTCCATCTACTTTGACTAATTCAGCAAGCTACTATGAAGTCCTTATGTTTGTACAAGTACCACTATAAGACAATCTAACATACACCCAAGACAGAATGTTGACTCATTTGGGATGTATTTAAGATTTTAGAAAACGTAGCAATATGTACGAAGTCATGCGTATCTCTTCTTAATGCATGTAAAAGTATCAATTGATTTTGGAATAATACCGCTGGCACCAAAACTATACTTTACGTGGATATCACCTAAACATAGGCAATTTATGTGACGTTTGACATCAATTTTTTATGATTACAATTTTTGAACAGATCGATACTCTTTTGTTTCTAAGAAAATCCATTTGCGAAGAGATGACTAATATATTTCTGCTTTATTAATAGTATCCATGTAAATCTGAGGTAAGTACTCAGCAGATCATTGAAAATCTTCTGCAAATTGCTATTCTCAAAAATCCATTGGAAACTAAAACCTATGAGCAAAATTATGGCTACAACCTTAAAACAGATTATGAGCGTTTAACTTATAAACAGAGTTTTTATTAAGCAATATCATTCACCGTATTATATCGTTCTTTTGGCCCAGCTAGCTGTTCAAATGCATGCATTTAATTGAATCAAACTTCAGGGGTACATGTACATAATCGAATAACTTCGATTAGATTTTGTCATCTTCAGTCCAATTATATAAATAGTGGGCCTCTGAATAATATGTTAGCTAAAAATCACTTCTTCTAAATGTTCATTCAATCTCCTGTAGTTGGTCTTGTCTCATTATTGTTTCTTTTATTGGTCACCTTGTCTACACAAGTTGAAGCAAAGTATTCCTGCTGTCTTAGACCTACCAATTATGGATATTCGTCTTATTGCTTTAACAGTAAAACCAAAAGAGTATGCGAAGAAAGTGGGTTGACGTACTATTCGGGATTTGCAGGATTTGGAAACGGATGCGATGTTGGTGACCTGCAGAGTCTCGAAGCAAGAAGAAAATTTTCTAAGTTCGAGTCAGGATGTGGCGGAAGAGAAACATACAAGACCTATTAACAAATTGGGAAAGACTATGAGGCTTTAATGTGCTTATTTTAAATAACTTTGGTTCTCGATTATTAAAGCATGCTTATCTGTTACCGTTAAAATAAAATTCTACACATGTACCTATGTGTCTTCTTTCAAAAGATATAGATATAAAATGAGAGCTGGAAAAAGTGCGTCTATTATTGCTTCATGGGAATTTCATTTTCTCTTTTTTTTTTCAATAACAACAACAATGACATCTTATAAAAAAGTTTGCCTCAATCCTTACTCTATTTTTAGTTTTGTATTTCATAATTATTTTACATATAACTATTTTTATTCTCAAACTCATAACACTTTATACGTAAAAGGTAGATATTGTAACAACAAAACCAAAATTGAGTACCATTTATCAAACATGTTAATATAGCAAACTTCTTACTTCAAATAACGGCCCTTTTTTATTAACAAGGATTCTGATAGATCCTTGTCTGGTAGCCAGATATATCTAGAGGTAATATGAGCACATTTAGATAGACAGTTTGGTCTCGAAACTGTTCATGTCATGGTTAACTGGTCTGCTCCTAATACAAGATTTCATGAGCCCATCCCGGGCCTTGGATTCTGTCGGTTGCTTGAAAAAGCTGGTGAAAGGGTGTGCTTGATTGATGAATTTAGAACAAGTCATTGCTACCCAGCCTATGAACGTAGAAGTCTTGAAACGTTTTGGATGGTCGATAACCCACGCTCTCATAGATGAAGAGCATCTTCCTCTAATTAGACATGGTCTCTAAAGGTATGTTGGTTTCACTTGTTAATAATATTTTTATTTGATATTTGTTTTTTGTTCCTATGACGGATATACAAATCAAAATTGGAGGGTCATGACTAATAACACGAATAGGATTGTTCCTCGTCTATGGAATCGTGATATGACTGCTTGCTTTAATATGGTTGATACTGTTCATTCACTTCGTGCTGGAAATGCCATCCCCCCTGGATTTCGACGAGGAGAGGCTCCCCGGGACTAACGGAGAAGAGCAAGGACCCAAAATGACCAAGCAAATATTAGAAATGTTCGTCAACGTCAGAACCAGAATTTTCCAGGCCTGTCATCGCAGGTCAAACATAGATACACTTAAGTGGTAAGCTTAATTTTTTTTACGGTCTTTGAACGGAAGATGAACGTATTTACATTTTGATCTAATATTTTCTGAAAATAGTGCAACACGTAACCGATGTGACCTTCACAAGTCAGCACTACATTCATCACTATTTCTTTTCTTTCTACTTCCAATTTTCAATAAACTAAAGAAGAGCCGGAAACTCACTCAAATTCGCTTTCTTATATTCTAACTACGGAACTTCTAACATTGTCCGCATATTTAGGTCTTATACTGATCCTCAGATACTTCAACCTCATAATTGTGCAGATTTACATATACTTCAAAGATTTACAGTTTCTCATGAAGCCACTTCCCACTGCACTTACAACACCAAACCATAATAACTCTTAAAAAAAAAAGAACATCATCTTAAAAATTGAAAAGTCCAAAGACATTTGTTGATTTTCACCCTTAAAAAACTTTAATAAAAAGCCTAATTATGACGTCTTTGCTTTACTTTTCGACGATCAAATTCGTGTGATGCTTCGTATTTGGGCAGCCTAAATGATTTGTAGCGTCAATAAAAGCGATATTACAGACATGCGAAATATAAAAAAACTTACTCAGTCGGGTTGGCAGGCAAAGGGGAAGAATAGAAATAGTCATGTTCAAGAGCTTCTAGCGCTGTCAAACGTTTTGTGGGGTCAAGTACGAGCAACTTGTCCATTAAATCGGCAGCGACAGGATCGAAATTGATGTACTCATCTCGAACATGGCGTGCGCTTGTTTCGAACTTGGTCTTGTTAGCATCTGGTAGTTTATCCCAACCAGGCATATTGTCCTGATTGGGTGAACCACACAAGTTAAAGATTTTTTTCAATTGATCAAGGTCGTCTTGTCCTTGTAATATAGGCCTTGATTTAAGAAGCTCTCCGAACACACATCCAACACCCCACATGTCAATTGCGCTAGTATATCGTTTTTCACCAAGAAACAACTCTGGTGGTCGATACCATCTAGTAACAACGCAGTTTGTGTATTCCTTATTATCGTCTTCGATGCCACGTGCAAGACCGAAATCTGCAATCTGTAATATACCATCATTGTTGATCAAGAGGTTAGCAGCTATAAAAAAAGGTATTTATGTCAGCAAACTTTGCCATCAAGTCTCACGACCGTCTTGTTTTTTTTTATTTACCTTTCATGTCGCGATGAAGAATGCGATTCTTTCAAAGAAAAATACAGTGTCAATAAAAATATTTTTCACGGTTTTCTATATACTTTACATGATGTAAATATGCGGTCCCTTCCAATAGTTGCTTCAGATATGTCTTAATTTGTGGTGGGGTTAATCGCACTTTTGGGTTATCCAATAAACCAGCCAAATCATGATCCATATAAGGGAACACCATGTAAATACTCCCCTTTTCTACAAGAAAAAGAGACGACTTTTAGGTCCCTATCGAGATATTAAAGATAAGTTAAACGTACCTCTTTCAACCGCAATGTCACTTAAAGGAACAATGTTTTTATGGCTCAATTGTTTGAGAATCTTGATTTCACGTATAGCCGTGATGGGTATCTGATAAAAGTGTGGTCAATTTCTATACCATTTACAGTTAGACTTGCGAATACTTACGCCTTCCTTTTCATTGTGCATTAAAATTCTTTTTAACGCAACTAATTCATTACTTTGCTTGTCTCTCGCTTTATGAACTTCACTGTAATGTGTTTAAGTTTATGTCAGCCTTTTACATACAGGATGAATAGGGAAAAATACAAACTTACCCGAAAGTACCTTCACCAAGCTTATCTAGAAATTCGTAGTCTGTTATTCTTGAACAGCCCTTGAATTGTCGTTGATTCTTAGTTTGTGATGGTCTATATGCTGGTGAGGATGATGCTGCGCCATTCCAAGCTGGAGAAGACATGCTTAAAGGTGACCCTTCATATCTTCGTTTTAAGTTTATTCGCCGTTCGTCATCTTTGATGTCGTTGTACGTTCGTTTCATTTGCTACACTTGTAAAAAAGAAAAAAATCAAGGCTCAAAATAAAATGTTTTATGGCAAAAAAAACAGTCCGATTTAGTTTTGCCTTGCAGGAGAAAAATAGCATTATTTGATGTAACTTGAGAGACAAAAGTTAAAATAGGCCATCTTAGTTAAGTGTACCACCTTAACATATTATAAACCTGGTATTTGAATTCTCATACAACCGTAACAGCAAGCTGCCCAGAGACGTTGCAAATATGACTTTGAATGATATGCTGATGTTCAAGTCTTCAAGTCTTATACTGGAATAATTGCACAGAAAAGATCACCAAAAAATATTGAAGCAGGTTTAAGAAATACTTATCTTTAATTACAATCATTTTTTATTGAACTGTATATTTCTTCGATCACCATGTTGAGGACATCATAAAGTTAACGCTTTTCTTGGGAATAACCTTTTTTTTTTTTTTTTTTTTTTTTTTATTGGTATCTTAGCTGTTCATAAGACTTGGAAACAAGGATACACAATTAATATATATTGAACAATGTATACTTTTTCTGGCATTTTACATAATTGTTCATCGCTCACTCTTGCACTCATTTGATTTTATCCTTTGGCAGAAATATTAGGGTATAGGTCAAAGGAGTCGTCGGAAGTAAACTAGAAACTCACTCAGACATACTTAACGTAGATTTAGTAAATTTGCTTTAAGGCAATAACTTAAATTGATCTCTCTAAAGTGGTCTCAAGTTCTAAAAGTTTGCACTTCACTTTGTATTCTTTTCATCATGCAAAGCACACCCACAGCGAATTTAGCTCAGTGGAAAAAAATAGTTAAAAAAAGAAATACATCTGCTAAACTTTCCATTTAGCTTGCGAGTTAGAATCCCATTTTCCCTCACGGATCATTGTATTTTCCGTAACCAACTGGTTATGATTCCGGAATATGGAAATCGCTAACTATGATGTAGTTTCTCGTCATTTTCAATACCATGAGTCGTCAAACCAAAAGTAAAAGTTTTTAAAAAATGTGTTGTCGGCATCGATGTCGTTGTAGAGGGATCTGAATTACCTGTTGTTTCAAAAAATTTCTTTCTCCTGTATCTTTCTTGACTATAATATAACCATCCGCGCACGATTGGAAAGTGTAGTATATGTGGTGATCTAGCAAAGCTATAGACATATTAGAGCTAACAAAGGTTTATCCGCTGTTCTTTCAGGATTTTGAAAAGTGTACATGGAACAAACATTTGAGAAAAACATGAAAAAAAAAAATGCCTCCCCCAAATAAGTCAAGGCATTTTTTTCTGTTTTCTGCAAATGTAATATTAATACTTTTTTTTTTTTTTTTTTTACCAAAAGGCTTGGCTATGATGTTATTTTTTTGGGGCAAGAATATGTAGGTTAAAAACCATTAACTTGAATTGAATAAATGTCCACTACAATCCACTATTAAATGAGATTAAATATTAGAATTATCCACATCAATTAAATTCGGTTATGCAGTACGTTGTTCTCATGTCTCTGTGTAACGAGGATAATGTTGACCGTATTGGAAACATAGAGAATGATGGCCACATTGTTTTATTATTTATTTTAAACATACATTTCTAAAATAAGAAGAGACATATGCTTTTATACAATACAATTCAAAAACACTTTAAAGAAAGTTACCCAGAGGATAAGCTTTTTATATATAAAAAGTAAAAAAAAACACACTGGAATGATTTATTTCGAAAATAGTCTCATATACCTCTAAGTTTCCTTAAAATTTCTAATTACTTTTGTGAATCGCACTTGTTTCCACCAATATAATCTACTCCACACCATAATAATAAACTGCCTTAAATTGGATTTTAGCATCTGTTCTAAATGGGCCTTAGTGAAAAAACGCTCCATTCCGTCACTGATTATATTTTTCTCTTCTTTCGAAATCACACACATCCTCCTGTTGTTACTGTATATAAGTGTAATCCACCAAATGTCAGACCTGACAAACGAGATTGGTTCCAAGTATGACAGGCGAAGTAAGTCACAGTGCTTGCAACTATTAAGCCGATTCATATCGATGGATATGACACAGATAAATCAATCCTTGTATTTGTTGAGTGCATTCAATGAATTGCGATAGATCATAAAAATGGCTTTCCATAATCTTTCGTGATAAAACCTGGACATTATTCCTGTATCAGCATTACTTCATATTGTCCAAAAAAATGTCGCGCAGAAAGAAAGTATGCTATGCTAAACTGATTAATTGAAAAAAAAGCACGTTCGTTTAAGTTTTAGTTCCGCAATAAAAGGCTGCCTATAGCATGGCGTTGGTCAATGGTGATCAAGTAATCTTGAACATCCTCTTAAGTAATTTAGAGGCATTTTCCGTCAAGTCAAAAGTTAGAGGCACGGTCGAAGCATATGCATACTTGCTGTGATGGAACTATAATCACTTTAGGCAATTCCACATAGTTAGAGGCTTGGTCAAAATCAGTAACTCCTTTTGTGGGAATTGACTACATATAAAACTCGTGTGAGTAGAAAGAATACACATATAATAAGAAATCAAGTGACGTTACTCTTTTTAGCGTTTATGAATAATAGGGCGAATAGGTATATGCATATGCCTAGATGCTATTTTCCGTGGCATGGGTGTCATCACGACAGGTAACTTTTTCAACAGTTTTGGGATGAGTTGACAGGAGACAAGCGATTATCTATTCTGAGTTCTCCAAACCTTTTTTTATACTTGCCAGCACATTGTTATAGTGATTTTAAGAAAAATGTTTTTAGAAACTATTAAAGTCAAAAGAGAAAAAAAAAAATCATGTTTATTATTGTACTACCGATAAATTAGGTTCAATACCTACAAAAACTGGTTTTCCTACTGCTGCCTGCCCACGATATACAATATGGGGATTACAATGCCCATTGTCCCATATTTCATGTCGGGATGATGCATTTTACACAGGAAGCGGGGACATAGCAGTTACACCTGGACGAGCACTCATATCAGTCACCCTCTTACACAAAAAAATTGTTTTTGTTTCCTTTATTTTCTTTTGTCTAGACTACGTTCACAAGTTTTTTATCATTTATATATTTTATCGTTCGTATATTTTGTGAAATTTTAATTATATGCTTGTGTATATCCTTGTATTCTCTTCATAGTGGTCGAGAAAATAATGTGTGCTCATATTGTCAAGAGTAGTATCCTCAGCCTCGTCCATTCCATTTATTATAAATACTCTTTATTTTTCCTCTTCTTAAATCTTTCGTGAACTTTAATATCAATAAACTCTGACAAAATTTCTAATGGATCCTATTGTTTTTTTATACTTTTTATTTGCAAAACTATCCTCATTTAAGTCTACTTTTGCTACAGGGATGTTTTTGGGTTAGTGGTTTTGGGACTTTGGCCTTCGTTGCTGGAAATGTAGATCAGACGACGTAGTGAACATTTTGGTGTCAAAGTTTCACTCTTGGTTTTCTGTACTGTATGAGGAAGAGAACAGGAATTTTACATTCCAAAAGGTCGGCGCCAATTGCCATACTGGAAATAATACGAGGTGGCAGAAGAACACTCATTCAATCAGGCGCTTTGATGGCTGTAACACCCAAAGTCGTGATCTCAATGCGATTGAGCATACTTGGTATTCACTTGAGGCTTTTATTAGTCATAAAAGGGCTCGTATTTACAATGTTGATGATTTGAGGGAATTTTTAGAAATAGCATCGAATGATATCATCATCAATTTAGCTACTTGATTAGTTGGCAGTAGGACAGAACGATGTCAAGCGGTCATTCAAGCAAAGGAGGCGCAACAAGATTATTATTTTAGTTTTATTTCATTGAAGTATACATCTCAAGCAATAATTCTGAACACTTTGATTATTTTTGAGCGAGTTTCTTATAATCTAAAGTGTAGCTTACAATATGTCTCAATTTTCGGTATTACAAAAATTTTAAAATCGTACGGTGATTTGTGACGGTTCCTAATTTGCTCTTCTTGGTCTTTTATTTTGTTTGTCGTCGGGATAGTTCCCCAAATGTCCTGCTCAATTTTTCTTATAAAACGATGGTGATGAGATCTTCCTAGAAGGCTTTTCCCTTCATTATCTCTTTATTTTTACCTTATTTTTCACTTCAAGTCAAGGCGTTTATTCTTTTTTTTATTCTGAAAGCCCAACCAGTAGTGGTAATGCGTGAATAATTCATATTATGTTTCTTTAGTTACTTATGTTCTTTTAGTTGGTTTCATTTTTTTATAATAAATTTTCTTGATAAGTTTGCTCTTAAAAATCGTTTCATTTGAGTCCCAACTTATCAACGGTTCCTAATTTAGTGTGACTGTGTACCACCAAACAATTTGGTGGAAGATTTTATAAGCGTTTTTTAAAGAGATGCATACCCATATAATGTTTGTTTAAAGCAACCACAAGGAGTTTTGGTGAAGACAATACATAACTATTAGATTTCTGCTACGTGGCATAACGACTTTTTTATGGATTCAATCTCGTTCTGTACATATAATTTTGAGCCAGCCAGTCCGTCTTGTTGTGTTTTAAGGTAAGGCTAAATTATAAAAAGACTATAGGAGTAGTTTGAGACTGTTTATAAGATTGTCCTTATTAATAAATGAAATGTACGAGTATTTATATAAAAGACTGTCTGCTGTGTTCATATCTCTAGTGCTATCTTGAAGTTATCATTGATTAACCAAAAATGTTTATGATTATTACATAGTCACTAATTTAGTCTTCTTCTAATAAATGTTAAGTCTTCTTAACTCTCTTTGCTTTAAACTAAATTTTAAGTATTTCTCAGACGTACTAAATTAGACTTGTGATGTAATATCCTTATAGTTCTTACTATGACATTTATTGTTAAGCTTATATTACAAATGGTATCAGCATGGATATACCTTTGTTAGCTTTAATATGGCTATAGCCTTGCTAGGTCACCAGACGTCTGTCGTATTTGGGTACGATTCACTTAAGAATAATTAAGCAAATCGTTTAAATAAATAAACTATGAAATTAAAACAACCTTTGATGTTGCATATCAGCATACGCTTGTATACTGCTATACAAGTTCTCCTACTACGAGTACATACTTATATATTAAAGATTGCATGATTGGCCTAAATACGATATACGAATGACAGTTGGATACAGATTGCTATACGACTGAGTTACGATATCACCGATCGAGAAGAGAATCTTTTCAGATCAAATCAAAAATTATAAGAAAGAGAAACTTAATATTAATAGTTCTCTCAAAAAATTAGCTACCCAGTGAGAGAATAGAACAGCTATTAATATAAATGGTTCATTTACTTATATATTGATATAATTATACTGCTGATAAAGAGTATAAAGAAATAGTGTATGAAGTAATGGATACCTATCTTCGACAACCAAATATACATATATCGATAAGACATTTTATATTTGGGATCGTAATTCATTCATTACAAAGATAATGAATAAAAAATCAACTATTATGTTCTATTGCCAATTACACTTGACCAACAAGTATGCATCTTTTACAGTAACCGTTGCATGATCTGATAAATAAGTGTCTCGTAATACTAAAGATTTATTAGAATACTCATGCTCCGGATCCACTGATATGGGACAACGTTATCTGGAAACAATTCTAACGAGTAGTATCCATTTAACCCAAGGGGGGAAACAAAGTATAGATCTATTCCAAAACCAGAAAGGTTGACTCATCATTAAAACTCAGGAGAGTTGTGCAATATAAAAAGGATCAATTATTTCATAGCAGCAGAGTTCTTTTAGTCTATTTTTACCCCTAATAAAAACATACTTTTATCTCATTACTTTTCTATGTAATATTTTGTCAAATACCACAACTTCACGTTAGCAAGGACACCTATGTTGAGCCAGGTACAAAAACCTCGGAAAAGATACCTCCAAGATCGCTTCCTACTTCTATTTCAATGGCTTGAATAAAAAACGTCATGTTATTGGTGGCCTTTTTAGGAACAGCATACTTTTTCCAAAGATTAGCATATATGAAGCACATAATATTTTCAAGAAGTAAGTCTTTTACGCCCTTTAATGCATATGATTAGTGTTCCTCTTTTGCAATTAAAAGAATATAGACCTTCCTTCTTTTAGCAGAGGCAAATATTACCGAACTAGGATAATTACGCTAAAGCCATGCCACAATGTGGCTTAGAAATTTTAATTTTTGTTTCCATGAGGACTTACGTCACCCTTTCCCCCGGAGCAAAAAAAAAATACTTATTATTATTTTTTGAAAAGCGTATTTTTTTCTTTTTTTTTCTTTGCGAAACTATTAGTGGAAAATGATTCAGCTGCTTTTTGTTGACGAGTAAGTACGAATGAGTATTTTCAAGTAAAGATGTTTACACATTTCTAATGTACCAATTAAACAAATAGATTCCTCTGTTTTATGTTTTGCTTTGTTGTAAAAGTGGTTCTGTTTTTACTAGAAAAACTTGATAATTTCTTCTCGTTTTTCTACTCTAGGGGTACAGGCCAACGTCTACCCATTGACAATGACATTGTGGGAGAAATCCCCAATGCCTTCGTGCCTCCTCTCATTTCCACCACCACCACCATTAACAACTTTCCTGTTGTTACTTCGGAGCCTATTGCTCCCGCACAACCACCAACAACGTTCGGTTCTCTCCGTGAGGTTGGAACAAGTCGGGATTATCTCGCTTCTCCACCACGCGTAGAAAAGGAGTTCCGTTGCCTTGCTCTCTGGTGTGCCTGCCTTGTCGGCGGTCCCTGTGCCGGCCGTGACTATGTGCGTTCACCTCCCAGTGAGTATGGTTTTGTTTCACGTAGTTCTGTTCCTTCTTGGGCATATGCCTGTGAGGCCATTACTCGTGCCTGGATGCAGGAAAACAATGTTTTCGTTGCTCCAGTGTCTTCGGTCGTCAACCGACCAAGAAAACAGACCTACGTGGCCCCCCACGCGGTTTCTTCCCTCTATAGGGATAACGTGTGCTGTGCGGGTTCTTCCTCTTATGAGGATAACGCACCTTCTGCGGTTTCTTTCCCTTATGGGAATAACGCAGCTCAAGCGGTTTCTTCCTCTTATGAGGATAACGCTTCTTGTGTGGTTTCTTCCTCTTATGAGGATAACACACCTTCTGCGGTTTCTTTCCCTTATGGGAATAACGCAGCTCAAGCGGTTTCTTCCTCTTATGAGGATAACGCTTCTTGTGTGGTTTCTTCCTCTTATGAGGATAACACACCTTCTGCGGTTTCTTTCCCTTATGGGAATAACGCAGCTCAAGCGGTTTCTTTCTCTTATGAGGATAACGCTTCTTATGCGGTTTCTTTCCCTATTGGGGATAACGCATATTGCGATGATGTAGGTTTTGCTTCGGCTTCTACCTTGCATCCAGCAGGTGCAACCTCTCTCGAGAGGGCTGGTCGTCATACCTCGGTATGTCGTCCTAGTACAGCTGGCATGCGCCATCGTCGTCTTCGTGCTCGACTTGGTTTGCATAGACCTCGTCCTTCACGACGCCATTATTATGGCAAACTTCGTCTTCGTGCTGCTTTGTTAGCTTGTTCTCAAGCTACAGAGACTATGGATGTTGACGTCGTATTTTTGAATCCTACAGCTGCTGAAATAGATGATGTTATCCCTGAACCTATGGATATTGACTCTTTTGAGGAGTCTTTGGAAGTAGTGGATGGTTTGACTGAACCTGTGGAGGCCGAAGATGCTGTGGATAATGGGTTTTGTGTTGCTCCTGTCTATGTTTCCGAGGCAGTTAACGATGATCATGTTCCCGATCAGTTCGTTGAGCAAGATGCAGTGGACATCAACGATCTTAGCACAGAAGCTCCCTCTGATGCTAGCGATGATTGTCCATCTGTTACTGAATACGCTGTGGATTCAGATGTGGAGTCAGTTCCTGCAGAAGTATCAAACAATACTTCTGATGGCTTCATACCCTACAGTTTTTTCTCTGGTTCTCCCTCTGTTTCTGGTTCGGTCTCTGGTGATGGAGACGAAGAAGAAGGTTTTTCTGTGATGGCAGGCGTACCTTAGAAAGAAGTTTCGGCTTTTTTTGTTTTGTTTTTCCTTTGGTGGTAAGAGTTTTGTCTGGTTTATTCAAGCCACTGAAGCCAATAATGAGGTAGAGAAGAAGGAATCAGGCGAAGAAAATTGAGTGGAATTGATTCATCTGGGTGGAAAATAATTGGGAAGATTTGGTGGAGTCTTCTGCTGCCGGTAGTAGTTGTCTTTGGTGTATTTTCTTTTTCCTAAGCGTTTGGAAAAGGAAATATGGATGAGGCTATTCATCATCATTCAAATAACACCTTAGCGACATCAGGCAATTATCAAGAATAACACGATAAATCCTTGCTATTATTGTTTACGTGCAAGCAAAATTTTCAGTGTATGACAACTGATCAAGATCCTATATGCTGCGCTCTAAGAAATCTACAAACAACGCTTATACAAAAGGTGCTACGATTCAGTCGCAATAGCTTACAACTTTAAAAGAAACATCCAATCGTACAAACGTTTGTGAAAGAAAGCACTAATAACAACAACAGATTAACAAAGATCAACCAACTAAAGATTTAATAATCAGATTTAAAATAACAACCAGTTATATAACAACAAATGATAAAACAACAAAATACATAACGACAACATCAAAACGATAACCATAATCGATAGGATGGAAATCTTTAAAATACGCATCCATGTTTGCTAAACGACAAATTTTCAATATGGCCCAAGTTGGAGCAATGAAACTTTACGCAAACACAACTAAATTCTGAATATTTAACAAAATTACGGGCCAATGGAAATCAGCGGTGCAACAGCAAGTAATAACATCAAGCTTGTCAGCATTTAATATCAACATAAGCAACTACTCTATAGACTTGGATGTTATTCACGGCTACTTGCTGCGATCACACACCTAGCAAACATGATATAATCCAAATCAAGGTATCTAAATGGACAGTTGAAATATCTTTGAAGTTGAAGCAAAAAAGATCAAAGATGAAGAGAAACGCTTCAACTTATACCGATACAAACGTAAGTATAATTATGGCATCTTTATAAAACATTTGAAGGTTAAACTTTTTTGTAATTTAGACATTTGATAACTACATATTGAAAACCGTAGTAATCAAACTAATGGGAGTTTCAAAACAGTCATCGTACAATATTACACAAGTACGATGCTGTTTAGTACAAGCATCGTCTTTTGCTTCTACTAGAGGGAATGTATAAACTTACATTGTGTCAATCTTACAAGCACATTGTGGTTTAGTAAAAGTCTCAAAATTAGCTTTTACTAGGGAACGTTAAGAAATTAACAAAATGTATGCAAGCCAGACGAGAAAGTAACCTTATTTATAACATGGTACGTATCAATGTAATTCGGGGACCATTCTTATGCTGACTAATTTTTTAGGCCATCTTTAACTTTTCAGCCGCTCTCTGGAAAATAACTGATGTGCTAAAGATGGTCTTGTTATATTTCAAAACATCGGACTCAATTGTAGCGAAGATCTCAGTAAAAGTCTCTAATGAGTCTTGAAACTAATAATACCAGCGAAGAAGAATTATCTGTAGCTGTAGATAGTCTTGAAATGAATAAAGCAGCATTAAATCTAGGGAAATACAAAAACAATCTCTACTTTTTTAAATGCAATGCAAATATCAAGCTACATATGGAAGGTAAAGCAAAACATAATGTCTTATGACGCTGTTATACCTATCTTCTTAACCCTCTTTAGCTCCACCGCTGATCCAGAGACAAAACAAGTTTAAAGAACTAAACTCAATACATCTCTTCAGCGGTCAATATTATGGCAGAAAGCAAATCTGATTTACTGCATAATTCTAACAATTATACGCTTTCATGCAACACATTCTTCACACAACCCAGATATAAACTTAAGGTAAAATAAGTAACAACAGAGATAGAATTTTAATTAATAATTCTTACAGTTTAGATAGAAACTGGGTTCTTTATTTGACCCATATATAAACACGGTCCAAAAAGAGAAAAAAAATCCTATTTTGTAGCGGTGATAGTTATTGAAGATGACGAATATAACTTATCATCCAGTTTGAATCATGGTCTGTCTTCATATACCATGTCTGATGCCACAAATTACAAAGCAAAGGTAAACTACCAATGAAATGCAAAAACGACATGATTTACTCAATTCAATAGTAACTGGCAATCCCGCTAAAAGAGACATCCAATACGGTTCAACAAAATTTGTTACAAGTGGTACGGAAGAAAACAAATTCATGAAGCCTCTAGTTATAATGAGGATACGTTTTCCAGTAACGGTGCTTTTATACAATCAGCTACCAACCACAAATGAAAAATAACCTGTATCATTTGAAGATGATTTGTAAGAACTCCGTTAGTCAATGTATCATCCCGCTGAACAAGGCAATAAAACGGTTCCAAAACAAATTCAACGACTTGTTTAAGTGGGTTTGAAGCTAAAAACAAATTTTATCGCGTCATCAACTGTATTAGTGTATCGATTTAAAAAATCAATCCATGTGATACAGCTCATAACAAGAGGTAAAGCAAACTGAATTTTTAAGGTAATAAGTTGTACTAATTATGCTTATTTGGACTGCTTATTAGCGCTGATACGGATGAACGCAAATACTAATGACTTTTGTCAAATACCCCGGGCGGGTGGTTTGTCATATGATGTTGGACGTTTGGGTAAGCATGATGATTTTTTTCAAAAACAGGCGAAGCTTGGAATTATGATTCTAATTCACATGGTCATGTAGATTTAGGAATTTGAAAAAAAAAGTTGAGACTTCTTTTCCCAATTCCTAAGCATGGTATATTCTTGTAAATAGGAGCAGTCTTACTATAAATAAAATTTACCCACCTTAAATTGTACATAAAGGACCCCTTTTAATAACATATAGTTGATTTCGGCACACTGCCACTTTTAAGGGTAATTGTCTTCATTGTGATTTTATAACTGCTATTGTTTCAGGCAAAAAAAAAAAAAAAAAAAAAAACTAAATAGAAGGCGTGAGCATTTCGGATGTAATAGACATTTATGAGTACGATTTAGCAAGGTATCTTGTTGAACTCGTTCGATTACGCAATCGAGGAGAAAAAATAACCCAGTGACATACTAGAAGTTGCCACAAGGCATGTATTCAAACCTTGCAAAAATGACACGCAGATTCATCCCCCACCCTCTGCTTCATCTACTTCTTGCGGAAGGTTATTTAATACTTTCAAGCATTTGCTTACACCAAGTAGATCTTAACTAACTGTTGAAAGTCTTAACGAAAGCGTTCTTCTTTATCATTGGCTTAAAGACAATATCCACTAATATCTTTTCCTTTTTCATTGTCATTTTTTTTCATTACGATTTTGTGATAATTGAGGATAGAGTATCAAATAAAGAAAAACTATAAAGTACTCTGAGACTGCTTATAAGTTTTATTAAGAGTAAAAGTAGATTAAAGTTGAGAGGGTTCTATTCTAACTATCAGTTTGCATATTCATATATGTTAAGAGAAATCGGATTATGAATTTAGTTTGATGGATAAGTTACACAGTACTGAAATTGTGCTTGTAGTTGGATATGATATAATGTGTAAGAATCTAGTTCGTGTTGTGATGTAATAATGTATGGGATAATGAAATGGGCTTTAATTTAGAGTTGTTTTATGGTGTGATAGATAATAATAGTAGGTGGATCACCACAATTTTCATTCTCTTATTATTATTTTTGTTTACATCTTATTTACTTACTTTTTTCTGTCTCTCAAACAATATGTATCCTATCCCTTTTTATTTTCTGTCATTGCAATTTTTTTTTTTTTTTTTTTTTGTAGATTTTTATTTATTTATACTTTTACTTCAACTTCTATTTCAATTAATAATAATTTCCTCATCATAACGTTCTGCAAATCACAACACTTTCCCGTGTGCTTTGTATAATAAGAACGCGAGCGAGCTTCGGCTGGAACATGATCGAATCTTGCTCGAGAGTTTTGATCTTCATTCCGAACAGAAATCATGTTACATAAATATATAAAGATCGATCACAACAACCGGTTACGGCATTTACTTTATTTATTAAAGAACGTAAATTAAAAAAGATGAGAAGATGATTATGAAATATATTTGATAAAGAAAACTGGGAGAATTGAAACTTATCAGCTCTATTTATAAGAAAAGAAAACAAGAAATTATTTAAAATTTTAAGCAATGACAGCGGTCAGTCATAGCTTATGACTGAATCATGACAAATATTTAAAGAGAAGACAGATCAAGGCTAAAAATTTAGCTGAAAGGTTTCTGGGAAATTCGAGAGATAATTTCACGGACGGTGACAGGAACAAGACACTAAAACTACTTGGCGACACGAGGGTGGTGATTGGTTATAATAAATAAGTTCTATTTAGTAAGAGATGGAAGGGGTTAGGACTAAGATCCAGAATAACGTTTTTCTAATAAATAACTAGCATCTATTTATACTATTTCTTATACATCAGACAACTACGATGGGTTTAAACTATAGATTAACAAGGGATTTTACGGAATAGAAATCATGAGTAGATTATTAACAAGGATGAGTAATTGAGATTTGACGAGTAGTAACAGGCTGGATTTAGTTGACATTGAATAATATGATGGTTCGGGGAATATTTATGGTTTGCCACAGGCGGGAAAACTGGATTAGGAATAAAAGTAGAAGATGATCGGGAAAAAGTTTACTAAGGTTGAGTCAGACAGGAAGCGGGAGTAATATTGAGAGACAGATTAATGATATGTTTTACAAGGAGTTCGGTGGCGGGCATGATATAATGATATGATTTTTTATACAAGGTTTTACAGGGAGTTTGGTAGCGGACAAGAGATACTGATATTAATTTCTAGAACAAGGTTTCACAAGGGGCTTGAGTTCATGGTTAAGTTATGCAGACAATAAACAGGGCGAGTAAGTTCATGACAATTTCCCAACTTGGTTTTTTCGACAACATGATCATCATTAGGGTTGGGTGACGTTGGAGAGATTATTATTGCGTGCCAAAGTGGTACTGAGCAGCAAACCCGGGATCCCGTGAAAAAAAGCTTTGCAGCAATCAGAAGTTACCGTCACGAAAGGGACTTGTGATTCCTTACGTCAAAAATGTTTTTGAAGGGGAAACAAAAGAACGATTTTCCCTTTCTTTCAATTTTTTATTCTTTTTCTTCTCTCTCTATCCAAAAAACTACTTCTGTAGTAAGCGTCCGGGTTGAGGCGGTAGTGCGTTTTTTTCTGTGGATGCTGGACCACAGTGTTTTAATATTAATTAATGAAAATGAAAAAAAACATTTATTCCTTTTTGTCTTGTTATCATCTGATTTTTGCATCCGGTTTTACTAATAGCAGTCACGAAAAGAAAACCGAAAGGAAGGGTAACTACACTATAAAATCCAGTTCTGTCATGTCCCATTTTCCGTTTTTTTTTTTTGAATTTTTGCATTTTTAAAAAGTAGTTGTAAAACCGAGATGGGCAAACTCAAATTAAGCATTGACAAAAAAAGACAGCGAGAAAGACTACGTAAAGCTAAACAAAGAGAGAATCACGAAATGAGATGGAGTGGAAATCAGAACAGACGAGAAAGGTACAATAGTGTAATGCCTTTTTAGAATTGAATATAAACTAATTCTGATGCACAAATATAAAGGGGACCAACACCTGATATACCGCTGCTAGATAATGGTGATTCTGGTCCGAGTACATCATCTAATGTAAGTTTGAATCCCAATGTTAAGCATCTGCACCAGATTAAAAATAATACTTGTTTTAGGTTCAACTCGGAACTGAAGCTTAAACTATTTGTAAAAGAAACTACATATTGATTGACAGCTTTAGAGAAAATGAAAATGAGACACATCGAAAACATTACAGAGACCAGGTACAATAGAGCAGATATTCATTCTTTTGACCCTGATTTCGATTAAGTTTTTCTAATATGATAGGGTAATAATACACAATCAATTATTGAAAATTATAAAGCATGGCCCAACTGAAGGATGTCCATGTTGTGGAAGTACTTGGTTCTCAGTCTTGATTAATGATGCACAAGGAACTATCCTATTTACCAAAGGATTGATAGTAGAACTTTTAACAAGATCTTTGAGTCTTGAAACAGACAGTGTCACTTAGTCGACGTTTTTCTCAATAATAAAATAGGTGTATTCGTACTCTCACAAAGTTCCGACTAAATTAACCAATATTTTTTCCCACGAGAATAAATAGGTAATATTCCATCAATTTGAATTGAATACATCCACTAGCAAACGAGATTCAATATTCGAGTTCTACACCCAATTAAATTGGGCTATGTAATAGGTTGCTCTCGCATCTTTCTTTAATAAGAATACCTTTTACCGATTTGGAAATGCAGAGAATGATGGCCGCAATGTTGTATTTTTTTTCGACATAAATTTACAAAAAAATAAAATAAAAAGTAAGCTACATATAACTACAGTACATTCCGAAGAAACAATAAGGATAATGTCACAGACAATAAGCTGGTTTTTTATTAAAGGGAACCCCTTCAAAATTGTATTTAAAATACCTTTATCTGCACTTGTAATTTACATTGACGTACCTTCAGTGCACGTCTTCCACTTATATGATCTATTCGACCTGAGTGTTTTAAACTTTCTCAAATAGGGTTTTAGAACCTCTTTCGAATGAGCCTTGTTGTTCAAACCCTCACTTTTGTTATCCACCACGTTTTTCTTCTCTTTCCATTCCGCGCATACCGACCTTTTCTTGGTGTGTATAAACTCAAATGTTTATATTCCAGGCACGACAAATTTCATTGGCACCCATTACGAGGATCGAAGTAAATAAATAGTACCTTCTACTATCGAGTTGTTTTATTTCACTAATTCATGTTATATCCCTCTAAGCATCGGCATTGATTTGATGTGTCGAATCACAAACAGTTTTGCGGCTGGTTTTTCCAGAGATTACATGAACCAGGATATGGGTTGGATGTATTTGATGCGAGAGGCCATAGGAATCATTTTCCACAAAATTTTGTAATAAAACTTGGACATCATTCCTAAATTAATCCGTCTAAATGCCCAGTACGTAATATTAGTCACATAATCATTGTACAGAAAAACGTTTGTAAAGCTAAAATTAATAAGTGTGTAAAGAGATCCCTTTGAGACCTCTGCTACACAATGAAAGGCTAACTATTACATAGGATTGATCCAAAGTTATTTCCAACGCAGTGTCAAACATGATTTTTAATACTTTAAAAGTTTATTTAGTCAAGTGCAAGGTTAGGTAAAAATCTGCATTTCCTATAGTAGCAATGACTAAGAGCATCCCCGGCGGTTTGCTAAATTTGCTAAATTTATTAAATCTGGCTTTTTTTTTCAACAAAATGAAACTCCAGTCGTTTGTTAAAAAAAAAGCTAAATTTGTAAACGATCAATTTTTTTCTAAAAAATAAATAAATCTGACTTTTTTTTAATTTTTTTGCTCCTTTCCCGATAAATTTTTAAAATAACAATGTCGAATCAACAACAACAACAAAAGCAAAAGCAAAAGCAAAAGGAACAGCCCAAGGCTAATAAGCGTGCCCGTGGCAATAACTGGACCTTCGAAGAAGACACCCAGTTGTGTAAATCTTGGGTTGAAGTCTCAACCAACCCAATTAAGGGCAACGACCAAAAGAGTCCTGACTTTTGGAAGGCTGTAGAAGAAGACTTTGCGATTAACTTCGTCAAAGTCTACAAAATTCCTGTTACTGAGAGAGCAGAAAACTCTCACCAGAACAGATTCACGACAATTGCATCTGCTGTCAACAAGTTTTGTGGGTTCTTTGATACTTGTATCAGAGGCCCTGCCCCTAGTGGATCTGATCCCTCTGACGCGGTATATAATACAACTGAAAATTATTTGACATATGTAAAGACTGACATGACATTTTTGAAACAAAAGGTTATTAGAGCCACTGAGATGTATAAGGCGTCTGAGACGAAGGATAAGAAGGGGTTTACCTTCTTGCATTGCTGGAAGGTCTTACGAATGAGTGAAAAGTGGAAGAGTCGTGCCGAAGCCACGCAATTTAAGGTCAAGGCGAAGGCAAAGAGGGTTGCCATGAGTGTTTTGGTCGAGGACGATGCCCAGGTACAGGCTCGTCCTATGGGACACAAGAGGGCTAAGGCCATGACGAAGAACAGTGCTGAACAGGATGATGAGATCCGCAACACGTTGAAGGAGTTCGTTGAGGTCACCAACAGGAAGATCGACTTTGCGGAAGAAGAGAAAAGGTTTTTCCGTGACCAGAGCTACCTGATGATGGATCTGTCAACCATCTCCTTCGGACCTTACAGGGATTATGTGCAGGAAAAGCAGTTGAGCATCCTGGAAGGTCTGAAGGCGGCTGATTTGGCGAGGGCAGAGTCCCATCGACGATCCATCATCGAAACCATTGATGATGATCAACACTCTTTGGTCGATGAAGATGGACCAATGTTGGTTGAAGATGAGGAACCAGTTTTGGTTGAAGATGAGGAATCGGTTTTAGTCGAAGATGATTAAAAATAAAAATTGGTTTTCTTTTTTTAAAAAAAATAGTTTATTTGGGGTTTTATATATGTAAAGGGATCTACATGTCGCCTCGTCTTTGCCATAAATGTTCAATAAGATCGGATTGAAGCTGATCGTGTGTATCAGCATCTCTGATCTCAAAAAACTTGGCAACGAACTCACCGAATGACACATTCTGACGAGACGATGGAGGAGGAGAGGAATGGGGTTTGTAAGAAAGAGGAAGATCCAATCCACGCTCATCCTCCACAATCATATTATGCAAAATGATGCATGCTTCCATGATTGCATGTAGATCCTGGTCCTTGAACAGCCGAGAGGGTGTTTGGAGCATGGCAAAACGTGCCTGTAAGACACCGAAAGCCCGTTCTACATCCTTTCTAACCGCCTCTTGTGTCTTTGCAAAGTTCTACCATATAACACGTTAAATCAAAGTAGATATACTAATCCAACTTTCCATGGCTTACCTTTTTCTTTTGCGACTGTGGGTTTGGCAAGGTTTTGACAAGAGTAGCATATCTTGGGTATATGCCATCTGCCAAATAGTAACCCTTGTCATAGGTATTGCCATTGACCGTGAACTTGACTTCAGGCATATCACCTTCGGCCAGGCCTGCAAAAATTGGGGACCGGTGGAGGACATTGATGTCGTTGAGGGCACCAGGAAGACCAAAAAAGGAATGCCAAATCCAAAGGTCCTGAGAAGCTACAGCCTCCAAAATAATGGTTGGTCGACCACTTTTACCAGTAAACTGCCCATGATGAGCAGTTGGGCAGTTCTTCCATCGCCAATGCATGCAATCGATGGATCCAAGCATACCAGGGAAGCCTCTCTCTTCATTGATCGCCAACAAACGATCCACATCCTCTTGCGTAGGAGTTCTCATATACTCCTCCTTATACACAGCCACAACAGCATGTGCGAATCTTTTTAATGATTCTCGGGCTGTTGTTTCGGCTATGCGAAAAGTCTCGTCAACTGCATCTGATCCTACTCCATAAGCAAGTTGACGCATGGCTGCTGTTACTTTTTGGATTGGCGAAAAGCCTATGACGTTGGCCGCATCATACTTTTGCTCAAAGTAACTATCATGAGCTGTCACTGCTTCGGTGATTCGCAAGAAGAGACTTTTCCTCATTCTGTATCTTCTACGAAAGACAGCGTCGGAATATACAGGATTTTCCGAAAAGTAATCGTTCATGAGCCTTTCAAGTCCTGCTGTACGTCCTCTCTTGACAACTCGACGTTTTTTGATAACACGAGGCTTTTGCTTTTTGTCTTTTTTCAAAACCCTTAAAAAACCTTTCATAGCAGTAAGATGCATTTTATAATCCTCTGCAGGGTCATTGCCAAATAGTCTTTCGAAAGTCGACATTGCAGACATTGTGTGAATAAAAATGAAAAAAAGTGAAAAAAAAAGAAAAATTATATGACAGGCACCGAAATTTAACTTTTTTTTTAACAAACGACTGTGGAAATTTCAAAATAATAAATCTGTCCATAAAAAAAAATAATAAATTTATAAAAAAATTTAGCAAACCGCTGGGGATGCTCTAAGTCTATACCATGTCTCAATTAGAGTAATAAATAAATTACAAAAAAAAATTGACGTTACTCTCATCAACGTTCATAAATAATAGGACGAATAGGTGTAAGCACTTTCCCAGAGACCGATTTACGTGTTATGAACGTCATTACGAGAAGTGACTTTTTCAACAGCTTTCGGATGGGTTAACGGAATTCATGCGAGTGACTATTCTGAATTTTTTAAACTTATTTTAACAATTGCAAACACTTTGGCCAAGTGATTTTATAAAAAGAGTACATAAAAACTTTTATAATCAGGCCAGAGAAAAAAAGTTACTTTCTATTCGTTTATGTACTAATAAGCGATTCCACAAAATAAGGTTCCTCAAATTGCTGCCAACCGGTGTAGCCCTTCATAATATCACAGCGCTCACTCCGCATCGTTTTTTTTTTGGCATGAGCAGCATGTCAATGGTACCAAATCATCAGTCACTGGATCGGTATGTAAAGTTATATCCAAACTTATTGCTTTTGGTAGATGAATACTCCATGATCAGTTCAACGATTTTAGACTTCGTAAATGAAGCACTTATAAAATCAACTCAACGATTTTCAATTATTGGTGGTGTCAAGAAATGTTTTTTCGTGATATAGCCCAACGTTTACCTATTCAAAAACATGAGGGAACAATGCAGTTAGACATTTATGATTCCGTCAACAGATACAGTTTAACTGAACCAATCCGCCAAAAAGAAATCCTGTTCATCGAAATATTAAATAAAGTACGATTATGCAGTTTTGCCCGATCAATCATTGAATTTATCAACGAAAGAACCATCTTGAAATCCAATTTCCCAGAGTATTGTTTGCGCTTGTATACGACCAGAAATAGATTAAGAACTGCAAATAAAAAAGATTACGCTGAATTTCCGGGTGAAGGCTACACCATTGAATCCCACGATAGATATATTGTAACCAGAAGAACAGCAGCTCTAACATTAAAAAATACACGGTTACTACAGGTTCTCTATTTAAAAGATGATATGCCAATCATTTTCATTCGAAATTTTAACACTGCGCATGCTTGGTTCAATGATACAATTGCCACTATCGAATTTATCAAAGATGAAAATATCTGCTTAAAAAAATAATCTGAAATTCGGATGGTTTAGAAGAAGAGAAAATTTACTGGATCCAACGAATCACAAGACAAGTATACCAGCTACACCCGATCCCAGTTTCCAACTGTATTTTTTTTTTGTCAACAATCCACAAATCCCAAAGTGCTACTATTGATTGCGTTGATATTCATCTGGATGATATGCTCAGACGTGACCAGCTGTATGTTTCAATATCTCGAATTTCAAAAAAGGAAACTCTTATATTTTTTTTGGAACCGATTTAATATATGTATCAAAAGAAGATAGGGGTGTGAACCAGATGCAGTTGAAATTACCAGAAAAAGAAGAAAACCCGTATAGCAAATATTCTCACGCTACTCTGAGTCCTACATTGTTTAATTCAAACATATAACAAGTATACTTTAACCAAACACATACATTATAATTTAAAATAAACCATATCATAATATCAAGCCTTGATCTTTGTACGTCGGATTAGCCTAATTCCTTTTGTGGACCCCATTTACCCCTTCTAAGATCCCCTTAAGGGAGTCCTGTAGGTTACCGTCCCGAGAGGGACCGCGAGAATTAGCATTGATTAGCAAAAATAATGTAAAAGTAAAGTTGCGTTAATTATTCAATGTCTAGTCTAGTGTTCCGATTGCTGATCGAAACTCTCGAACGGGCCTCGATCGTGTTCCAGTCGAAGCTCGCTTGAATGCGTTTTTTTGCAGCTCGTGCTCGCTCAAAGTTTTGTAAGCTGGGCTCGGCTGGAAATACAATAGCCCGAAATCGCTCGCCCTTTCTATTACACTAAGTGCACGTCAAAGTGATGTTAATTACAAAAAAAGTTATGATAATAAAATTGTTATTTATTGAAATAGTAGATGGAAAAACAAAAAAGGTTTTTTTTCACCAGCCTTAACACCATATTCGGGTACTTAAATCAACCTATTACTGCATCTATAAATGTAAGACAGTTGGATTTGTAAACATGAAAGTTTAAAATAATTCTGCTACGTCTTGTTACTATGGTTGCTGTACAAATTGGCTTAGTTGGGTTTAGCTACCAACACTGTATCATTTTCTATGCTAAATGTGTTTGTTGGTTGTATAATTAAATAGAGGTCTAAAGCATTTTAATTGGAATTATTAGAGCATAATTAAAAAAAAAAATGGTAAAGGGAAGAAAAGATTAAAATCAGGTGGAAATGTCATCACTAGTCTTTCAAGGACCTTAACTTTAAAGTAAGTACTATCGACATTTTAGCCGAGCGAGCATCGCTCGAACCTCGCTCGAACCCAAAACAAGTGTCACAAGCTCGAGTACAAAAACTCGGTTCGAGTTTCGTTCGAATTGGCGCAAGATCGGTGCAAGTTCGAAAAGTTCGAACACTAGTCTAGTCATAAGAGCTTAATGTATAAAGTAGAGCACTCAACAATTGAATACTCTTAATAAAGACATTAAAGCTCTAGTACTATTTTTCGAGAACGGACATTATAATAACAATTACAAGATCGTGAAAAAACAGATCAAAGCCCAAATAATAAAAGTCACTACCATACAGGACGGATTTTGTTATTTCTTGTAAACTTTATTAAAGACCGCATTATGCATCCCCAATTAGTCTGATCTAGTGTTTATCGTGATTGTTATCTTGTTCTCATTCCGCATGTTACATGTACAAAAAACTCTCTGAAATACATGTAATAACATTGCTAGTCAAATGGTTTTATTTATTCCGTGAGATTTACATACGCGTTGTATCCAAGAGGAATTCAGTTTCCCACACCAATTTTTGTGTCACCACCAATTAAGGTATAAGTTAAAAATTGCGCAGCTCTATTTCTGGTTTTTTTTTCACTGTTATTTTTTTTTTCTTTTTGTAAAAACGGCCATGTCACGAAAAAGCATTCGATCTTCCGCAGCGTCAACATTTGTTCGTAATCTCCATTCACTTGGTTTCAAACCACCGCGCAACAGCAAATGGGTTGTCAATCAACAAACATTTACAGTCAATGCTGACAGTATTAAAGCATTCGAACATGTCAGTTATTTCCTGTTCAGTATTCTTGACAAAAAGAAGGTAAAATCAACCTTTAGGGAAGTTTGGCCTATTACAAACATAGAAAAATCACGCGAATACCGTCGACTTGCTTTTAAATGGTTAAAGGATATTCAACCAGGTACTCATTTAGTGAATGCACCTTTAAGAGTAAGCTATTTTACAGATTGTCGGGGAAAACCCTTCAACCAAATCATCTCAGCTTTCACTGCTCTTGCGATGGACAAAAATCCAAACTATAATACAGGTAAGTAAGAAAGAAAGCGCAAATAAGAATAACCCAGATACGAGACTGACGCTTTTTCTGCCTTGCTTTAGATGTTGCTACCGACGATTCATATTCAGCCAAAACAGCCCGAGATTCTAAGCCACACACAGCAGGCAAAAGATCTACAATAGACCGTCCTCTTACAACTGAGGTGTTGCCTCGAAAGAAAACAAGAACACAGTCTCCAGTGGATTTACCCGAATTATCTTTGAATAAAACACCACGCACATGCCCCCAAGCAGTATCAAATAGTCGCCCATTACAAAATTCACCGGCACTTATTATATCCGTGCCATCTTCTTCCAAACCAAAAACATCACCCACCTTTAATACACATACTCCATCAGGAGTACGTTCTTTAATATCATCATCATTATCATCATCAAAGGATGCAGCATCATCCCCAGCATATCATACACCACCATCAAACACAGATGTTTTATTGTCTTCAAAATCTGATGAACTAGCATCCTCAACAAATAATCATCTGCCACCCCCAACAGAATCTCCTTTGCCGCCGTCAACAGAATCTTCTTCGTCGCCCTCAATTGAGGCTCCTCAACGCATTCTACCTCCGTTAGAATATCTTCGATTCTCTAGATTCAAGGAAATAGTGCGACAAGAGGAACTCGCTTATAAGCAAGAACGAGCTCGTAGAGAGAAAGAGCGATACAAAATTGAAAATCTCCGTAAATATCTTTTAATGTACAAATAAATTTCGCACGTATTTAAACAGAAATAAATGCAGTATCCATAAGTCCCTCAAAAAACCGCAAAAAATAGGCAACCTTTATCAAATAGACCCAATAAACGTATATTTTAATAAATAGTTTGTAAAGAAAAAAATTAATATCTCGTTGGACCACCACGAGCATCAATTACAGTCTGACATCGGTTTGTCATAATCGAGATTAATTTATCTGCGAGCTCAATAGACAAGTTCTCCCGTTCCTCCTTAACAATTGCCGTTGAACTTTTGACATTGTTTATCGATGGTCTTCTTTCACGTATTTGCAACTGAAAATCCTAACGAAGATGTTAGATGGATGTGGGATCCGGGCTTTGAGCAGGCCAGTACTCAAAACCTCTGTCTCAGTGGCTTTCTTTCTACCACTTAGCATACGCCCCAGTATGACATATGGCCCCGTTTTCCTGTATAATAAACTTTCTATTATCATTGTTATTTAAGTTTTTGAACCAAGAGTGAATAACACCTGATGAAATATTGATACACTTGTCTTGATCAATAGTGCTGTCAAAAGTCGTCAGAAGTCCAAAACCACCGTCCCAAAGACAACCCCAAATCAGTATCCCACCTCTGCTCCACTTCACTGTTGGAACAACATCATTCTCGAAATATGTTTCTCCAGTTTTACAAACTGCTCGCTTACCTCCATCATTTTCTGTAATAGAAACACATGACTTATCAGAACAAACGACGCTTCTCCACTGCTCCATTGAGAAATTCGAGAGTGATAATAGCGAATTAAGAAAAAATGTAAAATTTAAAAAAGTGAAATTATCAAACTGCAAAAATAAACTAAAGCTTTATTAAACAAATAAAAGGGGGTCTTTATATACACATTATTTCAGACATTGATCACAGATGGGCTGATGACGGTTGTGGGTAGATTTATCCAGATAATACTCGGATGTAATGATCCCATATAGAAAGACCATAATGAGATGTCAATAACAATAACAATAACATTCATTCTTAAACTGTGTATGTCTTGTAGCACAACATTCAGGGGAAAATGTAGTTCTTATTAAAGATAGCTGTGGCACCTCAACGTGGCTGATGTAACCTTCATATGTTTTCATATTCATGTTATTATTTAAATGTATGCCTTAAACTTGTATGAAGGATGATATGAGATCAAGCCTGTACATAAAGTAAATGATCAGTATTTAATATAAAGTACCAATAAGAATTATATTTAGGATTATCAAATGGAAAATTTAAGAAGTGTAGATAGAGTCATATATTAAGTTTATAGCCTCGATCACGACATCCATGTTCCAATTGTTAACAAATTTGACCCACTAAAGCCGTTTATTCTTGTGTTGATCCGTAAAACGTGGCTTGTAAGCCGCACGAAAGGATCCAAAGCCCATTTTCCAATGAAATGATAATCGTTCTTCTCCACACAATAATGGTAATCTTTCAAATCCGTTACATTTAAGCCTCAACTTATCACTCTCCATAGGAACAAAATACTTTTGAGGAGTATCACGCTGGTCTTTGGAACCGATATCTCTATCAACAACATTGAAGTCATATAAAACTTTAGACAATATGGATAAATAAAATTATCTGTGTAATTTGCTTTGACCAGACAATTTTAAATTGTTTATAAGGAGGATTCGATACCGTTAATTTTTTTTGTCACATACTGTTTCTACATTTTATAGGATTTTTTATCCTAATTCTTTGTTTCCAGGGTGAAAAGAGACCCCCCACTTTTTTTTATAAACATGATTTAAAAATGATGAGCTAGTAACTATTTAATCTTGTGATCATTTGACTTACAGCCATTATGAAAAATCGAAAAATCCCAAATTGAAAATAACCCAGAGTAATAACCAGATTGAGAAAAAGGAACTACAGTAAATGTCATTGAACATAAAAATAATCGTTTCTTTTTACATAATGAACATAACTAAACCTACAAGCGGGACCCTGCCACCGTGGGTAAATTATATCCAAATATTGTCCAAGCTGTCAACAAACCCGCAAGGAGCCATAAGGAGAATATAATACACAAGCCGTACTTGAATAGGCTTTCGGTGTTACGTGAACTCTGAAATTACCAGCTGACATATAATAATTATGACAGCAGTAAAAATACTTCAATCGTCGTAGCACAAGCATATTACCTTAGTTAAGGTGTATTCAAAACTCGCATAAAACATGTTATAGTTTCAATGACAGACGTGGGAAAGGTTCAAACACGTGAAGAAGCTCCCTTAGTGATGATACAACTGAAATTGGAGCTCATGGAAGAGTTTGAGCATTAATGTTGGTTTCTTCAACAAAATATATTACCCTCTTTCTTTCTCTTTTATAGTAACGAGTTTGTTAGAGAATGCCAACGGTGTATTCTGGAAAGTACTACAAGAGATTGTTCATACCTGACACAATAGGCATGTAACAGGCTATTTATCTATAACTACAAGTAATATTTTTTAGTCCTTACTGTAATGTATTTCGGTATTAACGCTTAACTGAATATAACATAGTTAAACTATTGTTTTTAAGACAAAAAAGTAGACCCGTATAACAGGCAAAAACAAGGAAAATGTTGTGTTTTGAGGTAAGTAAAAATTATAAGGCAATTTATGAATAATTTGAGACTGTTTATAAGATTGTCTTTATTACGAAATAAAATGAACAAGTATTTATATAAATAAGACTATCTGCTGTACCACTATCTTTAGTGTATCTTTGAAGTTATTATCATTTTCGCAGTGTGTATCCTGTTACCTTTAACTGCTTATTTTGTAAATATGTTACACTTGGAATTACTGTCATCTTAGACACATTGTACTTCCATATTTTTAGTAAGCCTTAGTCACTGTGTTCTTGTAACCTTGTGATATGATAGTACTAACTATCTTTATTGGGTAATTGATTCCTTAATCATTCTTAATGTATTGATGTCATAGATATGGATTTATTTAATGTAGCAACAATATAGCAGATCACCACAGAAAATAAAGGGTCTTGTTTTTTATCTGCTTCCCTTTCTTAACAAGGACATGAAATCAATGTGCATGATTCACCCTTTCAAATAGTTCCGTATATCCAGAATACTTTTTATTGCCAACGGTAGTTTGTAAGGCACTGTCTGTGTATATTATAAGCCCCATAAATAAAAAGATCCATTTTTATTCGTTTCGCTTTCTTAATGAGGACATTGAGTCATGTCTCTGCAGGAATCACTCTCTATAAATAGTTACGGATGTTTTAAAGCCCGATTGTTTCTTACTGGAGTAATTAATGTACTGGTTTGGTGTAGTATGCCTTCACGAAAGAAAAGACTTTTATTTTAATCGTTTCACTTTTTTAATGGCGACATCATGTCAACGCTCTAATGGCATGACTATCTATGGAAAACGGTTTATGCCTAGTAGTCTGCTTGTTGCTGACTGGAGTAATTACCCCATTGCTTGTGACTCGCATGAGCTTAAGAAAAAAAATGTTACTTTTTTGTCGCTCCATTTTGTTAATGGCCTCATCAAATCAAGAATCTGCTGGAATCAGTCTCTGCAAGTAACAGCTTATGCCTGGGAGCTTGCTTGGCAGTGACTGCAGTATTATCCACTCAAAGAAAAAAAAGACATTTTTTTATTGGTATCGCTTTTATAGTGGCGACATTAAGTCAAGGCTCTGCTGGATTGAGTCTCTATAAATAGCTACGTATGTCTGAAAACTCTCTTGCTGACCGAAGTATGTACTGCACTGTGGTTGTGTCTTATGCGCTAAAATTTTTTTTTTTTCGTTCCGCTTTCTTACTGGTCACATCAAGTCATGTTTCTGCTGGAATCACTCTCTATAAAAAACGGCGTATGTCTGGAAGCCTACTTGTTTCTGACTAAAGTTTGCGCTGCAATTGCAGTGTCTGTAATGCTTTCAAGAAAAAAATCTTACTTCATATTCTATTCTTTTTGGGGATATCATATCAAGGCTCTGTCGGTATTACTATTCATGATATGTTTAAATTATTTTACAAAAAGGTAATGGTTTGTGTACGTTTGTATGAATTAAGTTTGTGATAATTTTTTTAATTGGCTCTTCAGACGTGGATGAATAAAACCTGGACCTGCCGTTTTGGAGGTATCCTGTGTGTATTTCTTAAAAGGTAGAAGACGTAATGATCTGGGTAGTAATTTACAGCCTTTTGCTGATGTCCCATTAAATAATTAGTGTAATTGGAGCTTGCTTTGGAGGTCATTTTGCGACGATGAATACCATGCTGTACCCTGTACTTACATAAAACACGAACATTGAAAAAATTCTAAAAACGAAAATGTACTAAATAATTTAGCTAGTTGAAATGTTATACTTACGCCTTGTATTTTGGTATTCCAGGAGTAGTTGTTGGTTGGGTAATGTGCTAAAGAAAAATAATTTGCGTACACATATGCTTGAAACGTACCTGGAAAAGCAAAGACTAAGAAAGAGAAGTGTTAATAATAAATTCTGTGCATTATTGTATTGGTGGCTCATGCGCTATATGTATTTGGTGTAGGATCTACAGTATATGGGATGTCCTGATGCCTGTTCCAAAAATATAAGAATACCAGACTTCTTTGCATTGAAGCCGTGTCGAGTGTAATATCCGAATGGTGCTTAAGCATAATGAATCTTGTTATTTAGTGTTTTGTATTTCGAGAACTTCGGACCGGAAAACGTAGTAGCAACCAATAGGAGGTAACGGTACTTGATGTTCATACATACCTGTTTGTTAATTTAATTTATAACTTTATTAGGATTGTAGAGGGGATGTTCTTTGAGATCACGAATGAGGATGAAGGGTATTAGTGTGCTTGCTCTTTCTGTATATACTCGCCTATGATATGTTCGGAAATAAATTATTGTAGTGATACACGCTGCTGGGTTATAGTTATATGCCAATACTGATTGATTCCGTACGGGATGCCTTAGACTGACATGATATGTCTCTTTAAAAACTAGAGACATGTAAATTATACTTCGAACGAGCTAAAAAAAATGTGAGGCTACTGGCGTACAACACAGGAATTATTTAATTACGCTATAATAATTCAGTTAGATTTATAAGACTCTACCGAAGTGGGCCTTTAAGGTCATGTTTGGCTCATACTAAACTCGCTAATGCAAGATCCAAAAAGGTAGGCCTTTAATTTGAGTAGATCAATGAAAAACTGTCTAATTTAATCAATCTTTAGGAATCATATATGCTTGGTTATACTAACAAAACAAGATATTACTTATGCCGGTAAAATAGCTTGTTATTCCTGGTCAGGCTTTGTACTAGTCTTTTATTTTCAGCTGCAATGGTTAATGTATATGGTTTGGCTTTCGACGCTCGAGTTTTTAAATCTGGTATATGTTTAAACACAAAGGTAAACCGACTGATATAATTTAAAACAATCAGGCAACTTACCCTATATCTCTTAGAGCATCCCCAACGATTGTAGCTAAATTTATATTCTCGTTCCTGATTTTATTTTATTTTCTGTTCTTTTTTAAATTTTTTGTTACAAAAATGAGTAACAACTTTGACATAATTGACAACAGTGATATTGAAGATTAACCTATCCAAGAAGCTCTTCAGTATCTTATAGAACTAACCGAAGATACACCCCAGAGACGTGGACCCGGTCCTGGTCGCCGCTATGTCAATAGAAACAGTGCTGCCGGACATGAACATCTTTTTAACGAATACTTTTCCGATGACCATGTTTATACAATCCAACAGTTTCGTCGCCGATTTAGAATGAAGCATGATCTGTTTCTACAAATTGTCGAAGCAGTTCAATTAGAGGATGAATACTCCACCCAAAAACCGAATGCCGCTGGAAAGCCAGGACTTTCACCCATCCAGAAAGTGACAGCAGCTATGCGTCAATTAACTTACGGTGCATCATCGGATTCAGTTGATGAGGACATCAGACATACTGATTCCACAGCCATGGAGTCATTGAAGCGCTTTTGCTATGCGATTGTGGCAATATATGGGGAACAATATTTGAGAACCCCAAACAGCCAGGATGTCAAGAATCTTTTGGCAATCCTTGAAGAGAGAGGATTTCCGGGTATGTTGGGGTCAATTGATTGTATGCACTGGACGTAGAAAAATTGCCCAACTACCTGGTATGGCATGTGCACCGGTAAAGAATAATGCCAACCTCGATTCTCGAAGCTGTTGCTTCCCAAGATCTTTGGATCTGGCATTGCTTTTTTGGTCTTCCGGGATCATTGAACGATATCAAGGTCATCAATCTTTTCCATGTATTTGACCTCTTGATACATAGTGTTGCTCCTGAAGTCAAGTTCTTCGCCAATGGCAATAATTACGATAAGGGTACTTCCCGCAGATGGCTTTTGTACTAAAATCGCACTATTTAACATATAAAAATCGCATATAAAATCATTCCATCGATCCTTGATCGACAGGTACATAATATCATAACACTCATAAAAAATAATAGCATAAAAATATCCTGAGTTATACATTTACAACTCAGGCTTACTAGATATTCCAATAGAAGATCCCATTTCGAATAATAGATTGGCTACACTGATAAGGCTCATCAGTCATTAGTAAATACAGCCAATAATACCAAGTGAACACAAACGAGCCCATAATTTTACCCACGCTTTAAATAACTATAAATACCACCCTTTCTTTCAGAGATGAAAGGGGGATTCACTTTTAATAAAAATAAAAAAGCCTACAAGCAATATTAATCTTATTCTTCCTGTTTTTTTTTATCTTTTATTTTTCCGTGTCAAACAAACCGTTTTTCCACAGCTTTTATCCAACTTGGTCGACTTTCGTGAAGACAATTGCAATGCCTACGTCGCAAAAAAAGAAAATACCAAGATTAACAAAGATAATTTATAAAAAACTAATTTATTTGGTCTTTAATAGTGTTTTGCTAAGACAGAAAAAAGTGTGCGAAAGGACGTAGAACGTGCATTTGGTGTACTGCAAGCACGTTTTGCTATTATTAAATGGCCTGCTAGACTTTGGGACTTCATCAATCCCAAGGCCATTATGCATACATGTATCATATTACATACTATAATTGTAGAAAACGAACCTGGTCAGGATCTTGGAACAGACTACCACATGCATCATTTCATGGACAAGCGTACCCTTACATGAATGATCCCGTAGCCTTTGCTGCTTTGGTGAGCCGTTTGGTTGGTTTAAAAGATAGTGATACACATAATCAGTTGAAAAAAAGACTTGATCGAGCATTTCTGGAAAAGAAAGGGCAGTATGTAGTACTTTGTTTCAATTGTTTTTTTTTAAAAAAAACCAGTTTTTATTTGTCTTCTTCCAATCAGTCTTCTAATCCGTCTTCTACTTCCATTACATCTTCTACTACGTCTTATACTTCTCCATCAGGTGATTCGCCAGATGGTTGAGAAAGGGTTTTCTCCTGTTTTTCTCGAAGTACGCACGCTTACGAGGGTCAGTCAAGACCGAAAGATCTATCAACATGACTCTTTCATCTCAAACTATCTTGTCAAACATCATCTTCTTGTTGGTTGCTTGAACAGCCAACTTGTTCTGGAGTAACTTATTTTGGTTCAACTCCCGAAGATCTTTCAAACGGGCGACGATGCTTTCACCTACCTCGTTTTGGCGTTCACGCTGCTGGAGTTCCTTCAGCTTTTTACACCCCATTGGGCGTGTTACATCCCCAGAAGAAGAACCCGTTTAAGTGTTTTCAATGACTTGGATACTGCCATTGTTTTTCTCTTCGTTACAACAAGCTTAGGCATGTTGCACATGACCCATTTTGGCTCGGGGGATATGTTTTGCCAACTGTGTTCCAAAACAAAACGACCACCGTTTTTGGTCGACGTCTTGTATAGAACATACGCCTTATGGACCTATTATTTAAAATCACAATTTAGTTCTGCTAAAATTAAGCTATAGCCATCTTACCAAATCCTGAGGACTTGATCTACTTTGCTGCACACTTCTCAAAACAGTTTCGTTGCAGCCGGTGAACTTTTGCACGCTGGGATTGATGGTGCTCCAACGGCTGATTATGGCAGCACTGTTACGTTCTTCGACAGCATTGTCACTGATTTTGGCATTGTAGTCGGCCTTAATGCGATCCCAAAAACTTTTGCATGTATGGCCTTTAACAATGACACCATTGGTAGCAATGGCAACAAACAAAAGGCACAACTGTTCGTTATCGGCTCTTGACCAATTTGCTCCATGTCCTGCCTTTTCGGGAAGCTCAGGGATTGTTACTGTTTCGAAATTATCGTTCATGTCAAAAAAATTAATGGACTAGAATAAAAGAAGAAATTTTCTAAATTTATTGATTCAATTGGAAATTTATAATATTTGTGTTAAAAGTTTTAGAATAATCTATTGTCCAATTGACCGTTCGGGTTAAATAATTCTAAATCTTTGTGCTATTTTGGAATAAAATGGTTTTTTCTCACACCGTTGGGAATGCTCTTAGTTGGTAGGCATGTACAGTGATTAGCTATATGAAGGCCAAATCAAGAACATCTTGATAAGTATTTTTAAAAACAGCAAGTATGTCACAAGCATATGCTTGAGGTAGGTCTGCAACGCCGAAAAAATTAGTATTGCAGACTAGATAAATTATTTTTAATTAAAGACGCTATGTAAACTACAGTTACCGTTTTAAAAACCTTTAAATTTGAAAAACGTGCTATTGACGTACGAATGAAAGGTAATAAAAAAAAAGATTACTTTTCAAGCCTATCATGCAAAGCTGTAATGATTAAAGTCATGGAATAGCGGCGAATAACATTTTTGCATCGAGATCGAGGAACTCTTACATAGATGAAATTCATCATCTACGACGTCGTATGACTATAATTTGCCAATACATGGGAACACTCGTATTAAACTACATATCAGTATATACTGTTAGACTATATGTGTAACATGAGAATTTACTATACATTTGAATACAGAGTCACCTTTGTAATTGGTCGACTGGAGTGACCAGATGGGCTATTTGACTAATTGATTATCTGTAGTGGGGGTTCCCCTTCCCCCAAAATCTGCACCGCACAAAAATCCTAATTTTTCTAACTTTTGTGACTGGACATTGGCTCAGCCTGTGACGGTATTCTAGTTGTTTTATTAAGGTCGGTCCTCATCCGTTTTTCAATAAAATGGATAAGGACCGACCCTATTAAAACAGGATATATGGAAAAAAATGGATGAGATCCGACGATAGTTAAACGGCATATGTGGACCCAATCCCGTTTTTTTGAAATTCTTGGAATGGTAGAAAACAGTCACAAGGCGAATTAATTTTCAGAACCCAAAGTGACAAAAGTTGAGGGAGAAACGCCTCTTACCAAAAATACGGCCCTTTATTTTTCTTAATCATGTCAAATAATAGTGTCCTGTTTTCAAAAAAGTCATAGTCGTAGATCCGAACTAGATTGTCCTTCGATTTCAGCAAACCTAAATTCGAATGAAGGAATCTCTTGATTTTGGATTTAAAAAGAGTGATGTTTTTTTAGTTTACGTCTTCAGTAAATGTGACGAGCCGTTCACAAAATAAACCAACTTCAATTTCTGAGGTACAATAGAAGACAATTATTTTATTAATCATTCTAACTGACGTCAAATTTGAAAAAGGACATGGAGGTAGACGAATCTCGGTTGATTTCAACTCATTATCCAGTCCCGGGAAGAACAGTCCGTTGTTCAACCTGTCAACAGCTTCGACATTCGAGAAGAACGAACCGTTTGTGCCTCATGAACATTAATCGTGCCAACCAGAGTTGAAATCAAGCAAAGGAAACTGAAATACTGC